CAAATGAAAGGGTTACTTAAAGGGAGACCTTTCTGTTCAAGTGACTCTGCTGCCATCAAGAGTGGCTGATCGCACTGGAGATCTTTCTGTTCAAGTGACTCTTTCTGCTGCCATCAAGAGTGGCTGATCGCACTCTCAGGTGTCTCAGAGGAACCCATTTTTATTTAGAGAAAGTTCCATTCCAACAAGATTTTTGATAGGACTAACAAAAAGTATGCTTAAAGCACCAGCATCTAGTATTACACATGCTTCTCTCCGTGCTGTGAGCTCTTGGGCTCTCTCTGTGGGTCTACAAAATTTTGCCCTAATTGGTGAATGAGCAGGCACTGAAAGTGTTTCCAAGGAAGCCACTGTTTTACCACAATTTTAATATCTTCTGTTTGTTTATGTTTCCTTCCCCCTTCCCTATCTTGGAGAGTACTGGGTATAGCAATATATACAGTATGTACCTGTTGGCATATTTAAGTTATGGCAGTACTCTTTTGCTGATTGTAGGTCACCGTGTACGCATTAAGAATACTAACAGGAACATAGAAAGGAAGGAGAATAGAACACAACTCCCTAATTTTATGTAACAGGTTTTCCATCTCTGGTTGTCACTGTCTAGCTACAAGGAGAGTACTGTTCATAAGCAACACTGAATTATCTGGCTCTCAAGCTTTTCCAGTGATACTGTATCTATGAACCCATCAAAACTTGACATTGCTTCAAGCATGAAGTTTCCTTCCCATAACAGTGTCAAGAGAGCAAAATGCAGACATCATCCAATATGGTTCCTGCCTGCTGAGATAACCAGTGCAACAACTGAAATGAACTTTCACTATACTCATGAAATCCTACAATTTTCACCATTCTTTGAATATTAGTATGTATGACATAAAAGAGGAACAAAGAAACCAACACAAATCATAGCTTGTCTGACAATTATTACGTCTTTTACATGGTCATTCAGGAGAGATCATTACAACGTCTTTTACATGGTCATTCAGGAGAGATTAGCAAGCTTACTGTGTACTTTTAGTATACATACAAGAAAAAATTCCATAATAAAACCACAGGGAAGGTGGTAGAAATTAAGATCTTGTGTTAAAGTCAACCCAATCTGCACCTGTATGTGATCTCATCTACCATTATTGTCAAATTTTCCTAAACAGGCTATCACAGTCAAAAGTTTAAAAGTCAAAATAGGGCTTCTGGAGTGGAACAGAAAAGTATGCTTTATGAAATGATGAAATACTACATTTGAATGGTTATTATGCTATCTTAAAAAACAAGACCAGTTGTGAAGCAATTTTTAAAATGCCTGGAAAATAACAAAAAGCCATATTTCATCCTGACGCAATTCATATGTATTGCTGTCTTAGCTTTTATCTATAAGTCTTTGATTTTTATCCAAGAATCTCAGAATTGCCACCTCACTGACAAGATGTACACCCCTTATTTTGTCCCTAACTTTAGCCTAGAAACTGTATAAACAGAAGTATAGATAAAGCAAATAGAGGTTAGAAGCCCACTGAAGTAAGCTGTATGAATATACTGAAAAGAAAAGAAAACCAAGGGAAAAAAAGGCAAGACCGAAAATGAGAGAGGAAATGGTTTAATGAAGTAAATTGATGCAATCCAATGTTTTCAACATGCATAAAATGCCTGCTTTACCAAAGAACTGAACAAGCAGATTTGTCCTTGATTTGAATTTCAGGAAATCATTTCAATAAACTATTTTAAGAACATTCTGAGCATTGTAAAAGCCAGCTAAGTTGCTAGAGAGTGGGTTCAAGGATGCATTCATTTTTGTATTTTATGAGTAAGGGCCCCTGAATTCAGTGGGATTTCCAAATAACATAAGATTTACTATCTTATTTAAGTCCTCCATATGGTATTGAGATTTATCAATGAACAAGTGATAACTGCAATTAAAAGTTGCACTACGGTGATGTTGTTCAGCAGTCCAGCCAATTACTGTACACCCTTTCCTGTATATTCCATTTCATTTTCACTCCCACCCCTCACCCCTATTTTCCATTCCCTCTATCAGTGAATCAATCTTTCATGGTCAATACATAAGCACAAGACTTTTATGGCAGGTTGGGGTGGGCTGGGGTGGGGTGGGGGAGGTTTCTACAGATAATAGTCCTTTGAGCACAAGACTTTTCTGGCAGGTTGGGGTGGGGTGGGGGAGTTTTCTACAGATAATAGTCCTTTACCTTAGCTAAAGTAATAGGCAATCCCTAGCTAAAATAGTAAGAATTCATCTGTGAGCCTTGTTTAGTCAATAGAAAATGAGACTTTCAAATGCCAGAATAGTATATTAATAAGACCTCATCCACACTGCAAAATCTTTCATTAACTTTAAATACTATTATTGTGCAACACTAAGAATGTATCCAAGCTTCTCTTGTGCATTTTGTATCACTTATAAATATGAGAGAATATCTGAAAATATCTGAAAGGCCAAGTTACCCACATAGGCTCCCCGTAAGATTTAGAACTGTGCATGATTTGGATTCAAAATCACTGGGGGATCTACAAATAGAGAAGACCCTCTTACTGTAGAGTTTAGCAAGGATGGCAATGCAATGAGAGAAGCTCTGTGGAATGGGAAGGACCAACATGCACATCCCAATTTCCCCTCAAGAAATTCAGGGAGACCAGCACAGAAACCAAAGCAGGTGTTTTAAGCAAAATGCATTTGTACTTTTTTACCTGTGAAAAGCCTCTATTACTCAACAGATTCAATGTGGTCTACTGAACCTATCTGATACATATGGATCTCTCCCTGTACAAATGTCAATCGGGCATGGATTGACTTCAGCAAGTATTAATCTCTGAGCCAGCTTTATGCCTACAAAATTAAAGCATGCCATGGGCAAGAGTTACAGTATATCCATAGTAGCTGGATGACAGTATAAACACACATAACCAGAAGCATAGGCTTGGCCTGGGAAACAAGTACCAATGGCCATATTCAGATGCAACAATAACTCAACTTTAAGCCAGAGGCTATTGCAATAATGCCAATTTCAACTAAACTTAATGAAGATTAACCACAATTTAGGGTTTGGTGCAACGCAAAATTGTGATTCATTGGTGATAGCAGTAAAAGTTTCTGATCTTGTCTTTAGTGTATGCTAGAGGTTTTGGCCTGAGAACACACAATCTTCTGATTTATTCACATAAAAAGCCACAGATTATCATCTTTTGTCCAAAATAAATATTTCCAGCCTGACATGCCATCAATGAAATAAATTTTTTAAAAAACTGACTATTTAAAAAACTGACACACCTCTTATTAATTTCCTCTAAACTAACTCCTGAGTACAGTAAATATCCTTAGGTCAAGGCAACAAGAAATAACCAAACTTTACAACAAACCTCTATGAAGGTGAGAAAATATTTTTCAGAATAGTTGTAGCTTACTATTTCCAAGTAAGACAAGTGTATGGAAAATAGTTTGTTGAGAAAATCTCTAATATTTGAACTTCTAAGTCTGCCAAAACCAGGCAAATCATATTACATGAACTATGGATATAACAGTTGAAGAGCTAAGTCCAATGTTAGTTTTACCTAGATAAAATAAATGAAATCATATTTATTTTCAGTGGATCTAATGTAGGTAGGACTACCACTGGATTTTGAGCCACTTATATTACATGCAAATTTCTATAAATTAACAAGATTCTATTGCAGATCTATAGCTATGCCAAACAAACACACATAACCAGAAGCATGATGACAAACAAAAAATAAAGTAAAATAGGCACAACATCTACCAGGAACTTGTATAAATAAGTTAAAGAAGTCTAAGGTTGTTAATAGCAAGTAGAATCCAGAAGTCAGGTTTCAGATTAGTTACATTACACCTTTTTGGTGCTCTACTGTAACAAACAAACAAACAAATTAAAAAATCCTGTCATAAAAAATTAAACTTGTTAGATGTATAGGTAAATTTGAATAAGCATAGAACAATCCAGATACAGTATAAGATCCAATTCTTAATATTGTTGTTTTGTTGGGAAGTATTCAGAAGAATACAGTAAATGTCAAAGGATAGCAGGAGCAACCTCACATACAGCATTTTTTGCAGTACACCTGCAAATAGAGATGGGGTGGGGTACATAAATCAGGATATTTCCTTCTATCAAGAGACAGAACACCCCATGCAAACATCACATCTGTGTTTCAAAATAAATAGGTAGTATCATAAAAGTAGATCAAATATGTCTATTTCAGAAAAAAGACATGTAACCTTAAAACACCTTGAGAAAGTGCAACATACATATCTTTTCTCTAAAACAACCAAATATATTATGTTGCCAGATAATGAGGCTAAAATCACACACATGCTGACATGAGAGTAAGCACTACTAAAATCAGTAGGACTTTCATCTGACTATAGATGTACAGGAGTGAACTGTTACAGTTTAATCTTATATATGACCTCATTTCCCCTTAAAAATAAACAATCTATACTTTAAAATTTTCCTCCCTTCCCCTTAAAAATAGAATCAACTACAATTCTGGGTATACATATCTGAAAACAAGTGGTACTTCATAGTAAACATGTTAGGATGAGGACATAAGCTCTAACCAGATGTTATAATGTTGGGATCAGGGTCAGAAAGGAATAGAGTAGAATAACAGATGTACTACAGCTGTATGTATGAAAGCCCAAATGTTATTAATGAAACATCTTCATCTACACCTGTATGCTGCTTAGGTACTAGCTATGAGAATTTGGGGTTGGGAACTAAAATAATAAGAGGATCAATGCAAAAGATTCATGAGTTTCCAGATTTGGGTGCAATTTTTAAACTTAAAAAAATCTACCAAGATCCAGGGTTTAAAGCACACATGCAGGAACAAGAAACACAGGGGATCCAAATACATCTACACACATCTTTGGACATTTCTGCTTTCCTAAAATGCAAGAGGCATGTTAAATCATGAGAAGTTCAGGAGGGTTGTTTTGCCAAAGCTCTTCACCCCACACCCTTTCTTACCTGATAATGTCATCATTGTGCCCCAGGAAAAATTTCTGGCTATGCTCTCTGGTGTTATAAACCACCCCGACTCCAGCCACGAAGTAAACCACTTCCTTGCCCGCTGTGTAGTACAGGTTGTTGCGGCACTGATGACCCCTATACCCATACACCCACTCCAGACGGAGCTGGCTTCTAGGAGCTGTCCGATCCGCCATGATAATCAACCCCCCTCCCCAGAAGCACACGGGGGAAAAAACTGGTGCTGCCCCCCCACCCCCACGTTCCTTGCCTTTCCCAGTTTTCGCTCTTGCAAATGCTGTCAATTCCTGCTTGGCTGCCAAGTCTTCCGGCTGCACTTTCTGATGCTGATGATTTTCAGTGAAAAATGCATCCAGGCAGAGTCCTGCTCTGCCGCTGCTTCAGCTACGGCTGCTGCTGCTTTTGCTACTGCCGAACCGCCACCATAATCTTCCACTGCCAAAGATGAGCAGCTGCTGCTTTCCCACTGTTTTCCAATCCAGACAACTTGGGAGGGGGGGGGACATTTACAGAGGCAGATCAGTGCAGTATGAAACTATATATGTCAGTTCATTTTGAAAGAGGAAAAGCTTCTGTGTTCAGTCACCAGGTGCAGACGAATGGTGTTGTGCATATCCTTATTGCATCTTCTGAGTTTCTTCAAATAAGAAAGTCAATGCATTTCAAATATGCTTATCAACTTTAACAGTGTGAAAAAGTGCAGAAATTATCTTGTTCTTTTTAGCTGAACTTCATTTTGTGACTGGGCATAGCAATCTTCTATGGATTTTCATCATAATAATTGGCAACTTACTGCAAAAACAGGAAATTTTGGGAGTTGGGGGAGAAGAAGGACACATTTTATATTTAAAAATATTCTCAAAAATGTATTTTTAATAATTAAAAAAATCAGAAATAATTCATCACCTATGCCGAAAAGGGAACAAAACAAAACAAACAGTGTAAAACTACTTTTGTATATAGCTGATTAATGAAGTGGTGCTCTTTTAATAATTAAAAAAAAACAGAAAAATTCATCACCTATGCTGAAAAGGGAACAAAACAAAACAAAAAAAGGAAACTTAAACAGTGCTAAAACTACTTTTGTATATAGCTGATTAATGAAGTGGTGCTTATTTGTAAAATAAATTTATTAAACATTTGGTACGATGCACACTGTCAATCAAAATAGTACACTTGTTTTGCTCCTCTCCTTTTTCCATATCAATAACCGATTGTTTAGGGTATTATGATCTTGCTTTCCCACACCTGCTCTAGCAACAGAGCACAACATAACAACAGCTCTAACAAAATTATTTTAAATAAACTTAGACACTACAGAACAACAGTATCACAGAGGGATGCAGAGGAAAATGCAACCCATACTCACACCACATTACTATTGTCTTATAAGAATTAATAAGATATAAAAAAAGCAGTGATGAACTCTAAGGAAAGAGGAGGAGGGGAGAGGTGTCACTAGGTGGTTATATAAATTAAACTACACAGCCACTATGTAATTGCTTATAACAGTGTTCCTTTGTTTATGCTGGCCTTACTGTGGCATATCTTGGACAACCTGTGGGTGTTGAAGGGCTGCCAGTTTGGCTATCAATGGTTGGTATTTGTAACCATTCTCTGCTGTAAACATAAATGAGCCATTCCTCTGTCTGACCCATCTCTTTCCTTGACAGCATCTCCCTCAGTTTATATGCTTTCCATGCCTCAGCCTCCAGATTCCAGTACACAGGGACAGGCCAGTAGCCCCACTCAGAAAAAGGTTCAGAGCTTACTGTACAACCTTGTTCCTTCCTTCAGTACTAAAACAGTAAGTGCTACTTCACTGTGAAAATCCAGCTACCCCATTCCATGTGATAAATGACAAGTTTGCAAATAAAAATGAGGTGTGAGTAAGGATAGGAGGCCAAGTGGAATTTCAAATTGAGAGTGGCATTCGGTGAGTCTATAAAATGCTGGGAAAAGTTTAGGGCAATAGGAAAAGAGCAAGACCAAATATGAGATGGACTGGCTCAATAAAGGAAGCCACAGCCTTGAACTTGGAACAGCTGAGCAGGGCTGTTGACAATGGGACTTTTTGGAGATCACTAATTAATGTTGTGTTAAGTGCCTTTAAGTCAAAACCAACCTACAGTTACTCTATAGGGCTTTCAAGGTAAGTAAGATATTTAAGGAGTGGTTTTACCAGTTCCACACTCCCAGTGAGCTTCCATGGCTGAGAGGGGGTTTGAACCCAGGCCTCCTAAGTCCTAGTCCATCACTGTATCTGCTACACCAGTCGTTCTTAACCTTTGTTACTCGGATGCTTTTGAACTGCAACTCCCAGAAACCCCAGCCAGCACAGTTGGTGGTGAAGGCTTCTGGGAGTTGCAGTCCAAAACTCCTGAGTAAGCCAAGGTTAAGAACCAGTGTGCTACACCACACTGGGTATTACTAATCATAGGGCCCCCAAAAGTCAGAAGCAATGTGATAGCACATAACATTACTAACAAGATGTATCCATAATAAGAATAAAAAATCTGAGCACAAAGTCCATAGACTCCAATGTTCTTACTGAAAAGCACAAAGCTATGCAGTAAGAATTTTCAGATTTACCCTCACAACTGCAGTTCCTTATGGTGCTTCATTTATCCCACCCTGGGTAGGAACGTTAACTGAACTGGATATCAGTGTTTTGGTACAGAGGCCAGCAATAAATTATTCAAAGTAACAAATAAATAGTACAGTTAAGGCTAACCAAAGACTTTCATTAAGGAAACTCAAACAAAACTTGATTGTCTGAAGTCTGGGAAGTACTGGATTTGTGCACAGTTAACATAGTGCCAACAACACAGTAGCAGAGGGAAAAGATGGAGAAGGAGAGTAGCACTGTCACGGAGGAAGAAACAAACCACAAGCCCAATCTAGAACATGTATACCCTAGAGGCAAGAAAAGGTAATCTGATCAAACTCTACAGTCAAAGAGACAGTCCCTTTGGGAGTGTCTGATGATGTTATACTCTGGCAACACAAAAAGAGCATATTGCCCCAATGGAAGGAAGACTTTGTGTGGTAATGGAGTACATCCGTGACCTGACACAGTGAAAGCTGTATTTCTCTCACAGAAAAATATGCATCAGAGTCTCCCAAGCAAGAATGAGAAAATGCTGGATTTCTTCTTAGTAGAAATTATTCAGGCATGTAAGCTGTAGTATCTCTGTGCTTCAATACTGAATAGATTTCAGGTACCTCTCACAGCAAGAGTAAGCTGACTTCAGGCTTGTCTTACTTTTCACTGGAAGCCTGTCATCTGGCCACAGTAACACTGTCTGGCACGAGTATACTATATACCTATAGCACAACTCTATGGACATTTTTTTTGGAAGTAAGGCCCCTAGTAGGAAAGTTTCATGTTGGAGTCTTTGATTTAAGCAATAAAAAGCACCCTGACTGTCAAAGCATGTCACGAAATTCTATTTCAATAACCAAACTGAGTTTGCAGTCCAGTCAAGAAAATTCCACTTCTGGTTTTCCCACAAATCTCTGTCCACCACATTATGCCACGCTGGCCTCTCTATTAAATTACACAGTACTGGGGAAAGGGGGCAAATTTACTGTTTCAGTTTTCCAGTGTGAAAATAAGTGTGCCAACGCTTAAACTGCCTCAGAAGATTTGCCCTCTGCTACTCTGGAGTCTTTTATATTAACAGAGGTGGAAAAGATTGTGTTGAGTGACAAATTGAGTGAGGGGGCAGGTACCCTGCTCTTGCTTCAGAGACACTCCTCTTCTGATTGACAGCCCAATCCTTTACTGTTAACTCAGAAGTAAATCCAGTAGTGTTTAATGGTCCTTAGAATTAAAGCTTGCACAGAATAGTGGCTAAAAGACAGAGTTATAGTAAGAAAGTCCACAGTTTAATTATCACTCCTGCCAAAAATGTAGTGGATGGTCTTGGGAAGGTTACCATGAGTTACCCTTCCTCAGGTTCAATCCAATCTGCAATATGGGGATATTAACACCAGGACCTCTCGTAGGGATATTTTAAGGATTATGACAAGATAATGTAAATGAAAAACTCTGAATTTTACAAAGCTCTATATAAATGCTTAATATCAATTTGTTATCATCATTACTACTTTACACATCTGAACACTGAGGCATTGACATTACTTAGCAGGCTTCAGAACTGAGCCTTTGAGCTGTGAGTGAACCTTAGAAAAACCAAGAAAATGTCATGGAGACTAACACCCCAAATTTAAAGCTTGATTCTATTTCCCTTTCCTATCAGTTTTTTAGCTTGAACCTTCAAGTTCCTTTGGAGGAAGGACCTGTTATAAGAACAACAAAAGAAATACCCAGCTGGATAAGATCAAGCATCAATTTAGTAACTAGATTCTAATTTAGTATGCATTTTTCTCATTGTGCTATTTAGTGCCTCTCCAGCAGTTGGCACTGATGTGCTGTCTCCAAAGCTGGAGGTTGCATATCTTCATCCTCACTAACATTATCTCCACCAAAGTTTGTCTAATCCTGTGGTTGTTGTGGGTTTTTCGGGCTCTTTGGCCGTGTTCTGAAGGTTGTTCTTCCTAATGTTTCGCCAGTCTCTATGGCCGGCATCTTCAGAGGTCCTCAGAACACAGCCAAAGAGCCCGAAAAACCCACAACAACCATTAGATCCCGGCCGTGAAAGCCTTTGTGAATACTTTGTCTAATCCTCTTTAAAATTTAACTAAATGGTCTAGTGGCCATCCCACTGCAAAAGAATCACATGTTCTGTGAAGGGTTTTGACTGTCTTCCCAACCAGTTTCCCTGGACATCTCAGCATCTCATATCCCAACAAGTTTCACTGGACAAACATCTCATATCTTGGAAGGGGGAGAAGACTACCATCCACTTTCTCTGTGATGTTTTCATGTGCCATCAAGTTGCTTCTGATTTATAATAACCCTATATATGTGATATTCAGAGGTTCTATCATCAACAATCCTGCTCAGGCCTTGCAAACTAAAGCTCATTACAGTACTTTCTTTATTGAGTTAATCCATTTCATATCCCGTCTTCCTCTTTTACTTCCATCTTCCACTTTTTGTAGTGTTATTGCTTTTTTTCCCTACCAATGAGTCTTACCGCTTCAGTTTAGTCATTTTATAATGGGAAGTCTGGGTTTATTTGATCTGTATTCTGTGCCATCAAACGACATCCATTTCTTAAGAACTGAATCAAGCCACATTCGTTGAAAACCCTGGTTTTCAGGGTTGTCACAGTATATGAGATATTCAAAAGCTCATTTATCATGACCACTGCCACTGAGTTTCCATGACTGAGCAGAGATTTGAACCCATCTCACTTGAGTCCTAACCTATCACTCTATCCACAGCACACAGGCTCTACAGATTTGATCTAGAACTGATTCCTTTGAACTGACCTTTGGGAGATCTGGATTCCCATTCCCCTTCAGACATAAAACTAATGATCCAAAATTTCCCAAATGCCAATTCAATGGAGCTTACTCACAACAAAATGTATATGGAATTTCAGCCTAAACAATGGCAGAATTATACGTTTATAGTACTGTACTGCGTACAGCACAAAGGTCCCCAGGAGCAAAGTTGTGGTGCTATAGACCAAGGGCATACTATGGCATTCTCAATTACTAAATGGCTTGATAGCTCTGTGGTTCGGGTATATGGCTGTGGAGTTTGATTCCCCCACTGTGCCAGCCTGTGTAGCTTTGGACAGGCTGCACAATCCCAGGGCACCTCCAGCAGAAAGGAAGAGTAAAACACTTCTGAGTATTCTCTACCTAGAAAACCCTGAAAAGGCTTGCCGTAAGTCAGAATTGACAGCACATGATTATTATTATTATTATCAATAGTTATAATTATTTTATCTGTTATTAAATACAGATATGAAAGCTAGACAACAACCAGAAAAAAAGAAGATTCATTCCATTTATGATATTAAAGGAGAGCTTTACAGTTACATTCAGACAGGAGACTGACAGGGTGACCTTGCATCACTTCTGCTTTCTCTCTGCTTAACCCACCCGGCAGGGCTGTTATGAGGATAAAACAGGGAGGAAAGCAGACTTACACACCACCATGAGTTCACTGGAGGAAAATCATGCTATTACGTCAAATAAATAAATAAACAAAGACAGGGATTTTGCTGCCCAAGACAGAGAAATGGTCCCCCCTCCCCCAATTCCATGAAGGGTGGTTATAAATCTCCCTTCAGTATTTGCTGCAGAAAATCCCAGAAATGCCTCTGCTATTAAGTCAAATAAATAAATAAATAAACAAAGACAGGCATTTTGCTGCCCAAGGTAGAGAAATGGTCCACCCCTCCCCCAATTCCATGGTGGTTATAAATCCCCCTTCAGCATTTGCTGCAGAAAATCCCAGAAATGCCTCCATCGCTATGAGATTTAGCACGCTACCATAGCGACGACTTTAAATAACTGCTTTTTTTGCATTAGGACTGGGCCATGGGGGATGCGTTTAGCCCCTGCCTGAGTCTTACTTCTGAGTAGACCTACGGGCAAGGACGGCACTGTCCAAAGCCTGAGGCTCAATGGACCAGTGGGGGGTGGTGGTTGAGAAGCACCCTCTCGACGATTCGATCGTCGCCACCCTCGGAAGCGCCCTCGCTCCGGCTTAACACTCTATTACAACCACCAACATGGATTAAGAACCACAAGAAGAAGCACGGTAAGAACAACATCAGCCACCGCACAACCAACCCCACCCAAGACAGTGATTCGACTGTCACCTGTCAAGAGCAGAAGCAATGCCTGGCGCCCTGAGGAAGGAAAAGAGGAGGAGGAGGAGGAGGAAAGCAAGCGACAGCATCACAAGGCGAACGAGCCGCCCTCCTTTCCCCTCCTCTCTTTCCCTCCGCCTCAGCTTCTCCCTCAGCGCGGCAGAGCAGCGCCTCGCTCCGCTTCCCCGCCCTGCCCTCAGCACGTCTCCTAGGCAGCCCTGACAAGAAACCGCCTCATCACTCGACGGGCTGGGCGGGAAACCGACGACGGCGTCACCGCCTCGCCCCAGCAGCTGGTGAATCCCCTTGGAAACCCCGCAGCTTGAGGCGTCCGCTCAGCCCCAACGGTTATTTTTTTTACGAGGCTCACGGTAGTTGAGATTCAAAGGACTCTGGGGTGCTCTGCGAGCGAGGGCGCTGTGGAACTACAAGTCCCAGAGTGCCGCGCGCCGTTACCCGCGCGTCCTCTGCCCGCCCCGAATTTCTCCTCATCCCGGCCCTAAAAAAAAGTCCAGCTCCCGCGCTGCTTTTATGCTGTCGCTTTGGCGACGGGCTGAGGCGCTGCTTCCCCGGGGCTTTATTTTAAACGGCAGTTTGTGGATAGCAAGGGAGTCGAAGCACGCAATAAACGGATTAATCAAATGTAGCGTTGCAAGCCTGTTTATCTTCCAGTCCCAAATTAAAACGTGGCTTGTTATACCTCTTAAGAAGATACACAAACACACATTTTCTCTCTCTCTACCGTGTGTTTACGAAAATAAGACCTAACCTGAAAATGAGACCTAGTATGATTTTTCAGGATGCTTGTAATATACCCCCAAAATGAGCCCCAGTTAAATGAAACTCCACCCGCCACCCTTGTGCAGCAATCAGAAGACATGACTATTTGAATAAATGTAGATTGTTGTCCATGAGAAAAATAAAACATTCCCTGAAAATAAGTCCTACTGCATTTCTGGAGCAAAAATTAATATAAAAACCCTGTCTTATTTTCAGGGAAACACTATATATGTGGACTATGGGGTGGCCATAAATAAACGATGATCTACTGGTAGATTTACGGCCTGTCTTGTTTTCAGGGAAACACAATATATATGTGGACTATGGGGTGGGCATAAAGTAAACGATGATCTACTGGTAGATTTACGGATGATGGGCAGGGCGTCGAAAAGCTTCCTCATTGCGCCTCTAAAAGATAATTTTAAAAGGACTCTTTATTTTTCTTTAAAACATTCCCCCACCCCCGCCTGTCTTTGTCCTTAAGGAGGACCAAAGGTGGCTTCCATTACACAAAGACAATATTTAAAGCTTAGAAACGTTTCTTCTCAGACAGGCTTTCCCTTACTAACTGCCAGTCTGAGAGGGGTTTTGTGCTCTGTTGCTTTTAAATGTGTTTTTAGTATAGATCTTGTTCATCATTTTTAACGTGATACTTGTTTAATTCTTTTTAAACAATTTTACACTTTTAGTGATGTGAGCCACCTTGGATCCTTTTGAGGAGAAAAGTGGGGTAAAATATTTTAAATTAAATAAATAAAGACAATAAATACTATAAATACTAAGAAAAAAATAGAAATCAAACAAACACCACAGTAAAAAATGGTAAAGACAGCATGAAGGAAGCAAAACTTCAATGGAAACCCAGATTGGGGCTTTTTAGGTGTGAGAAAGATGACTACAAATCCAGTGTGGGCGCTGAAAACAAACATTGGGGCAAACTGGCTCTCAGGCAACAACCGAAAATGCAGTCCATAACCTCTGACCTTCCTCATAGGGTTGTTAGCTGTAAGAGTGGGGGAACGCCTGGTCAAATAGATTGTCTTGTGTTGGTTGGCAGGAGAGAAATGTAACAAAACAAAACAAAAACTTATTAGGAGATATATCCTACTGAATACAACAGGACTTGCCTCTGCATAGACATCCACATAGACATATGTAGGACTATCCATTGAAGAATGATCTCACTATTAACTTAATCGGGATTGATCCTGTTACATGCTATGTGCCATCATGTAGCTTCAGATTTACTGGGATGCTGGAAGGGTTTCCAAGTATATTAAATGTTCAAGGAATGATTTAGCATTGCCCCCACCCCGTCTGGCATGAATAGAGTGGTGGAGGGTTCAAATCATAGAATAATTAAGTGGGAAGGGGCCTGTGGTCCAAATCTCCACTTGACCATAGGAACTCACTGGGGAATTGGAACTAGTAAAACCAGTAAATCCTTAAATACGTCACCTTGAAGCCCTATTAGAGTTACTATAGGTTGGTTCCAATTTGATTGCACATAATCACCACCATGGTGCTGGAGGAGACTCTTGAGAGTCCCCTAGACTGCAAGGAGAACAAACCTTTTCCAAACACTTATCCATTTAAGTCATTCATATTTCAAAGGTCTCAGCTTTGGCCGAATTGGGCTTTGACTTTCCTGACACTTTCTTGTCTTGTTTATACAATGACCTTTTCAAAAACCTTTTAGTCTCATCAAATATTATAACATCAGGAAGCTGAGACATATACGTATTGGTCTGGACATGGATGCTTTAAGATTTTTGACTGATCTTGATTGACTGCAAAAGTTTATAACCAAATAACTAAGCCATCTATGTAGGCAGAGCATGAATAGTGACAGGGTAAAACAAAAAGCTAATTTCCTGTTCTGTTAAAAAAATAAATTGTGAGCATAAGTGCACACCCTAAAGTGGCTTTGGCAATGTAAAGAGGTCTAGTCACCTGTCTCTTTGCATGGTGACCCATGTGACTAGTCATGTGCCCTGCTGTATAAGCAGGCAGGCATCTCTAGACTTTTCTGCATCACTGCAGCCACTTCCACATTTATAGTGGAACACATGATGTGTTGAACAGCATACTGGGCAAAATACGTGATGAGTCTGCAATGTAATACAGCAATTATAACAGCAATTACAAAAGACAAACCTGAAATGTAATAGGCAATACAGAACAAGACTAACATAAACAAGAGTATACATGTTTTGGCCCTTATCCACAGATTCCAACTAGTCCTCATATAGGCAAAGTATTGCCACTTAAGACAGTTTCCATATTGTGCTCTGGTGATTTATTATACCTAATAAACTGTGTTAACATTATGCAAGTGACTTGTTGGGTGTCTGCTCAAATTATTTATTTATTTATTTATCTATCATGCAAGTGACCTGTTGGGTGTCTGCTCAGATTATTTATTTATGTATCTATTTATACGTATATTTATTTATTTATTTTTCAATTCATGTGCTGCCCATCTAGCAAATCATTACTCTGGACAGGATACAACAAAGAAAAGAATCCTATGAATTATGAAATTACTCTAAAACGCTAGGTAAAGGTAAAGGTAAAGGTTTCCCTTGACAATTTTTGTCCAGTCATGTCCGACTCTAGGGGGCGGTGCTCATCCCCATTCCCAAGCCATAGAGCCAGCGTTTTGTCTGAAGACAATCTTCCGTGGTCACATGGCCAGTGCTACTTAGACACGGAACGCTGTTACCTTCCCACCGAAGTGGTCCCTATTTATCTACTCCCATTTGCATGCTTTCGAACTGCTAAGTTGGCGGGAGCTGGGACAAAGCAACGGGAGCTCACTCCGTCGCATGGATTCGATCTTACGACTGCTGGTCTTCTGACCCTGCAGCACAGGCTTCTGCGGTTTAGCCCGCAGCACCACCACATCCCTCTCTCTAAAACACTAGACTATTCCAAATATAAATAACACAAACCAAGAGGTCAGCAAATAATATTTTTCCAAACGTACAAAGTGATATTCCTCTCCTTCTTCCACTGTCCTAATAGGGGAGAACTTCTCCAAAAGCTTCCCTAAACAGCTGTTTTTAGGTGCTGTTTAGAGACGCAGAGGGAGGGTGCTTGCCATAATGGCTGCAAGAGAACATTCCACAAGTGGACCGCCAGTGCTGAGAAAACTTGGTTTCTAGTTGACATTTCTTCTTAATGTGTTAATATCCACAAGTTGTGAAGTCTGAGAGCTGGGTCAAATGGGCAGCTGAACTAGGCAGATGTCCAGATTATGACATATTTTCAAATTGTGCTTGAATTCAGAGAGGTGTGAAATACTTGTGTGAAATACTTAAATTACATGATCTGATACTCCATTATTTGTTCAGAAGAAATAAGATTTCTATTATCTCAAAGGCATCTGGTCTGATTTGGTTTCCTTACAGACTTAGTGGTGTGGGGACAGCTTAAAAAAAAAAACCCAACATGCTGATTTGGTTTCATGTCATCGCACATTAAACACATCATATAGCTAAGCTATATAGCTAACCTATAGAACAGCCGATCCAAACCTGATACTATCCAAATGTGTTGAACTGCAACATCCCACTACTTCTAGTCACATGACTGTGGGATGTGGTAGAAGGTATAGTCTGAAGAATATCTGTTGTAGGGAAAACTAAGCTCGAAGATTTAGATGTCAGTTGATTTAGAACTCCATCTCTCCTCCCACTTTCGATACAGACCTCAGAGCACTCAACATCTTCTGGGACTCTCTTGTCCCCGGTTGCTAAGGGCAAGCTTGTCGCAAGTAGAAACAATACACTTCAGAGCAAACAAGCTTTGTCTTTAGGACTTATCTCTGGGAATGGGCCAGAGTTGCATGGAGACATGCAGATTACAAAAGGTGTTGCTATTTATGTATTTTTACCCTCCCCAACGGTTGTTGGTAAGAATGTCAAAGTGCCTACTCCTTTTACAGCTCTGTAAAGCTTGAAAGCTTCCCAAATTGTTGCTGTAGATTTATCCTGTAATGGTAAACAGAGTGAATGAAGAATATGGTTATTTTTTTTCTTCTGGAGGAGCTGCATGTTCTAAACAAGAGATATATTTCAGATTTGTAAGGCCCAGTCCAGTGATCAATTTTCAATGACTGCTGCAGCATTTAGGATTTGGGGTGAGTTTCCTACGCCTGCAGTTCTGAGGACCAGCAAATTGGCGTAACTTCAGGGATGCCCTGGTGCTAGCGTGGTTCTGTGAACTGGGCTGAGGCTGAACAGAGCTAGAAACATGACTGGGGAAATCATTCAGACATTCCTCAGTCCCCTACAAAAATTGTCAGCATCAGTTAAAACATTCTGATCAAGTCTAATGAGGAAAAAAGTACATTGCCTGCCCATCTTTGACTGCTCTGCCGCCACTGTTGCAATAGAAAAAAATAGACTTGTATTAAACAGAAGCTAATAAAAACACACCCACACATATATGAACCCATGAACTTCTCAAAGATTGGGCACTGAAGAACAATATCTGTGACTGTATAGGCTCTCGTTCTGTTTTCAGGGCCACACAAGTCATCAGCGCAACAGGAGGAAAGGAAAAACCAAGCACAGAAGGGGTTTTGGGGAGGTGGCAGAGGGCATTAGTATGACTCCCAAAATCCCTCAGCCCACATGGCTAATGACAAGAGGAAGCACATCCAAATAAGAAATGGGTACTTAGTGGCTTGGAAGTAGAGGGTCTGAAACCACGTATGAAAAAACAGCAAAACTGAAGGAAGGACAGGTGCATGGGCTTTGCCTAGCAGTTCGAAAGCACGTAAAAATGCCAGTAGACAAATAGGTACCACCTCGGTCAGAAGGTAAAAGCATTCCATGTCTAGTCACGCTGGCCACGTGACCACGGAAATTGTCTTCAGACAAAAAAACACTGGCTCTTTGGCTTGGAAACGGGGATGAGCACCACTCCCTAGAGTCGGACACGACTGGACTAAATGTCAAGGGGAATCTTTACTTTTACCTTTACTCTACTTGGCTTTAGAGAACATATTTGAGGTTCCAGGAAAAATTATGTGAGTAGAAAGTAGGAATGTTACAAGAAATCACAGAATTTGTCATTCTTGGCAATCTTCCAAGGCTTGCCATGCTGAGACTTCACATGCCTCTTCAAACAGGAATCTACTCTCATTTTATTGTTTTCTTTGCTGTTTGTTGCCTGTTGAACTGCACAGGAAATTGACAGTTTCCATAGGGCTTGATATCTCTAATGATGAATCCTGCACAGGAAATATGCAATACTGGGCAACAATTATAACAGGCCTCCACAGCTTGGTGTATCTTTTGATGTTTCCTGGTGAACCCTGCGGAGGAATGAAACATGGTATGGTTTTTCTTCTATGCTTTACAGGAGAATCACAGACAGGAAATATGTCATTCTGTGCAGGAATTGTAACAGTTGTGCACAACGTGGCATTTCCCCCCCAGAAAAATGTGACCACAAACTTTTTGAGAAATCCCGTAAGATTTCCCACAGGATTTCTCAAGGGAAAAGTCTGCGCTGAAGAACTTCACTGCAAGCAGAAAAGAGAGAGGTGTTTCCTTGGTGTCTCTGTGACACCACAAGATTCATATCCCTACCAGAAAGGGTAGCAATCCTAACCTTTAATGAAGAAAGAAAAAGTTGAATGGCTGCCAGACCTTTCAACAATACTGATCTACCAAGGAGCTATTTTATTTCCTCAAAAGCGTTTTTTTGGGGGGGAGGTTTACTGACATAAGAGTGTTAGATGCTGTCTTATGCTGAATTGGACATTTATGATTATCTCACTGTACCTGAGTAACAGTGTGGGATAAAATATTTATTTATTTATTTATTTATTTATTTATTTATTTATTTATTTATTTATTTGCTTTTTATCCCGCCTATCTGGACCAATGGTCCACTCTAGGCGGCTTACAATATAAAATCAGAAAATAAAAACAGTATCAAATACATAATAATAAAAAATAAAATAAAAAATAGAAGAGTAAAGGAAAATCAAGAATTGGCTGGAGGGAAGGCCTGGATAAACAGCCATGTTTTTAATTGGGTTTTAAAAATGCCCAGTGTACAAAGATGTTCTCTACTGAATAAAGTTATTGATCCTACTAGAAATGGCAGCAGTTCTTCATGCCTTGGGCCAGAATTGTTTCACAGCCTTGCCTGGAGGAATGAATCTGGAACCTCCTGCATGTAAAGCATGCGCTCCACCACTGGCTACAGCCCCCTGCGCCCCTCTCCTCTCATACATGATACTGAATCTCCCACCTTGGATTCAGTCTCATGTGAGATCGCTAACAGATTAACCGCGGTGGAGCACCTGATTTGCATGCAGAATATCCCAGGCTTGACCCTTAGCCTCCCCAAGGAAGGCTGTGAAAGAATTTCACCAAAAATCCTTTAGAACTTGAATCTGGAGATGCTCCTAAATCCAGTCTGACAAGACGATTCTTAGTGAGTTCACACAGATCCCTGGATTACTTTGATAAGTAAGGCAAGTAGTGTGATCCCACTTCCCATCTCTAAATCCTGATTTATATGTCAACTGTGAATGAAAGTAGGAGAATGGCTTTAGGCATTGATGAAAGTGAACAAGTAATACACAAGACACAAGGATGCAACAGAACAAACGCTTACATAAAATCCTTTGTATTTATATTGGACGCAACAAGGAAGCCTGAGACCCATTACTTGTTTGTTTTTCCTTCCAAATCAAGGGTTGGAGGTAATTTATTTTCCCCAACAAGGGAGAGCAGGAAGAACGAATCAGAATAGATCAGAGTTAGTTTTAAAAGCATTTAATGACATAGCATATATTTAACAGATAGGGTAAAAGTCTAGAGGTACAGTTCCATACAACCGAAAGCCAGTTTCCAGTACTACGCTGACTACAGGCCCAGTCACTGAGAATTCATTCCTATTAAATGTATTTTTGTTTGATTGTGCAGTAAGATGAAAATTGTTCATTACAATAGTTACAGTGACAGAGAAATGCACACTATGTATCAAAGAGCAAAGGTAATGTAGCAAAATTATAACACAGTGCAGCAGCTGACAAGCAAGTTAACCATTGGAGCAACGTTACTTTTTTTCCAGTAAATGCTTCAGTTCCACTTTTACACTTAATTGATGATTTTAAAGGGTTTTTTTAATTATACATCTAGTTTTATTATACTTTTTTTACTAGAATTATCTGAAACGTACAATATAATGTATTTCAGCAAAATAAAAAAAAAATTGAAATTACAGATTATTTAAAACCGTTATCAGTATGCTAAGTCCTTCTTGTCCAAACCAACATTCTTAACTGTCGTTGCTGGATGCAGGGTGGGGCTGGGGGGGGTAAGCATCACAATTGTGTTAATAATAATAATAAAATGCTTGGATACAAATGGTTTTGGTCTGTAAGTTAATGCCGAGCTGCACTTTTATTACGGTAAAGAGAATACGCTACCCTTTCATTACAGGCTAGATTCGCAGTGGGGAGAATCAAGTAGTCAAGACTCAGCGCAACCACCTCAGATGGAAGTGAGAAAAAAAAAGCATGTTTATTTGTCTCCGATGGGCGTATTAACTTTGTAAGCATTGCTGCCTTGCATACCAATAACACGAAGTGGGGTTTTGTTTTTCCAAGACAGCCTCAAAAAATTGAGGAACAGTTTAAATAGTAAGATCTAATCTACATTAACTTCATTTTTTTAAAAAAAAGAGAGAGAGAAAGAGAAGGAGGGGGGAAATTAGGAAAAAGGGAAAGAAAGAAACTGGTGTCCTAGCTTACTCAGAATCTGCCCAATGCACCTCAGACTTTTGTAACTTTAGAATCTTTTTTTTGTTTATTTTTTAAAAAAATGCTCTATAAATAAAAAAAAATTAAATCACACTGAGGAACATTAGGCACGGAGAGTAATGTATTGGTTCTGAGCTTGCATGCTGGAATTCCACTGGAACGGTTGGAGAAGTGCAGCGTGAACAGGTAAGCAGGTAAGTTCACTTCTTTTTCCCGAAAAGGCTGAATCTCTTCTCTTTGTCTTTCTCCTTGTCTTTCTCCCGCTTGCCAGGACTGGACTCGCTGGTTATTGTCACGCTGGCCGGCAGGGTCTGGGCACGGCTCGTGGCTGGGGTGCTCTGTGTGCTTGTGGAAAACTCGGCTTTGTCCGAGGAGATGGCCAGAGTGATGGCCTGGATCCATGTGTTCATTTCCTCCTTAAAAGAAACATGAGCGACAAGCCATTTATTTATTTATTTATTTATTTATTCATTCATTCATTCATTCATTCCATTTATACCCCATCTATCTGGTCATATTGACCACTCTAGGCAGCTTTCATTCAACGGCACTTTTCGGAAGTGTTTTATGCCTTTGTCGATGTTAACTGACTTCTGAGATGGAAAAAGGTGCAGCAATGTTCTGATGAGCTGAAGAATGGAGTGTTCACCTAACAGGGCTGGGAGAGAGTCTCCCATTCCAGAAAATGGGGATCCCTGAACATAGGAAAGTGACTTGTTTCATAGGTGGGCACATGTTCCTTCCAGCCCAGTTCCTGTTAACAGGAAATCTGGAGTCATGGAACTGAATCTGCCCCTTCCTATGTTTTTGGGCCACACTCCTTCTCCATGGCACAATCTATTGGGGACTTCCTACCTTTTGTACCAGAGTTTTCTCCTTTCTAAAACATTGCAACAACTTTCCTAAGGCTTTAGTTCCTTGCAGAGATAAGAACTTAAAGCTAAAACATGATAGTATTTTTGCCCCCACCCTTTTGCCTTTGGCTTTACCCAAAACAGTCATGCAGTCCTTAATAGCTTCCTTGAAAGAGAATTTACCTTTCGGACTGAAAAAAAGTCAATGCATTCATAGATTCTATTTACAGTATATCCTGTTTTCTCCCAAGAACACGACTCATGATACTTTGCACTCGATTTACTGTCCACTTTGACTGGCAGTTGTTCTCTGAGGCTCTTATAGATCACCTAATGATTTATTCCTTTTGTTTTAGATGCCAAACATTGCATCTACCACCATCTGCATGCACCCTGTCAGCTCAACAAGTTTTTTCTCTTGCTTTCATCTTGAGGCCTGGTGGAAGAATCTTCCCTCCTTCGCCCAATTTTTAAAAGGATTTTTAAAATTTCAGATCCTCGCTCTGTATGGCTTTGCCTCCTAGAAGCGACAGTTGCCACCTCAACAGAGAAAGGTCACAAGACAGGCCTGGGGCACAAAACATTGAGCAGTTACCTTGAAAATAAATTATAATGTAGTGTGGAATTGGGAGAGGAGTCTAGAACAGACATTCCCCTTAGCTAAAAAACTGTATGTACTCCATCACAACTGAGATAATGAAGGTCAAGAATCTGCTGTAAGGATGCTAATAATGTAGTAACACATACAATAGCATAGCATGGTGAGAGTATAATGCTAGTAACAAGAGAGTTCTTTTAGAAAAATGAAAAGAGGAGAAGGAACAGAAACTTACATCATCTTTGGCTTGGAAGAGGTACTCATTGCCGTCAGTTAACCTGAAATTCAGAATGACAAATTTGTATTAGAATCAAGTGTGGACACTGCTCCTGTCATCCAGGAAGGAGCAACAGAAACCGAAGCCCTTATTCTTGCATTAATAATCTCACTTGAGAATCCTTGCCGGAATAGGTACCACCCACACCGCGTCCTCTTCCTTGATTGAGGAGGGCCCACCTACCTTCCAATTCTTCTTCACCCACTACAAACCAGTTGGGAGTGTTCTAAGTTGGAGACTATGTTGAGTAGCCCTTATTCCAGCAAATTAGGTACAGTATGTCTGAGGCCACATCCAACACAAGGCTGCGTTTCTGTGGCAGCAATACCGGTTCTTGGGCTCCAAATGTCTCTTACTGTATATCATAATTTCAAGTAAGAAGAACAGTTCTGCAAGTTGATCCCATCTACATTAAAGGATGGTGTGCCTCTTTGAGTTATGGTGATCCTATCCAGGGTTTTTTAAGTAGAGATTGCTCGTAAGTGGTCTACTAGTCTCTTCTTCGGGGGGGGGGCTTCCTGGGGCTATGCAGCTTGCACAGGCTGGCTCTTCTCTCTGGAGGCACAGCGGGGAATCGAACCCCCAACCTCTGGCACCACAGCCAGATACTGTACCTCAAACATTGAGCTATCTTGCCATATCTGCTGGTTCAAACTAAAGGTTTATTTCATCCAGTATTTTGTTTTCCATAATGCTTTATCAAATATGTTTGGGAAGCCTATAAGCAGAACAAGAAAAGACCTGGGGATACAGAACAGATCGTCATTTTGATTTGTCTTATTTTTCATGGAACCATCTGATTCCTTCTTAAATCAAAGCACTGAGAGAAATCCTTGGGTCTCCAAAATGTTCATATCATTTTGGCAAGCAAATAAATGTATAAAACGTATTTATAAATTTATACACCCATATGACAGGTACCAAATTGTATATAGACAATATGGTACCCTCCATATTGGTTGTCTTACAGCACCCATCATCTCTATTGTGACTATTAGAATTTTCTTTTCCAGTTGTCATCAGAAGCCTTATGGGCGGTCATGTGAAAGTGAGTCACAGTAAAATGATACACAGTAGTGTATATTGTACAGAAACCCTTGCCCCAAGAGTTCCATGCAGCTCCTACGGTGGTGATGTGTTTTGTCACTGCTTCAAAAGAAATCTGCTTTGGTGGCTCTGGGACTTATCTGGCCTTTGAACTGTCATTTGCTCCTTGGCTTCTTTGTTTTCATCCTGATTGTTTTATCCACCAGTTTATTCTTTAATCTGTAGCTATAAGCTTCTTTGAACAGTGCACAGGAGCAGACAGAAAAAGAGGTGTTTGAGTGTGTGTGCATGTTCAAAATAATAAAAAGGAGTACAATAAACCCCAACCACTCAATCTGTCTTGAGCTTCCTATGATTCTGTGTTGACACTAAAAAACAACACAAGATTTGTTTTAAAATACCAACTCTCAAATACCAACTTTGCTTATTTGTTTCTAGAGCTTATGATTACAAAGATACATCAGTGTATGAAGGTGGAGCTTCCGAACTTAGAAACTTCCTGGTCCCACTTCCTGACAACTAAAAGCAAAATAACTGCAAAGCGTGGGAAAAAGCAAGATCTGCAGAATCAGCTTTCCAAAAGAAAATTGTGCTACTCTGCTCAATACGATCCATCAAAACAGATCATGGAACAGGGAATGCTTGGGACCAGGCAGAGACTGGAATTTTTTTTATTTTTATTTATTTATTTTTTTTGTGACTACAAATCCCAGAATCTCCCAGCCAGGGCTACTGATTGGGAGTCTCTAGAAACAGTACAGTTTCTAAACTCTGGATACAACATATTGATTTGACACATCTGAATTTGATTTCAGGACCTACTGTCTCTGAAGTTGGATATTCTACATACGAGAAACAGTATAACAGTAATGGTTGTTGTGGGTTTTTCGGGCTCTTTGGCCGTGTTCTGAAGGTTGTTCTTCCTAATGTTTTGCCAGTCTCTGTGGCCGGCATCTTCTTTCTCCTTCCTTATTCTTTCTTTCTTAAATTTATATACCGTCCCAGTAGTACATGCACTATTCTGGGTGTTTCACAGCAAGAGGTGATACTGTGGTAAATGTTGCCGTGGCAACCAGATGTGCCTGAGGAAATGGGATTATAATCGAACAAAGCTCACACTGAAATGAAATCACTGGTCTTCAAAGTGACACGTTTTAGTTTGGCTTTTGTGACACACGTTGGAACAGGCCGGCGTGGCTTATCTGTTGCCTTGGGCAAAGTGGTGCAGACCCAGGATGCCCCCAGACAAAGGGAAAGGTAAAACACTTCTGAGTAGTCTCTACCTAGTAAACTGGACAGCACCTAAAAGTCCATCCTGTGGACTCTTCTCTCCCAGGAGAAGATGACAATATCTTACCTTAGCTTAAACACATGCTTTTTCTTCTTGTATTCAACCGCCACTTCACATACTGCTTCTTTCAGACTCACAGGGATCTCACTGTGGTAAGGAATGCCCGAGGAAGCGGCTTTTGCATCTTTATAAAAGCCCATCTCTTGGTTGTTGATGACGCAGTACACGTTATGCCAAGATCTTGGGAGAAAAAGGAGAGTATAGAGCAACCACTGAGCATCACGGCCTTAGAGAAGCAGATCTCTTCCCTCCCTCCCTCCCTGGCTTCTCACGGCAGCATTACATAAGCAAAACAAGGGCCTTTGCTGATAAGAGAAATACATTTATGGGGAGGAAATGTGGAGGGAAGTACTTGAGAAGGAAGATAGTAAACAATCCATTTTAAAAAAGACCACTCAGGCAGACAGTCATTCAGGGAAAGCTTGCCTGAAGAGAAAGGCCTTCATCCGCTCAAGGAAGGAAAGCAAAGATGGGGCCAGTCTGGCCTCCTGTGGGAGGGAGTTCCAAAGTCTGGGAGAAGGCCTTCTCCCGTGTCCTCATCAAATGCAGCCGTGATGGTGGTGGGACTGAGAGAATGGCCTCTCCTGATGATCTCAACCGTCAGACAGGCTCATAAAGGGAGACACCATCCTTGAGATAGCTTGGACCTAAGCCATTTAGGGCTTTATAGGTTAGCATCAGCACTTTGAATTGTGCCCAGAAACAGATTGGCAGCCAGTGGAGCTGCTGGAACAGGGCAGGTTATGTGATCTCTGTAAGTAGCCCAAGCCAGCAATCTGGTTGCCACGTTCTGGACCGGCTGAAGTTTCCTGACACTTTCCAAAGGCAGCCCCACATAAAGTATGTTACAGCAATCCAGGCTGTAACTAAGGCATGTGTCACTGTGACTACATCAGAGCATTCCAGAGAGGAGTGCATCTGGTGCACAAGTTTTAATTGTGCAGAGGCACACCCCTGAAACATGGGCATCTAGGCTCAGAGAAGCATCCAGGAGCACTCTCAAGCTGTGTACCTGTGGTTCATCCAAAGACAACAGGGCCCGATTCAGAGCTTGAAAAGTTATTCTTTTAGACTGCAATTCCCAGAATCCCCAGCTGGATGAAGATTCGAATCTAATTTCCATTTGCAATCTCACCACACCCATAGGTTTGGGCATAGAGTGAGGGGAAGCCAGTTCACCGGGCTCCCATTTCCTGTTTATGTTTTGAGGTTCACGCCCTATATACAGTTGTTAGATGCAAACAGCACAGACCACTGGATCTGGTTTAACTTGGTAAGTCACCAGTTATGTAAGTTGCACTGCTTCCCTGAACTCATCTGACCTCATCTGATTCTGGAAGCTAAGCAGGGTTAGGCTTTGCTGGAAGGGAGACCAACAGGAATACCAAGGATCTCCATTTAAATCTAAGAAAGACTGTTGCTTGAAAACCCAGGAGAGTCACTGCCAATCAGTTAGCAATTCTGAAAGAGACAGACTGACAGTGTGTCTCAGTACAAGAAAACACCCTGTTTGAGTTTAGACCTATGTCTACAGGAGCTGAACAAATTCCCGTATTTTTCCGTGTATAAGACTATACTTTTGTCTAAAATCTTTAGACGAAAAATTGAGGGTCGTCTTATACACGGAAGTAAGCTGAGAAGAGAACCAAAATAAGTGGAGGGGAAAGCAGGGATCAAAGTGATCCTGCAGGGCGTTGATCCCTGCTTTCCCCTCCACTTGCTAAACCCCACTTAGATTTCTTAATTTTAGATTAGAAAATTGGGGGTGTCTTATACATGGGGCGTCTTATACACAGAAAAATACGGTTAATCAACAGATGACTAAACTCAGTTGGTCAGAGTGGAAACACAATACCTGTTTGAAGCCTTCTTGTTGTGTGATTCCCACTCGTGCTTACGATGCAAGAAGCCCTCCATCTGAGCTGGGGGCGTCTCTTGTGTTTTGGCTGGGAGGGTGGCCGCAGTCTGAGCCTGGAGGCCTGTCTTCGCTTTGCGATCTGCGGTCGGTGAAGGAACCGGACTTGTCTCTTTAGAACTTGTCCGCTGGTCTGCCGCTCCGTTGACCATTTCAGTAGCTTCTCTTGCTTCTCCCATCTAAGAAACAAGAGTACATAGAAACATGTAATTTCTGTCCATTAGTAACTTACTGCATAACATTTTTCTTGAGTTGACAAATACATTTGTTGGTAGAGTCTTGCACACACTTAAAACGCCTAGGTTGTCTAGTAAAACTGTCCTCACATCCCAAGGGAGAAACAGAGGGCCAAAGGAATTAGATTATCAATAGATTAGTACCCAAATTGAAGAAGTGAAACAACAAGGAGGAGGAGAAGGGATGATCTATTTGTGAGAGTTTTACTCCACCTGGCTCTGCAAATCAAATCAAATCCTTAATATGCCATCATCGAGTAAATGCAAACTGTACATGCAACTAAGTTTTCTCCATTAATGGCTATGGAGAATATAAATCTTTGCCATTCCAATACTGGTAGGGAAAAACTGATGCGTGTGTGAATTCCAGTACTTAGGCCACATTCTTTACTTGTGATGATTTCCGATTGCTCAAATACTGCAACAGTAAGAATTTCATGGTAATAATTTGGAAAGAAGAGAAAAGGGAGAAAAAGGCTTTTGATTCACATCAGCTATCTTTCTCATGCATCTATAAAATCACTGCATGTGAGTCTGTGCAGTAACCCTAAAGATGCATTAAACCAGTAAGAGAGTTAGCGTCATTTGCAGAAACACTTTGATTCAGCATGGAATTCCCCATTTGCTTCCACACCTCTACCACCAATCCCGTTTCCAAGGTGACAACATAATCAGAAGGCAGCATGCAAATATGGGAGGATAAGAGGACAACATGCATATTCATGATTTCAACGACTTTAGTGACTCAAAAACAGGCAGGTTGAAAGGGAGGGAGTCATGTGGAATGAGAAAGGTCAAAAGTTAAAATGTTATTTTATTTCAAAGTCTCTTATCACTGGACTTTGGAATCGGGCGGATTGGACTGGACGTCAAAGGAACAAGGAAAACACTACAACCACTCAACATCACACGTCTATTTACCCCCAGACAAATACAGAACCGAGGCCTTGGCCATCGCTCTCTCTGTCGGTCACGTTGCCCGCTGTACTGTAAGTGAGGTGCCTAGTCGGGCCAGCTCTGACTGGTCATATTCTCGATGTCGTCCAGCAGCCATTTCATCCCCCAAATGATTTACAACCGGCATCCTGAAAGCTTTAAACTTTCACAACAGTGGCTTGGTCCCAATGGGGACTGGCAATGTTTACCAAGATTCGGGATTTTGAGTTCAGTGCCATGGAAAAGCCGTTGATAGCAGCTTGCAAAGGGTTATGTAACTAGAGTATAGGGATTATTATTAGCAAGTTACTAAAGCCTGCTGCTGCTCAGTGCTCAAGTAGTAGATTACAAACACTCTGTGCCATTTACATGGAGGACAAACAAATATTCTTAAACTGCGTAATGATTACAAGACATGTTTGCTGTTCTAGCCAGGCTTGGGACAGTTGAGAAGCAGCAGAATTATTACGGAGCAAGCTGTACATTTTATGAACATAGTTTGGTCTGATCCTTGTGAATGAGACTCTCGCCAGAAACATAATGGCAGATTGGCCAGCTGCTAAAGACCTCCCGAGGTCCTTAGAACATGGTCTTCTTGATAGTGGCACCTGAGTTCTGAAAAACGTTCTCTGGGGAGACTTGGCTATTTTCCTCCCAGTCGTCAATAAGGGTGTTTAAACTGTTTTGTTCATAAAGATTTTATGCTCCCAAAGCCCCAGATTTTTATTTATGATGTTGCTGTTTCTAGTATGCTTGTAGGTTTTTAAAAAATTATTCTTGTTCTTGTTGCTTTATTTGTGAACTATTTTAGGGTTTCATGTGAAATACTGTAATACAATTACATAAGTAACCTTTCTCCTTCTCTTCCTATACTGCCATATACAGTGGTGCCTCGCTTTACGATTGTCCCGCATTACGACAAAACCACATTACGACTATCTTTTTGCGATTGCAAAACGATGGTCTAAATGGGGTTTTTTCGCTTTGCGATGACCGGTTCCCTGCTTCGGGAACCGATCCTTCACAGAATGACAATTTTCCTACAGCTGATCGCCGGTTTCAAAATGGCTACCGGGTAAATAAAATGGCTCCCCGCTGTGTTTAGGGACGGATTCCTCGCAAGACAGCCACTGAAAATGGCCGCCCTATGGAGGATCTTCGCTGGACGGCGAGTTTCTAGCCATTGGAACGCATTGAAGGGTTTTCAATGCGTTTCAATGGGCTTTTTATTTTCGCATCACGACGTTTACGTTCTACACCGATTTCACTGGAATGAATTAATGTCATAATGCGAGGCACCACTGTAGTATATATATGGCCCTTAGGGGGAAAATCTGCTCAAAGGGCTTAGTTCTTGCAATCGAAAAGATGTATACAATTCCACAACTGTATTTTGAATAATTTACTCCAGTGGTAACCTGAAAATGTTTATTCATTCTTTTTAAAGAGGCTGGCTTAAAAGTATACAAGTAGTCTATATTAAAAACCCATGGCACAAGAGTCCAACTGAAACTGCTCAGCTGGATGGTCTTAGGCTGCTGTCCTATTCATACTTACCTACGAGTAAGCTCCAATAGACAAAAACAGGTCTTGCTTCCAAAATAAAAAATAAAAATGGATAGGACTAAGTGGTTCATTCTTATATCCTTTTTCCTAATAGTAAGCCCAACTAAACTGTGTGGCTTTACATCTTAGTAGCCATGCACAGGACTGCATTGTGAACCATGATGGAATCTGTAGCATTTTGACATTTCCTCCAGATATTTCTCCCCAGTCTTCTAATGTTATAATAAGAACATGAGATAAATTGCTGTTTTGGAGCTCAACCAAAAGTATCAATCATCATGTTTTGTACTCAGTTCTCACCCTACCCCCAAAGAAAGAGTTTAGTGGCCCAGTGAGAGCTTGTAAAAAGCATTTTTGGAACTATAATTTTCAGATTCTTCCAACAGCATAGCAGCTGAAGGATTTTGGGAGCTGTGAACAAAAAATAGGTACGGGTATTTTAAACCATAGCCAATCTCCCCAAGAATCTAAAAAAGCAGCCTTCACTTAAAAAAATTATGTGGAACTAGAAGGGACCATCAAATGCATTTTCTTGATTGATTGTTTTATAAAAAATCAGTCAGATGATAAATCAGAGATCCTTTAGTGGTAAAGCAGTTACCTTGAGTCTTCAGATATTATTGGATTACAACTTTTAGAATTATTGGCCATGCTGACTAGTTTCTGGAAAGCTGGAGTCCAACTACACTAGGATGCCCAAGTTTATATACTACTAGTAGAGTCATTCACAGATTGTATTTTTTTAGAATGACTAGTAGCCATGTTAGTCTGTGCTGGCTTATCAGGCAAAAACAAGATAAAAAATAAAGAAGGCACCTTAAAGACTAATGGCTATATTTCAGTGTGAGCTTTTGTGGACAACTCCACTTCCTCAGACATTCTTATGTCCACTCTTATGTCTTAGGAAGTGGATTTGTCCACAAAAGCTCACATTAAACCATAGCAGCTAGCTTTTAAGGTGCCACAACATTTTTGTCTTCTTTATTGTTTACTTTATACTTTGTTTTTGCCTGATATATCAGAGGATGTATGTACAGTATATAGAGATGGGTACGAATTGCTGGTTTGGGACAGTTGATTTCCCAGCTAAACAACTGATCTACAGTTCAGCACCCCGCCTCCTCCAGCAGCCGTTCACTCAGGGGTAATGCCCAGAGTAGGCAGGGCAGGGCACTTCCACTGAGTGGGCACCTGATGGAGGGAGCAGGGTGCTGAACTGTGGATCAGCTGTTTAGCTGGGAAATGAACCACACCAAACCAGCATCTCCAAAACACAGCCATGTGAGAACCTCTCTTTAAGACTACATCAACTGGGATAATAAGGCAAGTTTGTCTAATGGAGGATGACACAAACTGAGCCTTAGGGACCAATCTAAGGTGTAACATTTCAGTGCAATGATGTGATACCCCACTCCACCCCTACCTCATAGTCCTAAAAGATCAGAGCCAATATCATTTTCATGACTGTGCACTGGAGTCCTGAGATGCCCATAGTGATGTGGTGATTGGAAAACAAAAATTTTGCCATTAGAGCTCAAATCCACTCTGAATCAGGCATTAATTGAATGCAGTACTACCATCTTTGAAATCTGGAAAAAAATTTCTAGTAGCTTGTCAGGGACAAATATTTCAGCCCATTTTAAAAACACGTGCTTTTCATGGTAAACGGAACAAAACGGATGAAACGAATGAAACAAAACATGTATCTCAGTGATGCATCATGACACGGGGGGAAAAAGAACATAGCTAGATCAACTTTTAATGGAAAACATGCTTTGAGCATGCAGACAAACAATGCCACGGATGACAGTGATTAATAACAACAGCAACAAAACAGATAAACACAAGCAGGTTATGCATATAAATTTTCATCTCTAGAAGATTAATTGCAAGTCAATTCAGTGGCTAGCTCTTGAGGTATGCAAATTGTGCCCATAAGATACAACATGGCAGTGGGGGAGGGGGTGACTTGAAATCATTCCACCCCTCCCCCACTTTTCAAAGTGCATGAATAAATACTATATTCAATTTTTTTTGTGGGCCACAATAAACTGAAGCTGTGATTAACAGAGGAGAAAATCACAGAGTCCTCTCACTGTCTAGGATTCAGATGTGGTATATTTTATAGGACAGAACAGATGGATTATTCCTCTTTTCAGTTCCAAGTATCGAAAAGGCACTTCTATATGTTTTAATGCACTTTGGGGCGGGGGGGGGAGATCTAACACAGGCCTAATAGAAGCACTCAAACATATAAATACATTGATACAAGGAAATCTAAAAAGCATCAAGGAGCTAAATGCCGGTGTCCTGACAAGAAGGAGAGAGAAAAGAGAGATGTGCATGATAATGAAGAAAGACAGTCACATGAAAGTATAAAATCCTAAACTTTGAAGTTCTTGCAAATTTTGCCAGATATGGTTTGAAAATTGAAACTGATATACTCCATGTAAACTCTGACACAAAAACAAAAAAAGAAAGGGAGACCTGGATGAAATGTGTTGTGATCAAGATAAAGGTTAGAAACTCGATCTCATACTGGTGGTGAAAATCACAACAGAAATACTTTCTGAGGTAACAAGGTCATAACAGAAAAATGGAAAAGTAACGCATAAGCTTTTAGAAATCTCAAAAATGTCAGTGACTTTGAACTTTCCTACCATTATTCCCACCCTCCAAGCTAGGAAAATGACTCGTCAACCACGTCACAATCTTGGATTATGTGAATGAAACTTGTTTTTAATGCCCCCTTTTCAGCAAGGCTGCATAATATATAGTATCCCTTTAGCATTAAAAAAAACCCAAAACTTCATTCACTATCCATAATCAAAGGAAATGAAATAAGATTTTTTTTTCATGGAATAAAACAAGTTTGGTTGTTTACTAGATCTTCTCTCCTCCTCAGTGCTTATCTGAATGTGGTAGGGTGGTTGTGATCCAGAAGCAGGTACTGGATTAATGTCTATGGTATTCTTGTTGTGAGCCAATTGGCTCTGTAGTAGACTACTGTAATCTACCACAGACCCATTTGGCCCACAACTAGATTCCCATACTGCTCCCCTGTCACCAAAAGCAATTCCAGAGCAGTGTACATCAAATTATAAAAACCAATATAAAAATTGAAACGGGTCTGACTGATATTCTGTACCATTTTCACCTTTATATCTTCTGTCAAAAAGGCTGGGGAAGTGTAACCAAGTTAGCATGCTGGAAATTCTCTGCTCAAGTTTCTTCTCCTCCTCACCAAACAAAACTTCCCAAGGATATCCTGGGCAATTTTGGTAAGTCTACAATATAAGTGTGATCAGAGCGTTGTTGTTTTTAATCTAAGTTTCTCAGTCACAAAGGTTTGGATGGTTTTGGCCAACTGACCCCCTCTTAGCATAATTTCCCTCAACAAGCTATTGTGTGGATAAAATGAGGCAACCCCACAGACATTTCCTCCTCTAAGGAGTACAGAATATCGAAAGAGATGTTAAGGTCCTTCTTCAGACAAACAACAAACTGCTAACCAGCAGATCTATTTTTATTTTTATTTTTGGGGGGCAGGGTAGCATTGGTTGCTTTGTTCCTTCCTTCTACATTTTCCTTTTTGAGAAAGAATGACTAGAATCTATGAGCTGACATTATGTGATGTCAAATTGATTCCAGACTATGAATCAGGTTGACTGACTGCTTGATTGGCAAACAAACAAACAAATAAATAATGCATCTGCTTCATTAAGTGCCCTGGTGCTGCTACTGTTCCATGAAATGGGGGTGTGTGGCAAGAGGACAGCTGTTGAATTTGTCTGCATTTTCTACAGGGGTTGAAAGATCTGTAGTTGGGACTCCCTTGTCGCAATATAACTCAAATCCTGTTTTCCTTCGCCATGAGCTTATTTCCCTACTTCTCCTCCTCTCTCCTCCACAATTTCCCCATTTATGGTTTTGGCTGAAGCTCTGGACACAGCCAAGGTATCCTCCTAGGGTGAAAAAGGGAGGTACTCCACATCTTTCTCATAGAGACTTCCCTAGTACCTCTTCTTTGACCAGCGTGTGGGGAACAAGGGTGTCCTTTTATCTGTTCATGAAGTATGAAAAATGAAGGGGCACTCCCTAGACCACCACAAAGAAGCAAACTACATGGAGGAATATGTACAGTTGTGCCCCGCTTGACGATTGCCCTACGACGAATCTGTTTTACGTTGACGTTTTTGTGATCACAAAACGATGTTTTAAATGGGTTTTTTTTCGTTGTGCGATAATTGGTTCTCTGCTTCAGGAACCGATTTTCGCTTTACGACGATCAGCAAACAGCTGATAGTCGGGTTTCAAAATAGCCGCCAGCTGAAGAAAATGGCCCCCCGCTGTTTTCTAGGATGGATTCCTCGCTTTACAGGCACCGAAAATGGCCACCGTATGGAGGATCTTCGCTGGACGAGCAGGTATTCAGCCCATTGGAATGCACTGAACGGTTTTCAATGTGTTTCAATGGTTTTTAAAAATTTCGTTTGAAAATGTTTTTGCTCTACAGCGATTTTGCTGGAATGAATTAACGTCGTCAAGCAAGGCACCACTGTATGTTTGAGATAAATGTATGAAGAGGGAGCTGGAGCAGTTGCTGATGATTCCAGTAACATAAAGATGTGCATATATTCTGGGATGTTTGCTATATTTAAAAAAATCTACGCTTTGAATCCTATTATTTATATAACCGCATAGAGCACTAATCTCACTAGATGTGTAATCCTGAACACATTGCCTTGGAAGGAAGGTGCACATTCAGTGAGCCTTGCTCTCTAGGATACATATTCCGGGTTGTAGCCTGAAATAACTTATGGAAGGAAAATTGGCTCTGTGGAATGGGAAAAGACAGCTTTCCTTCTGTTTCCATTATGGCTGTGTTCACAAGTCCCCAAGTCAAACACCTCTGGCTTAATAAAGTATAAAATGAACTAGTTCCATGCTAGTAGATGTAGTTTATTTGCTCTTGTTTCACTCATCCCTTTATTGAAGCAGGTAAACAAAACTGGGAAGCTCAGCTTCATATACCATCTGAAACCTGGCATTATGGTTAAATATTGCCAACCCAGCTGTTTATAAATGCTGACGTTATTTGTCTAGAAATGATGGAATACGGTACACTTAACCATAATGCTAGTTTTGGACAGATATATTTACTGTGCATTGAAAGTATTCATTAATTGTACAATAAAATGTACATTCTTTCAAAATAATATTTTTAAATTAAAAGGTTGGAGGGAATAATCCAATTTTGATCTTTAAATGAGAGTTGAGCATAGATGGAACCAGCTTTGGGATTGAATTCCACAAGTGGGATGCTGTTACAATAAAAGCCAACCACAATCCATAGGGCAAGCAGTGCCTTAACTAGAATCAACTATAAATATAAGTTGCTGAGGTCCCTGCAGGCCTCCATTAGGTGGGATCAATGGTTCCCAACTTTGGATTCCCAGGTATTCTTGGACTAAAACTCCCAGAAGCCTTTGCAACTAGCTGTGCTGGCCAGGATTTCTGGGAGTTGTAGTCTCCTAGAAGAACATCTGGGGACTCAGGATTGGGTTAGATGTTTACATTTTTAAAAAAAGAGGAGAGGGAAGAACAAACTGTTCCTCTGAACAAAATGAGCAAATCTGATGCCTGCTCATTGTGTCAAAAATGGTCTCTTCCCCAATCTACCTACAGGCTGGGACAATGGATTATGGGAATAACCAGTTAGGCAAAACTGAGAGAGCCTTGCAGAGGTAGTGAGGCACTAAAGTTCTAGTCAGCTGTTAATTTTGTGACATCTTAGATTTAGCTTTTATCCTTGTTTCATAGATTCTCTTGGTTGGAATGCCAGACAACCTGTCATCCTCTAGGCTTTTATTTTTGGTGCATCTGCTTCTCCTCTCCCTCCCTCATTCCCCTTCCAGCCTCCTTCTGCAAAGTGCTTTCTCTTTGTAAAGCATAGATTACATACATAATACATCTGCTGAAAGTGCATCCGGGCCTGCTAGTACTACGGGACTCAAAACCAGTTAGTATAGCTAGAAGCATCGTACCTGTTCCGGTTCTACTTCTCTTCTTCCATTAGGATGAAATCTCATTACATTTCTCAATTACTCACAAAAAGAGATGGGTTTTAGCTGCAAAATCTCAAGGCTATTAACAAAATGAAAAACGCACAACAAAAGATGGTGAAACAAAAGCATGGCTGCAATGAAGCTGAAAGCCCCATGGCCTTTGAATCAAGGGAACATATATACAGTCAAAGAGCAGGGGTGTTGGGTGTGTGTGTGTGTGTGCAATGGCTAGTCATTAGATAAAAGCTGAATGGACTGCAGGTGTGGGGGGAAAGAAGCAGTAAAAGAAAACGGAAGGCAATCTACTTGAAGGGAAGTGAAAAGAAGCAGCCAATGGGTTTCTGCCAACTGCATTGTGTGTCTCAGAGTCCAGACCGAGGCCGTTCACTAGCTGTCCATCTGCTATTAAAGTTTTTGTAGTTTTGGTAGGTTTGGGAGCGGTAACTAACCCGGGGAGATTCTTGGTCTGGTGGCAAACCATTCTGGGAGACCTGTTCTCCTTTTGTACCATCCCTGTTGGGAGAGAGAGAGAGAGAGAGAGAGAGAGAAGACACATCAATAATAACTTAGACCAGTTTTTATAACGATGCCTGTGCCAAGACATCAGGACACAACTGCAGTAACCTCAGCACACTCCAAGACACTCTGAGGTATGGATGTACTCAGGCACATTCATGTACATAGTTTGGAAAATCTACTTTGGGGTTTTGTTTTGTTTTTGGACTCTGTCTCCCCAAACCTGCAGGTCACCAAGATGTCTAAGTGCAAAAAAGCAACATGGCCACATTCTGGCCATCTTGCTAGGCACCTGCACATCCCATGAAATGTTACCCAGGACAAACCCAACAAGGTCAGTGATAGCAATCACATTTTTTAAAAGAAAACATATGCATTGTTATATTCGCGAAGGCTTTCACAGCTGGGAGTGGCCACATTCTGGCCATCTTGCTAGGCAGCTGCACATCCCATGAAATGTTACCCAGGAGAAACGCAACAAGGTCAGTGATAGCAATCACATATTTTTTTAAGAAAACATATGCATTATTATATTCGCGAAGGCTTTCACGGCCGGGATCTAATGGTTGTTGTGGGTTTTCCGGACTCTTTGGCCGTGTTCTGAAGGTTGTTCTTCCTAACGTTTCACCAGTCCCTGGGTGCTCACAGAGTGCTGTCCTCTGAAGATTCCGGCCACAGAGACTGGCGAAACGTTAGGAAGAACAACCTTCAGAACACGGCCAAAGAGCCCGAAAAACCCAGAACAACCATATGCATTATTATTAACCATCTCATTGTTGTGACATGTGGTCAAGCCAGAACCGATTTATAGCGCACTAAGAGGACTTTCAAGGTAAGTAAGATGTTTATATGATCATCTCATATAAATGTGAGTATCTGAAATAGCTTCTGGAGACCCTCATGGATTCCAGGAGAAATGAAATCCAATTTCGCTTCACTCTGCAAAGTCAATGATTGTGGCGTGCCTCTTCAATGGTTGAATATTTTGCACATAGATGCATAAATCTCTAAAGGGCTTCTCAAGAAGGGACAGAACCACTCACTACATTTAACAGGAAAACCCTCCTTCGTGTCTTCTAAGCTCTTGATGACGTCCAAAATAGACTTTCCTCTCCAGCCATGCCAACGCTCTGGAATGCCCTTCCAAGGGCACCTTTTCCTGTCTTATCTCTCAATTTCTAATTGTCACGTGAGTATTTAAAAATAATTTTCTCTCCTCCTGTCTTCTGATCAAATTTCAACTTCTGGAGTTGTTTTGAAAAGCTTTTTAACTCCTGGTTATAAGCTGTTCGTGAGCATTTTTAAACAGAAATGCCATAAATGCTAAAAACATAATTAAGCAATCAACGATGGCAGGTCAAGCGCCCTCTTGGAGAGGAGAGTGTCTTTTTGGACTACAGCTTCCAGAGCTGTAGCCCACTATGAACTACACTTCCCAGCTCAGATACATAAATGTATACATAAGTTGACAAATATTTCGTTTTTAAATAAACACTTTCTGCCAGAGGCATGCAACCAGAAGAAAATTTAAGTGGTCTTTTTTCTCCAGAAGCATCCAGACTCACACATCAATAAATGCAGTTGGGTGCTATGTTAGATCTGCAGTGTTCTCCTTTCTCCTTCTCCAGATCATCCATGCACTTACCATTGCTGAGACTCCTCTCCAGTCTTGGGGCTTGGCTCTGGAGAAGGAGGCTGCCTCTTCCGCTCTTCCTCCTCTTGCTGCCGACGTACTTCTAACAATTCCAACTGGAAGTTTGAAGAAAAGCACGACTGTTAAAAGTTCCGTCCTTCCCAAGAGCACTGTTTCCTGGCCTACCCAATACCCTACCATCCGAAGGACCTAGGCGAGTGATAATAAGCCACTCCATCATATTTGACCAGGGCAGAAATACTCTCAACCAACTTCAGAGCCAAACTGAATTCAGCTCATGATATTCTGAAACCTAATCCCAGGAATCTAGGATGGCCCTTAGAAAAACCATACTTCCAAAGAGCTACTGGGCCTTTTTATCCTGGAGTGTCATCAGGTCCAGGAGGGGAAGTTGTTCCCTCCTTATTTCACTCCCATCTGAGTACTGCTGCCAGCGACAGCTTCAAACAGATAAATGTTATTTAAAATGAGGAAGGAACGGATTGGGAGAGCTGTCTTGGGACAATGTGAATTTCGCAGCTGGGAGTGGTGGAGGGAAAACTGGGAATTCTTCTCCAGCTCAGATTTTCATCCAAGCCAGAATAGAAATTCAAATCCCCTCATTATTTAGTGCATAATGAATATTACAGTTGGACCCTGTATCGACAGACTCAGTATCCATGGTTTCACTTATCCACGGTCTGAAAATATTAAAAGAAAAAAAAACAGAAAAAAAACTATTTTAACATGTATTACCGTAACAGGCCACCAGATGGAGCCACAGACCGAAGACTACATAGCATGGTCTCTGGCACCCTCTCATGGGTAGTTTTGGTAATGCATGTGATAATAATTTGGTTTTAGAACCCATGGGGGGGGCATGGAATCAATCCCCAGAGACTGTGGGGTTCCTACTCTATTAAGTGAATTTTATGCATCAGCTAAGTTCATGCAAGCTTCACTGTCATCTCTAGATTTAGGTGATGCTCTGGGCTACAACAGGTACAGCAGGCTCTTCGAGAAGAGAGGAAAGAGCCAGAGTTTTAAGCAAGAACCATGTTGATGGCTTCTTGATGGCTGAGGACCATTTCTGGAATGTCCTCCCCATAGGACCAGGGTGGGTAAAGAGTGGCCATTCAGATGTTGGCAACCTCCAACTCCCAGAAGCCCTAACCAGTGTAGCCAGTGGTAAGGAATGTGAGGAATTGACCTCCATGGTGCCCTTTGCCCACCTCTACTACAGCAGCTCAATATTACTGTAACTCCAATACCAGGTTAAGCGTTACTTATTTCTCCAAGTATTTTTAAAGTTTCAAACCTAATTTATATTTAATTCACGTTGCTGTTCCCATGCCTATGACATTATTATGAATGTTGAAAACTTTTGTTCCATTTTATTTGTAGAAGTTTAATTTTTCAGGTTTCTTTTAATACCCATTAATATGGATATTAGAAGAAACCTGAATAATATCCATTAATATGAATGGCAATTTAAAAAATATTCTAAATAATAAACCAACAACAACAACAACAACAACAACAACAACAACTTTCAGGTTTCTTCTATAACTGACCTAATATCCATTAATATGAACGGCAATTTAAGAAATATTCTAAATAATAAACAAACATCTACTTTTTGGTAACTTTTAAAATGTAATTTTAGTTTCAAAAAATAATTTCTAATGTAAGCATTTTTAAAATCTGTGGATAGTCATCATTGCTGGAAAAGAGGCATTATCTGTTTTCTCTCCTGCAAGAGGGAATGCCTCTTTTGAGATGTAACCTGTTAGACAAGAGGGCATCATAGAAATATGAAGCACGCATTTTGCTACAGGATTACTGTTTCATTCATTAGTAGACTGACCTGATCTGCTAATTGAGTGATCTATTAAAATCCATGGGATTAAGAGACATTTAATCAGATGACATTTTCAAACTGAACCTGAAACGGCTCCAGCTGCTTTGCTTACCGTAGTAAGTCTTTCAAGTGCTGCAAATCTTTCATCCCAGGTGGCTGCAGATTTTTCAAATGCTTCATGCCTCTTGATCAGTTTTTCTACTTCATCCACACTTTGCCCGATCTCACGACTCGACAAGTAGGGCTCCTGCCCCAACAGCCAGGCTTCGGCGACGCTGGCATCTCTCGAGAATTGGTGCACTTCCAAAACTGAGACAAAACGAGAAAGTTTTGGCGCCCAGGGCTGGCACATGCTGCGAAATATGTCTACGTTTTCTTATGCGGGCAGCTGTCTTCTTAAAGACATTGCACAAGACAGCTTTTTCACAGTTCGGAAAGGTATGCAACTCCCAGAATGTCCTAGTCTTCTTTCCTGGGAGTCGCAGTCCATAAGAATAACTTCCCTAGACACCAATCAGCTGGCAGGGTAGCTCAGTGAGATAGCCAGAGGTTGGGAGTTCAATTCCCCACTGTGCCTCCAGGGATAAGAGCCATCCCGTGTGGCCTTTGGGCAAGCTGCATCGTCCATGGATGCTCCAGATTCCAGAAGAAGGGAATGGTAGACCACTTCCAATTACCCTCTACCTAGAAAACCCTGAAAAGGGTCACCATACATTAGCACCCCAAAAGGCCCTTTACAGATTGCACCATGTCTTCTTCATCATAGAAGAAAATTTACTTAACACACTATAGAATTTGCCTCTGATATTTCAGTATCCAGGGTGGTCATACATGCACTCTCCCATGCTCTAACATGATGAGAAGTATTGAGAACATTGACCGGCATACTTGGTCACAGAAAGGAGGAAAGGCTAAAGATCCATGGTCATTTCCAATAGGAATTAATATGGTGGTTGCAAACATCCCACCTGGGTATGAATGAGGCTTTGAACATCAACATCACCTAATAAAGACAGCACACTATAAAGAGTGTGCCCCATTCATCTACCCCCCCACAAAAGGCAGACAGTAGATTCTTACTCAGTCTCAACCACTCCCATCTGTCTTCCCATTTGTCTATCATCTCTTTTCTCTTCTCTGTCAATTGCAATAGCTTTTCTTTGATCTGAAAAGAATGTAAAAAGACAGCATTAGGATCATACTGCCTGCTTCTCTTCCACCTTCTCTTCTATCAACATTGGTGTCATCATCTTTTTTATTTACTTAACATAATGACAACGACCACGACAACAACGATGATGATGATTTATATACCACCCATCTGGCAGCCAGGGCTACTCTGGGCGGTTTGCAACAGATAAACAGACAAAAGAATAACAAAACAGTGTCATTTCTTTCCATGCTCCCAGCACTGAACACAATTCGGCACCCGGAGGTCGGATTTTGCTAATTATATTAAAATCAAATGCTTTTTGTCTGCAGATCTTCAAATACTCTGTTCCTGAAAGAAACTGGAGTAACTATTCAAAGAACCCAAACTGAATGCTGAATATCCAAGTGAAAGATGAGCTAGCAGAGCTCCGTGGGTTGAAATGCCTGGTTGTGGAGGTCTTGGTTCAGAGGTTTGAATCCCCACTACGCCTCATGGGAGAGGGAGCAGCTGAGACCACCTGGAGTGTTCGTGGCTGGTGGGGTTACATGCCAAGCCGCATGTGTGGCTGTGGGAAAGGAGCCTCATCCCAGAACGCCTCCAGAAGGAAGGAGAGGGACATCGCTTTTGAGTGCTTTAAACCTGGAAAATGCTGGGAGATTTTCCATAAGTCGGTTCAATGGTACTTGACAGTAATTACTAATACGTTCCATTGATATCTGCATGAGCAAAATGTCCTGCCAATGCAGTAATGCTGGATCGTGCTGTGATCACTTCCTTCCTTCCTTCCTTCCTTCCTCCCCCCCTCCCTCCCCAGGAGAGGGCCTCGCCAGCTGTGGCACCCTTTACCTTTTTCAAATGCTCCATCCAGGAAGACTGTCTGGCGCCTATGCCAGAGTTTGGAAAAGTAACTTTGGGGGCTATAATTCACAAGATTCCTTTAGCTAGAATGGCCAGGACTTATTGGAGGATTCTGGGAGAGGTAGTTATTTTCTAAGCACTGGTTTGTGGCAACATCATTTAGGCACCAGATAAAGATTTCACTGCCAGCAAATTTGGTTTTAATGCTACCCGTTATTTTAGACACTGTTTATAGTTTAATTTTAACTTCATTATTAGCTGTTCTGGAAACATGCAGTCTGATGGGCAGAGTAAAAACCTGTGAAATAAATAAATGCAAATAAGATACATGTCCAGATAGACTGCATCCATTGTGGAAGATCTACAGAGGGTGATGTAAAGCAGCTTGGAAAAAGAAGGAATGAAGTACAGTAATAAACCTAGAGCCATCTAACACAGCCAAGCCTTGGCTCCAGCCCAGCAATTGCGATATGCAGTATTTTCTACGACACAGTTCCTTGCAATTAAAGAAAGGACACAATACCTCTTCTGACGCATAGTGTTTCCTTGCCAGCAATGATTTGCCCAGCTCAATGCAGGTTGTAAAGCTGTCATTACGAGCATCTATTTCTGCTTTGATCCCTTGGTGATTGTTCATCAGCAGTTCTACAGAGGAAACATCCCTAAAGGAAAATATTTGTAGTTTAGACAGGCAGACACCAAATTTATAACTACAACGTGGCAGCAGATGGCGCAAACCCAGCCAGGGTCCTGGGGCAACCTGAAAGCCTGATCAGTTTTATGTGGCCTAAGTTTTTTGTGGTCTGCAGCTGGTGTGTCATCAGATGCACATGAAGGAGTGAACAGCAGCTCCTGGAAGCTTACATGCCAGGTAAACCTGTAAGTCTTTAAGATGCTGTAAGACTCCCGATTGGCTTTTCTACAACAGAATACAGTGATGCCTTGCTTGACGATGTTAATTCGTTCGAGCGAAATTGCTGTAGAGTGAAAACATCGTCAAACAAAACGAAAAAACCCATTGAAACACATTGAAAACCGTTCAATGTGTTCCAATGGGCTGAATACCTGCTCGTCCAGCGAAGATCCTCCATATGGAGGCCATTTTCGGTGCTTGTAAAGCGAGGAATCCGTCCTAGAAAACAGCAGGGGGCCGTTTTCTTCAGCTGGTGGCCATTTTGAAACCCGATGATCAGCTGTTTGCTGATCATCGTAAAGCGAAAATCGGTTCCCGAAGCAGGGAACCGATCATCATTAAATGAAAAAAACCATTTAAACCATTGTTTTGCAATCACGAAAGCGAGCGCAAAAACCTAATCATATACCGATTTCCTTGTTAACGAGGCAATCGTTAAGCGAGGCACCACTGTACAGACCAACATGTCAGCTCCCCTCTGGAAATGTCTGAAATCGAGGCACATATAGACTTCTAGTACAGTGGTGCCTCGCATAACGAGTGCACCATTTAACAACGAATCCGCATAGCGATCTATTTTTTGCGATTGCTAATGCGATCGCATTGCGATGTTTAGATAGGGAAAACATTGTATTGCGATGATTGGTAAGCGTTTAGCTTACCGATCTTCGCATTGTGATGTTTTTAGAACAGCTGATCGGTGGTTCCAAAATGGCCACCGGGTAACCAAAATGGCCACCGCAAGCATTTTTGCGCGCTGCCCTCGCTTACCGAGGCGGTGAAAATGGCGGCACTATGGAGGATCTTCGCTCAACAGTGAGTTTTCGCCCCATAGGAACACATTAAACAGAATTTAATGCGTTCCTATGGGGTTTTCCTATCCGTATAGCGATGTTTCCGGATAGCAACGATTAATCCGGAACGGATTAATGTTGCTATGCGGGGCACCACTGTATTGTAATATTAATATTTTAATGCCAACCTCACAGTTAACGCTTAGTTTTCCACAGAAGCCAGAAGCCATTGTTTTGCTGTGTGCTTTGATTGCTTTACACAATTGCTGATGCATTTTGGCAGACTTGGTGTGCAGCAAGAAATACAAGCAGTGACCTCTAAACTAGCAGCAATTCATCCCTGTGCTTTTACCCCGCTGCACTTATGCTGGCATACTTAAGCAATAGGATTCTGCCCAGCGCATAGAGTGGTCTTTTAGACCAGATGGGCGGGGTATAAATCAAATAAATCAAATAAATCAAATAAATCAAATCAATCAATCAATCAATCAATCAATCAATAGTGAGTCAATGTTGTGGAGTGGTTTTTCAATCTATTAATAATAGCAATGGCAAGGGACAATGATCGAGACTGCACTATGGGCATAAACAAGAGGATTCAACTCTTTCCTCCTGTGTTCTTAATTAAAATGCTTTACCCTGCATCCCCCAGGCCAAAGAGTAGTGATTTTTGTTAGGATACTGATATAGCAGCCAACATTTATCTGCCACCTGTGGTTCTTTTTCTGATGGACTTCATCCTGCTGATGCTATTTAAAGTTAAAGAAAAAAGTATCACGCAACGTTTCATGCCATGTGTAGACTGACACCCTGTTTGTAAGATACACCAAACACCCAGTACACAAAGCAATGAGAAACACTGTGAATTTGAGAATTCCATAAGGCTTGTTGTTCTTAGATTCTGATTTAAAAAGTGCTAAGCTTTCCTATGAAGATATTGTCCAACCTCTTAATGATCTGATGGGCTGCTATTGGCAGAAACAAAGGCCAAGTGCTCACCAAGCAAGAAAGCTGTCTGCTTTCCACCTTTCCACCTAATATAGACCAAGGTGGAGAACTGGTCTATATCTACCAAGCACAATGCTAACTATGTACTGATACGAATTCAAATGTCACATGTCCAGTTAAATCTTAACATGTACCATGTTTAAAAAAAAAAACAGCACATTTTTAAGCCTCTGGCTCGTCAGCCTACAATCTAGACCTTATCTATATAAGCAGAAATTGGAAGTATTACTTTATGGAACGAAAACTCCTAGAATCCTCATGGCCTTTAACTATGCTAGGTGTGGGAGTCTGGGAACTGAACTCCAGGAAGTCATTTTCCAAGCTCTGTGCAGGAGGCATTTCACCCTGATGAAATGCCTACAGGCCAAGATTCTGCTTGCTCTTCCACGTTACCTTGGTTTCTCTTGGGCTTCAATCTGACGAATGACATCTTCCATCCAAAGCATGAGATCACGGACCATGCTAAAGAAACGGAATTTGTCCCCAGTGTCTACCAGCTTGACCCTGCGTCCTTCACAGGCATCAAGCAGGGCTTTCCAGGCATCCAAAACCTCATTTTCGCGCTTCTGGATGTCATCAGCTTTGTCTCCTGCATAGGCAGACTGAAGGCGGGCTGCATCTTCTTGCAGTTGTCTCACCTGATGTGAGAGAAAAAGGAAATACCGTATTTTTCCGTGTATAAGATGTTCCCATGTATAAGACCCCACCACCACTTTTCTAACCCAAAATTTCTTTCTTTGCAAGAAAGTGGAGGGGGAAAGCAGGGATCAAAGTTCTTTCATTCCTGCTTTCCCCCTCCACTTTCTTGCAAGGAAAGTGCTTTCCCCCTCTACTTTCTTTGCCAAAAGCTGCTTTCCCCCTCCACTTTTTGCAAAGAAAGTGGAGGGGGTGCTTTCCCCACTTGGTTTCCCATGTTGAAGGGCAGGGGAAAGCAGGGATCAGAGCGCTTTGATTGATTCATCCCCCCCCTACCGTGTATAAAATGACCCACAATTTTTCCTCTAATTATTTTAGGGGAAAGTTTTATTTTATGCACAAAAAATACGGTATCTTAGCCAAGATATTCTAGGTCTACTATCTGAGATTATTTACACCCTTTGTGTGATCATGGTGCTGCAACAGAAGCATAATCAAATCACACAAAATTTGGTGGCATTCAGCTTCTTAACTATCAAAGCTTCTGTTTAAAAAACAACCACCAAGTTCCTAGCTCTCATAAGTATGAAAGTGCACTTCAAAAGGTATGTAGGTTTAACTTGCACACCTGTGTTCCTAAGGCCTGGATGTCATGTTCAAATGTTGTGTGCATCCTCTGTAACGTTTCTACTGTGTTTTGATCCCTTCCAAGCTCCTCCGGCAGTTTCTTGTGTTTGTCCTGTATTCGCCCAAAGATCTCCTTGGCATCGTGGTAAAATTTGTGCAGTTCGTACGAGGCTGCAAGGATCTGTGTTCTTGTGTCAATGAGTTCCAAGAGGTCAGCCCAGGCCTCGTTGAGACCGTCCTTCCATTCAGCGATGGTGGCGGCATCAGAATGTCCTGAATTGATGAGTTCGTCAGCCATATGATTGACTGCGTCAACACGCTCCTGTCCGATGTTCCCGGTGTCTCGGGCAAATTCACGGAACCGCTCTTGCAACATCTGGAAAAAGAAAGATTCTGAAGGAAATGGGCCTAGAATGTTATGTATTTATTGAGTCCTGCCCTATATCTAGAGATTAAATTAAGTAATTTAAAAGAACTCAAAAAAGATGGCTAATCTAAAATAGATAAAACATGGATGATCAAAGGTCAACTGTAGTCCAATACTAGATTTCTCAGTAAAATGAATTTAGAGAAAAATGCGTAAACTGCTGTGCTTCAAATGTAGGATTTACCCCACAACAAGCAATTGGCTTCCAGTTCTTGGCCAGTTGAGAAGAAGGATGCAAAGCTACCTTCCAATCCAAACTTAATCTTAAACTTAAAGCCAGGCTTGAAATGGTTTTACAGGGCTTGCAAAAAATGCTCAGAGTTACTCAACAGCCACCAAGCATGATCTCCCCCATGTCCTCTTAACATAAAAATAATGCATGACAAACTCTTCACAAATGCAATAGATGAGGGACATGGTCTGAGGCTGCTTAGACAATGAGTGACCATGGAATTAGATGGGATCTAGAGTTTTCATAACAACGGCTAAGAATTCTCTCATCATCCCTGTGCCTTGCCATCTATTACTAGTCTATTTGCCATGAATTATCTATCTGTGATTCTCTGGCATGCAAGTAGTAACTCGGGACACTCCACGTTTCCCCAATTCCCTCACATGCAGCAATGCATGATGAATTATGAAGATAACACAGGCTTTTTGTTGTGTTTATGGTGGGACTCTGCTTCTTTGAGAGAATTATCAGATGTAAGACGTGAAAGACTGGAAGTCATTGCCTCAGACTTGTCCCAAAGGTCTAACAAGGAGTGCCAGAGAACTACTCCGGAACTGATCCACAGCAATTCAACACAACAGTGATGAAGAGATAAGCGTAGCCAGGTTGGCTGGATAGCTCAGCAACTTAAGTCCTAGCTATAGAGTCAATTTAATTCCTCACTAAGCCTCCAGGGAAAAGAACCAGCCTGTGTAGTTTTGGGCGAGCAGCACAGACCCAGGGCACCCCAGAAGAAGGGAGTGGTCGAGCAGCACAGACCCAGGGCATCCCAGAGGAAGGGAGTGGTCAACCACGTCTGAGTAATCTCTACCTAGAAAACCCTGAAAAAGGTCACCGTAAGTCAGAATTGACTTGACAGCAGGCTCTTCTTCTTCGTAACAGTCAGTTACAGACTTTTGATGGGGTTAAAACCGCTGAATTGATGCACTTGGCATGTCTAATATTGCATGGTATCCAAAGCAAACCAAAGATCATGGAGCCTCACCCCAAGACCCCCCTCATGTAGTTAAGCAGCAATATGCCAAATAACTTTCCTGATCTGAAAGAAATATTAAAACTATAATTGAATTGATGGTTGTTATAGGTTTTTTGGGGTCTTTGGCCGTGTTCTGAAAGTTGTTCTTCCTAACGTTTTGCTAGTCTCTGTGGCCGGCATCTTCAGAGGACAGGAGTCAGAACTCTGACTGTGCTCTAGTGCAGTTTTGAGACAGATCATCTCGCCCGCTTATCACAACAATACACCCACTACAAAAAACTCACTGATCACCATAATCACCCCATCTCCTGAAAAGGACAAAAGCTGATCCCACAGCTAACTCACAGATCACCATAATCACCCAATCTCCTGAAAAGGACAAAAGCTGATCCCACAGCTATAAATACAGTACTCAACTATCCCACAAAAGAAGAACAACCTTCAGAACACGGCCAAAGAGCTGGAAAACCTACAACAAGCATCGGATCCCGGCCGTGAAAGCCTTCAAGAATGTGTGTAATTTAATTGTTCTTCTGGTTCAAAAGCGGACTGTCAAGCGGCCTTAGAATGTCATGTTATATGTTCCTTTTCATTTTAACAGGGAAATCAAACAAGGTATTCCTAGGGTGTTTACTGGTTTAAGTCATAGCCATTTTATGGCTGATTTGATTGCACTTAATTAATTGTTCTTCTGTCATTTTAACAGGGAAATCAAACAAGGTAACTAGGGTGTTTACTGGTTTAAGTCATACCCATTTTATGGCTGATTTGATTGCACTTAATTAGTTTAGCTTCATTCTTTACACCAAGGCAACCTGTGATGTTTACATCTGAGGAAACATTCCTGGAAGCACTCTGCATGAAAGGCTCTTTTAACTGGGGGCATTAAATAGGGAGTGCCCGGCGTACCTCCCCTGCCCCTCAACTGGGGAAACCAGGTGGGATAAAAGAAATCGGGGGTCCAGGCATCTTACTGTCACGTGTTCATAGTCCTGTCCCAGCTCGTGAGACCCGGCCACCACTTCCCTTTCTGCAATCCACTGTTCCAAGTCATCCACTTCGCGGTTCAGCTGGAACAGGCGGTGTCTCTCGTCCAACTTGCCCCGTCTTTCCTCAGAGAGGTCTTTCAGGCCAGCGTACAACTTGTCCACCTTTGACTGCCGCATGCTGATACGCTCACTGAGAGCAACACAAAGAGGGAAAGAGAGAGTCATGCCTTCCTTGTTCCGTATTGATTTCGGATATCATTTTTTTAAAAAAAGATGAATTAGGCCACATCAGAACAAAGGCCAGCATTCTGTTCCCATAAAAGCCCCCCAAGGAGGCCCAGTATTGAAAGGCATCACTTTATGCCTAGAAATCATGGATAACTTAAAACAGTATCCTGAATACTTTACTGTCATTTTTGTGTGGTCTTACTATGTTGCTTCACGGAGGACCATACCACAATCTGCCTTTGGGGGTCACTCTATCCTGGAAGGTGGTTTTAAAATCCATTGATAATTACTATTCCTGGTATAATTGTTTCTTCTAACAAATCTTGATTTACTGGTGCCAACTTCTGCTCTACCTTCTGTTATACACCACTGCAGGTTGTTGTTGTTGTGTGCCATCAAGTGGCCTCCGACTCATGACAACCCTATGAATGAGTGACCTCCAAAAAACCCTGTCTTTAACTCTCCTCCTCAGCATTTGTAAACTCAAGCCCATGGCTTCCTTTAGGGAATCTGTTCATCTCATATTCAGTCTTCCTCTTTTCCTGCTGCTCCCAACCTTTTCTAGCATGGTTGTTTTTTCCAGACAATCCACTGCAGATATTAGGCCAGAATTCCACTGGCATCTGCCTAAGGTCTGCATACTTTGCTGTGGCTACCAGCAACTAACTGATTAGATGCTGGGGGCATGTCTCCAATTCATGTCTGGTGAAGGGCGTGATTGTTCAATCAAAAAGTGCCCCAGCATTTCATCAATTAGCCACAATTAAGCTGCAGCAAGTCACATAAACCAACAAGGTTTTCTCATTTGGAAGTATAAACACTGCAGAAATCGTATTAAACATAAATGATGAGAAATAACCAACTCCATGAAGTTGTCCTAATCCTCTTTTAAAGCTGCTCAAGCTGGCAGCCACCATAATCAGGTCTGAAAGCACCTTTGCTTTTCACGCATTTTATGAGATGGCACTTATTTCTGGCTAATTTCTGAATAAGCACTTTGATCCTCCACTTTAGATATAGGTAGATCATTGTCTGTACTTGTCCATTAATTTTAGAGATATGCCCTCCAAACAAGTTTAGAAAACACTTGTTATCATACTCAAAATTGTCTGAAGTGGACTAGAAGCTGGACCTCCTCACCATATTATTGGATATTAGTGATACGGACTTCATTCTTACAAGAAACATACCACTTATTTTTCAATTCCTAGATTTGTAAGCCTTACTTCTAATGAGTTTTATTAGCAAAAATAGGTGGGCTTCACGTATTATTACTTTTTAATAAAACATCTACTTGTCATTATAGGCTTTTAAAATTATTCCTGTTGCACTTTTTTAAATGGCCCTTTAAAATCACAAGAACGGGTATTTCTGTAAACACACACTCAAACTCACAGAGCCTAACAAAGACAACCAAAACATACTAAAAATACATACAATAATTGCGCTATTCTTGTAAGTACAAACTGGTCAAAATGCTGTTGCACAGCTCCATGTGTGCAATGGAAATGACAATTAAAGACATCTCTTTTTCATTTTGAGGTGCAAACAGCTCACACACAATAAGATGAAGTCACGTGCACTCAAAACTGAAAAAGCACCTCTTTAATTAGTAGCAATCTATTGTTGATAATGACATTGTTCCCATTGTGTGGTGTACCTTCCCAATGGAGATGTGGCCATTATTTTTAAAAATAGATGTAAAGCACTGCATGAGGGAACTATATGTTTAGGAGGCCATGGAGATGATAAATTTGCTTTGCAGGCCATATGTTAACTGTCTCTGATCCAGTTCATTTATTCATACAGAGTGATCCCAACGTATATTTCCATTAACTTCTAACACAGCTGTGGTTGTGCAAAACAAATACATACGAAGTTCACAAAAATCTGATGACTCCATGTTTTTTTTTTTAAAGAGACAAGCATGGGAGACGTTATGAGACACCTTCCAGATCTCTCGGTCTGACTCAGTGACTTTTCTCATGCCCTACAGGAAGGATGTGGGACTTGGCTTAGTCTTCTAGGATTTCCGCCGCTGCTGAATACTACTGATAAACAGATAATCCACATCATGAAAAGGTTCTTTCCGGCCAGTGAGTTTAACTTTCCAAAGGAAAGCAATGCACAGTCGATGGATGCATCCCTTGCTTCCTGTCAACTGAACAACAATTTATGAGCATATGGAGTTGGCAAATCTTGCCAGAATCCATGCAGCACACAACAGGACAACGGGAACTGACGCCTTCGTCCCATTTCTTCTTTACTCTCCTCTGTGTATGCTGCATAGATTCCAGCATCATCTGTCAAATACAGCTCATGAATTATTTATCATATCCCTTGCTTTGCGGTGTTTATGGAATTCTGTGTGCGTGCTCTTTTCTCTAATTTCCTTTGTCTTCCTCAGAGGACAAATATTCTCAAATGCTGAATAATACTGCAGTCCATCTTCAACACTGACTCCTTCTCACTCTCCAGGAGACCATAACGATCTCCCTCATCTCCTGCCTGGGAACCCCTCTCAAAACATCTGTCTGATCCAGTCAATGCGCAAGATGTACATTCCGTTCTGAATTCTGTGTTATTTTTTTCACATGTTATGATTTATGCAGGAATTACAGGAATTTATATTCCACCAGAGGGAATTTATCTGAAACCACCTTCATGCAAAATCTCTCATTTTCGGCTAATATATTTGTTAAGACATTAAGCTTTTGCAGTCTAAACTCCACTTTGTTCCGTGCACAAACTCTTATTTGGTGCGGGAAGGATATAATCTGGGATCAAACCACAGAATAACGTTCTTTAATTAGAACTGTCGTACTGAGCTGCGGCTGTGGAAAAGTGAAAGTACAGGTGTGCAAGCTCAACCTTTTGTGTACAAAAAAGAAAAAGGGGAGAGCCCCCAAGCTTAAGCTGTAAGCAGGCTTGTTCATAACATAAGAAAGTGTTGTTTCTCTATCACATCCAGACTGAGCCATTGGGGTTTCATTGGAGCTCAGGGATAGTAAAGAGAGGAAATGGAAGCCCGATAGACCATCGTCTAGAACCAATATGGCAGATCCTGGCTAGATCCTGGCCAGGACAGAGGGGGAACTAAATATAGATATGCAATTGTGATGGCCACCTTTCTGGATGATTGTCTGCCACCAAAGTTCTGCTGGTCTTGGAGAGCTGGTGCACAGTCTCAGCATAGTCTTCCACTGCCTGCTCCAAAATCTGATGTTTCTTCAGCATGGAAACAGCACTTTGTTCATCCTGAAGTGATAAGGGAGAACACCATATTACTTAAATTGGCACAGTGATGGAGGGAGTCGTTGCAATATGTACATAGCTAAAGCCAAAGGTATACAAATATGTGCAATCTTATGTTATTTACTGATTTGCTTTGATTATGTTCTGGGATTCGCTTCTACAACTGTAACATGGGATTGGAGACACCCTGTCTTGCTACAAATGCTGATTTACAGATTACAGGGAGTAAATTCTAGCATCCATTTGAATGCTATATAAAGCAATATTGTAGCAGGTAGGGTCATAAATCACAAGGTCTGATGTTGTTTAGCCACCAGCAGGCAGGAATACAAAGGGTTCAGATATGTGATTGGCAAAAGACTGCAAAAGCAATCTAGTATAAAGCTGTCATTTACAAGAGTACCAAAACCTAATATTGTAGGAATGATTTACTAACGTGAATAGCCACACCACGGCATGAATGCCATGAGTGGTACAGACAAATTTGGTTTGTGACACATCTGAATAGGAGCATAGAAGCATACCTCAGTTTACGAATTTAATGCGTTCTCCGGGATGTTTCGTATTGCAAAAAATTCGTAAACCAAAATACAGTTTCTCACAGGAATGCATGCACGGGGGCGACGCTATAAACCTCCCAGGCGCAATGCGGATTGCGAAAAATTTGCAAGTCTAAACACGGTTTCTCACAAGAACGCGTGCATGGGGGCGACGCTATAAACCTCCAGGCGCAATGCATCCTGGGGAAACGTGCTTCGTACTGAGAAAAAAATTCATGAACTGAGGCATTATTTTCAATGGATTTTCTTTCGTAAACCGGAAATTACATTAACTGAGGCGTTCGTAAACTGAGGTACACCTGTATATGTGTGCTTACATATGGGAACATGGGCACAGTGGTGCTTTGGTAAATTCGCAAGCAGAGGTGGCTTACTGCAAGGATACTTATGGCTAGCCTCCCCCGGTCCCAAAAGAGTTTAAAAATATAGACAGTTGGATTGATCCATACCAACAAAAGTGTTTGATCAGTTTCAACTCCTACGAGAAGGTCTTCTGTAATGGCTCTTAATTGCCCATGGAAGACGAAACAACTGTCAAATACTCCGCAGTACTGTACAACAGGAGAGCTTGCAGCCATATAATGGGCTCTTAATTGCCCATTGGAGACCAAACGACTGTCAAATACTCCGCAGTACAACAGGAGAGCTTGCAGCCATATAATATTAGAATATATTGAAAAGAGTTTCTCTCCCAGCTACAAGAAGGATTGCAGTCAAGCTCCGAGAGACCAGGGAAATCCCAGGGAGGTTATTTGTCAGAACAAAATTACCAGATGTTTCAAGAAGTTATAAGGCCCGGAAAGAGGAAGAGTCAATACATGGATGTGAATCCAGATCAAAAGAGAAGACTGGACTAGTATAAGAAGGCCAAATTAGATCAAAGGTTTCTCTGCTGTAATTTTTCTGCGAATTACCACAAGGAACAGAAGGAAAATCAACCAAACCAAAGATGAACAAGGAAATTCACAAGCAAACCAAACTGCATTTCATTTCATTTTTGTTTTTCCTACACAATCAAGTGCCTGTGTGTCGGACAAGAATAACCTCTTCTAGGTCCACCCTAAAAATAGCGCTAGAATCCATAGCGTGCGAAGCATAAAAGAAACAGCAACTGACAACAAAGGAATTGATTTTTAAAGTGGTTTGATCATGTTCTAAAACTGACCTCAGCAAGTGCTCCCTGAGAAGCATTAAGAGTTTGGGAACATGAGACAGGTATGGGCTAGTTTGTTCCAGCTACTCTGAGCTGGTGCTTGTACCATCTAGTTTAGCCACATGAGTGGGTTGTTTTGTCAATAGTCAGAACCTTGAAATTTGCTGATCAAGGCTGGGTGGGAGCTGTTGTTTCGCTCTGTGTGTGCCATAACATGATGTCCGCCAAACCCAGACTTCTCACACAGACGAAGAAATGGGGGAGCCTTTAATCTAAAACTGCAAAAACAAGAGCAGGCGTTGCTGAATTGTGAATCCTGCCGTAAATGGACCATGTAGAAGTGATAAATGTTATCCGCTTATCTCCCTTTATCTAGGTAACACTCTGGGGATGAATCAAGAACATGAAGCTGCTTGACATAGAATCAAATCATCTGCCTTTTTAGCTCACGACTGTCTGCACCGATGGCCAGCATCCCATCAAGGATTCACTTCCCAGACCTATCAGGCAGGAACAACAGATGCTGAACAGGAACGTTTCCCTCAACAAGCATGTGCTCTACCGAGCCAGGGCTTGTTTTGTAAAAATGCTTCCGTCAGTTTGGCGGAAGACAGTACTGCTAATTCAGCCTATTTCAGTCCAGTTGAACTGGGATGGCTCTCAGCTAAGGGCTGCTTCAGACATGTTCATTTCAGGAATCACACCCTAAGAGGTCATGCAAGAGCGTTAAGGGCCTGCACAGCTGGGCCACCACTGGGTGGGAAGCCTCAAACCCTTGGTTCAAATCTTTCCTTCCTAAGCCCACTAGACTTCCCTAGACGGCCATGTCCCCTCCTCTAAGGCAACCTTATTTGGCGGTTGGTATGCTTCCCCCCCACATTGTAATCAAGCGACATGCTTCTCTGAAGGCTTAGTGACTGTTGGTAAAAAGCCTCCTCTATGGCAACCTTATTTGGCGGTTGGTATGCTTTCCCCCCCCCCATTGTAATCAAGCGACATGTTTCTCTGAAGGCTTAGCGACTGTTGGTAAAAGCTTTGAGATGAAACAGGTTGGCGTTCCCCACAAAAAAAGTCCCCCCTCCCACACCCAAAAACTGTCCTGAAACTGAACTTGGGTTTATGGGCAGAAAAGGGGTCATCACCAGCTGCGCCACCAAGAGATCTCCCAGATTGTTAAATGTGGAGAGTTTCTGTGCATTCCGCTTCCTACAGGCCACGTCCCCCCTGAGAGTCCACTCACCTTAGCCTTCTCCTCGGACATCATGTACAGCTCCTGTTCGCTCATCCAGGCTTCGGCCTCTGCAGCATCGAAGTAGTACTGCTGGGCTTTGTGGGACTCCTCAAGGCGCTTGTGGCGTTTCTCAGTCTCCTCTATCAGGAGGTTCCACAGCTGCCGCAAGTCTGCGAGCCGCTGCTGGATTGCTTCGGCGTTAAGGCTGCTGTCTGTGACGATATTTTGGCTCCTCTCGAAAACGTCATCGATACGAGGCTGGTGTCCCTGGATTTCTTTCTGAAGTGTCTAATGTGGGGAAATTCAATACTCACACTGGAAAGAGCTGACTGAACAAACACTAAAAAAAAAGGCATCCAAAGGAAGCCATCCAAGAGCACAGACACCCAAAATGCTCTGTGGCAAAGTGAGACAGCAACCATTTTGACAGGAACAGCGTTTCCACAGGTCATTTCAAGACAGTTGCCTCAAAGCTGGTCTTTCTGTTATTCCTGTCACAGGGATTAACATCTTTGTGGCAGTTTCCACATCAGGCCTCTTTATTTTTGAGTACAACACCTCTAGAGTCCTTTTAAGGTGAAAGGCAGGGTAAAAATATTTTAAATAATTAAACAAAATCAACAAGCACAGCTGTCAGTAGGATCTTGTTGTTAAACAAAATCAATAAGCACAGCTGTCAGTAGGATCTTGTTGTGTAGCCCTATTTGCACAATGGGAGTTGTGCAATCTGGTTGCAGCAGATTGTTGCTAATTAAAGAGTTCCTTTTAAAAAAAATTCAGGCACATGCAATGGCATAAGCTTCTGCACACCCTGAAATAAAAAACGGAACTCCTTAATTAATGGCGATCTGTCACTGCTGCCAAGCATATCACTCCTGTTGTATAAGTGGGGCTAGGAAACAGGAGACTAGCCAGTGTTTGGGTTGGGAACTCCATAATTAATGGCGATCTGTCACAGCTGCCAAGCATATGACTCCTGTTGTATAAGTGGGGCTAGGAAACAGGAGACTAGCCAGTGTTTGGGTTGGGAGCATACATTTATATTTGCCCCCCTCCACTTGCCTTTTGCCCAAAACAGGGGCCAGCGTGCCCCTGCATAAATTTCCAAACCTGCCAGAGTCCACCACTGGTGCAGAGAGTCACAGCATGAATGAGTGTGTAACTCGATCCAGTATCAAGTGAAACCTACCCGTTAGCTTGTGATAAGTAGTGGTATGCACTCAAATGTACTTAGATGCATGTACTTAGATGGTGCCTCCAGCTCGGTCCCATGTTCTGTGAAATGGGTGTAACAGTTCTGACATACTTTTGTTGTTTAGTCATTAAGTCATGTCCGACTCTTCGTGACCCCATGGATCAGAGCACGCCAGGCCCTCCTGTCTTCCACTGCCTCTTGGACATACTTATTGTTGACATACTTAGTCAACAATAAAAAATGGGTATAACACTAACACTAACGAAAAGTAAAGAAAAAAAAAAAAAAAAGGAAAGCGTGCTGCTTCAAGCGGTTTAAAAGTTAATTATGCAGGTTACATATTGTTGTCATTCCCCTCCCCCCACCGCGAGCTGGGTACTCATTTTACTGACCTCAGAAGGATAGAAGGCGGAGTCAGCCTTGAGCCGGCTACTTGGGACTGACAGTTTTGGCTGCAGGACGGCAGTTTAACCACTGCGCCATGAAGCTCTTGTAAGTAATGAGAACAAGATCCCAAATACAACACATAAGCCTTCTAGCCTAGAGCGGAGTGACTGCATATCAATGTGCTGCAGGTCGCGTTCCTTACGGGCACAGCCTAAACCTCCCTTGACATTTTGCCTGCTTGTGAACTACGGATTACTTATGATCCAGGCAGCTTCAGCCACTTACCTGGTTCTTCTTAATTAGCAACTGAACGGTCTGAAGGTTGTGACCATGATCGGTAGATGTGGCAATGGGCATTCTCTCTCCAACCCATAACTAGAGAGGTGGGAAAAAATTGAGTGAATAATATTTTCTATTAAGGGGAAACGAAGTATAACAAGAACTAAAAAAGATGCAAAGACAGCACCATGTTCTGGTGAAAAGCCGTCTAGAAATCAGGGACCGGCGCAAAGTTCCCACCAACTGGTTTTCACAGCAACGTTTACACTCACAATTTCGTCTTCCACATCCCTGTTGAACTGATGGATTTCCTTGGAGGCCAACAGGTGGGCCTTCCTGTTGTTCAGGGGTTCTAGCAGCTCTAAGAACTTCTGCTCCACAATGAAGCGTTTGCCGTCAACTTCATCGGTACTCTTGCCTTCCTGGCTCAGTGCTTGGGCCTGGCTCTGCAGCTCCTCAATCTCCTTCTTACGAACATCCATTTGGTTCTCAAGCATCTAAAGTGGGTTGAGGGAGGGAAGAAATGTGCATATTTACAAACTAGCCTCTTCCAGACTCAATGGAAGCTGGCAGCTTTCAATTTCTCAGGGCAGTGAAACCCACTCTGGGTTTTAGCCTAAACTTTAAATGAGCTATCCAAGGTACTGAATCTAATTGGGATATGAGTCTTATGACCATGAATGGTTCCTGGAGAATCTAGCTTTTGTTGTTTTTCTTTAAATGCCCAATCACTTTGGTCCAACAATGGGAAGATCTGACATTTCCAACAGGTACTTTTTGACAAGTCTCCAGGACAACAGCCCTCCTGCTGTCCTCATCAAATGGGACTTGTACAAAGACAATGTGCCACTAAGTTGATCTAACAAGACTACAGTGAGTGGCAAAGCTCCCATCTGTTGCTGCTACTTTTACATGGCAGACGATGCCCTGTTCAGCTTGATTCCAAGGAAAAGAGAATGCTAAATGCTGCTCACGATAATCTTTTGCCTAAATTTTTTACATGTTCCTTTTCTTGTGCACACGAACAGAAACGCTTAAACTAAACGGAATTAGGAATCTTCTGTGCTCTGTGGTTGCAAAAGCAAATGAGAATGCTTCGTGTTAAAAAGGAAATAGAAACAGATTTTTCTTTCCACCCCTAATGGTGAGACCACTTCTCCCTGCTCCTGAAAGAAGCATGATCATCTGCTTTTCCCATCCATCCCTTCACCTGTTGTTTCTTCAGCAGAATGTTGACGCTGGTGAGGTCCTTGCCATAGTCATCTGACTGTATCTGGCTCTCCAAGCCATTCAGCCACTTATCCAAGTCTGCACAACTCTGGGTGAAGAGCTCTGCCTTGTTGGCATCAAAAAGCCGCTGGGCTTTGGTCTGGGTGGTGCTTTCCAACTCTTCCCACATCTGATGCAGTCGGGTTATTTTTTCTTTTACGATCGCTTCCGTTTCAGGTTTCTCAGCAATAAGTTGCATCCCTTCCTGTAATCAAATGGAAAACAACCCGGAATATCTAAGGTTCTCATGCAACACCGGTCTGGATAACAGAATGGAGTGCTCCTGAATGACAGGGAGTTCAGCCAATTTATTTATTTTTATACCACCCATCGGGCAACCCAGGCCACTCTGGGCAGTTAACAAAAATACCATAAAATAGAATATAAAGACAAACAATACAAACATCCAGCAAAATAATAGAATCACTTTCATTGTTTTCCTACAATGGCTCTCCAGACTAAAGCAAGTGGGACCAGCTGGGGAAGAAAAAAGTGTGAAACAGCAGTTTCAGACTGAGCAATATGGATTATCTTTATCATAAAAAGGTAAAGATAAAGGTTCCCCTTGATAATTTGTCCAGTCGTGTCCGACTCTAGGGGGCAATGCTCATCCCTGTTTCCAACCCATAGAGCCAGCGTTTGTCCGTAGACAGTTTCCATGGTCATGTGGCCAGCGCGACTAGACACAGAACACCGTGACCTTCTCACCGAGGTTGTACCTATTTATCTACTCGCATTTTTACATGCTTTCAAACTGTTAGGTTGGCAGGAGCTAGGACTAGCGACAGGAGCTCACTCCGTCGTGTGGATTCAATCTTACGACTGCTGGTCTTCCGACCTTGCAGCACAGAGACTTCTGCAGTTTAACCCGCAGCGCCACCACATCCCACCTTTATCATAAGATAAGCATTTTTCAAGTCAAGACAACACATGCAGATGTCAGGTTTCAATGTTCATCCACAGTCGTGTGTCCAAGTTTATAGCACTCCTTCAGTACATTGGAGTGGAATTGTTGCGACACATAAAATGACTATCAATCTATCAAAGCTGGCAACCAACACGGCATTGTGTATTTCCCAGGCTAAATGGTCTGAAATCTGCCCTCTTTCTCTCAATAGATGGTGTCTCTTGGGTCACAAACCCTGAACATAAACAACTGATGGAAGGTCTCCTACCTTTTCAATTTTTTCAAGCCATTCTTTGTTTGAACCAAGCTCTGCCATGAAGGCTTGGTGTTTCAGCCACTTGCTGTGCAGGTTCCTCGCTTCATCGTAAGACATATCCTGCGCTGTAAGCATCTTCTCATTAATCCAGAGGGACAGCTGAAAAACAAGCAGAAAAATGTCACTTTCTGTGCTGTTGTTGTGAATACTTTAATGGGTGCCTTCAGCCACATGAACCACCTTGACTATTGAAGTCTTGTTGATAGCACCATACTGTACGATGGTGGCTTACAACATGGATTTAAAGAACAGATGTAGGGTGGAAGTCTATGGATGTTCATGTAGCATCTGCATAACTTGCTTTGACTAACAGCAGCTAATTGACAAAGTGCGCAAAAGGCACATTTCTGTTGTGCAGCTAGTTGGGCACACGACCAAGCACCTCATCGATTAGCCACAAATAGCAAGAGCCAGTTACACAAACCTTATATGATTACCAACAGGATTTTGGCCACTGTTGTACAAAACACAGTAAACTGCAATATTAAAACACTAGTAAATGAATTAATGCATTGAAACAAACACAGAACTGATACAATTTAAAAGTCATGTTTAAAATGCAAGGACAAATCACGTACAGGACCAACCCACTGTTAAAAGGCTCTTCTTCATTAGTCAATCTGGAGCTAAAGGTTTGTCTAAACCGAAACGTCATTAGCCACATGCAAAGGACGGAACAGCCCACGCTCCTTGAGAAGGGAGTTCCAGAGTCTCAATGCAACCACCAAAAGGCTTTCTTCTCTCTCTCTCTCTCTCTCTCTCTCTCTCTCTCTCTGTGTGTGTGTGTGTGTGTGTGTGACCCTGTGTCATAACCATTAAATGTTTTTTCTCTGTCATGGGTTTAGCACAATAAGGGACCCACCTTATCGTCTGTATTCCTCTGCTTCTATTTTTGTTGTTTTTATTCATTTTAAATCTGTATTTTACTTGTCTCATGATTTCACCCCAAAGAAATCATTAGCTGTTTTGAAAAGATCCGCAATAATGAATAAAAAAATCCTATGGTCCATGGAGCCTTTGATTCTTGGCTAGGACGATAAGGAGAAAAGATTCTCTTCTGCACAGCTATTAATGATACAAGACTCCAGTCCTCACTGACATTCCCTACCCTCCATCAAAGCAGACGGAGCTGGATGGACCAATGGTTTGACTCCCCATAAGCAGAGCGAGGGCACGATTGCTTTTGATGAGTAGTGGATTCTGGGAAATATAATTTAAAAAAGAGGAATATTTGCAAGATCTGAGTATAAAGCTGTTTTTACATTCAACTGCTAACCTATATTCAGAACCCCTGTGCTGTGCAGATACAGTAACTCGGGCGTTTCCTGGCTTCGGCTTTGCTCAACTCAAGTGTTCCACTGAACACCACACACGCAAGACCATACTCATGCAATGGGACTTCTCCTTGCTCTCTTCCCCCCACCACCAGGCCTCCAAATCTGCTCCAAAAGGTTCATGCAATGGGACTTCCCCTTGCTCTTCCCCCCACACCAGGCCTCCAAATCTGCTCCAAAAGGTCATGGAGCCCTCGGAAGACCATGTGGGACACACACAAAGGGCTTCAGGCAGACAGAAGGCGAGGGGATCTGTTCCACCAGTGGTTTCTCCTCTGCTGGCAGAAGGACAAGACCGGATGCCACCCAAGGCTGGGTTTTCATCTTCTCTTACTGGCATGGAATTTCTCCTACATGACTAGGCTTCAGTCCCACTGGCTATTCTTTTCTGTTCTTATTTTTCTTTAATGCCTAATGAAAACAACACTGTACATTTAGGAAAGGCTTCTAAAAGCTGCACACTGTGTATCTTTTCTGCCAACTACCCCCAAAGGAAAACAAGGGGACAGATCAGAGCTTTGCACACACACACCCTCCCAGCTCCAGTTCAGTCAGGCAAGAAGAGTGGACTGGAGCAGGCTGGCAGGCCTAGACACCCTTCTCTCTGGCCAACAAAGACCATGTTTCATCTGTTCATGAACATTTCCAAAGGTCACTTCATAAAGGGCTCGTTAAGGGTGGCAATAAAAGGAAAATGTATAATTGCCGGAATTAGAAGAATCTGCCTTTCAGTGGGCGCTAACAAAGATGCTGTTCATAAGCCAGAGGAAAGGTTCTCACTGGGGTTTCTTTCAAGCAGGGGCTGATCCTCCCATCCTCAGGGCAGATCCATGTTTTATTTGGTGCCATATTTTCCTGACCCGTGAAAAGAGTGAGCGCTCAGCCTCCAGTCCAGAAGATTGTGAGATGAGACACTGGGCAGAGGGAGGATAAAGGGCCCCCTCAAGCTAAGAGGACTTTAGCAGTTGGATAAAGCCTTCTTAGCTTCCACCCATTATGTCTGCACAGTTGGGGCAGGATGATACCAAGCACGAATCGCGTCATATGCTAATCGGTTAAAGGCAGCAGAGGTTCAGACAGGTTGGCTATTTGTTCCCTTCCCCCAAACAACCAAGGTCCAACCTGAGATATCAGGCAATATCAGACATTTCCTCTGAAAGATATGACCTCCTGTCACTACTAAGCACCACCCTTATTCCTAACTGACTCTGCCCCCTCAAACTGCCAGGTACAGTGGTGCTTCGCAAGATGAATGCCTCGAGGGACGAAAAACTCACAAGATGAATGGTTTTGGTGATGGGGTTGATGACTCGCAAGAAGAATGTTCCTATGGCTACGCTTCGCAAGATGAATGTTCCTATGGCCATGCTTCGCAAGATGAATGTTTTCCGTTTTTTGTTCCTGCCTCATGTTTGCTGATTTTTAAATGTTTTTCTATGATATTTAAAAAGTTAAAGTTTTTTTACTGAAAATTTTGAAATCATCTGCGCAATATGTATGGCTTTAAAGAGCATTAATAAACCCTTTGTAAACCAAATTTGACTTTCTTCTGACTTTTTTTGCTCACAGGAACGCATTAATTAGCTTTCAGTGCATTCCTATGGGAAAACATGTTTTGCAAAATGAATTTTTCGCAAGACAACATTAACCACGGAATGAATTAAATTCATCTTGCGAGGCACCACTGTATCACTCTTTGACTTCTGTGGTTCCCCACCACCCATCTTGAGGTTGCTTCCCCTACATAGACTGGCAAACTTGCTTTTTTGCACTATAACTGGCAAAAATTTCTATCCACAGTACGGCTAGCTGAGGTCAAAAACTCATTTTAAGGAAGTCAACTATCATGAATTTGCCTTATACCAAGTCAAACCACAGGTCCATCAAGCCGGGTCCTGTCCATCAAAAAGGGCTATCCATGGTTTCACTATATTGATGCTTTTCCTAACTCTGCTTAAAATATCTTGAAATACCTTTCGCTGCAATGCAGTGCTCAGTGGAATAGCTGTATCTGAACACAAATACATGTAGATTTGAAAAGAAATCAGCATGACAAGATTTTAGGGTTCTGCAGACTTAGCATTCAGAGGTAAACTCTTTTCCATATTTTGATGAGGGGAAAAAACCATACAAATGTTGAATTCATGTTCTTAATGACATTATCTGGAGGAGCAAGTCAAGGGGGCTCCCTTTTATTTTTAAATAAAACACTGCTGTCTGGCAATCTTCCACAAAAACAAAACAGAACTTGGGTATTCCTTAGGCATTGGCTACCATTAGTGATTACTTAGCTTCTTAAGGGTTGATGGCTATCATCTATTGTAAATTAATGGATAAGAGACAAATGTAAAAGGGAAACACAAACACAGAGAGAGAGAGAGACCTGTTCCAAGTACAGTTTGTTCTTCAGGAAGGGAGTGGTCTTCTCTATACATACTAACAAAGACAAACCTCTTGGCAATCCTGAAGAAGTTTCTGAAGATCTCTGTTGTCTTTTAATCTCATCAGAAGCTCACTGGCCACCTCACGGTTCTTCTTATGTCTGTTTTAAACAATAACAAGGAAGCAGTTTTTCAATGTGGAAACAATGAGGACACTGCGGTTTGGAGTATTACAAGCTGCTTGAATGGAAGCTCTGTTACAGCTCTGTGCATATCGCCTAATATTTGGACTTCAATCAGTTCTCTAATTGGGAAGAAAACTGCCAGAAATATAGGATACAATGCCAGGTCTCAAAACTGTTCCACACAATCAAATGAGACAAAATGTGATGGCGTGTGGCAGGGACTTTGACAGAGAACAGAGTTGGCATGAGGGTCTGTTCCATGGAGCATGGAATTACAGTATGTATGTATGTATGTATGTATGTATGTATGTATGTATGTATGTATGTATGTATGTATGTATGTATGTATGTATGTATGTATGTATGTATGTATGTAGTGTACAGCATATTTCCTGCAAGTTCTCCACAGCTTAGACAAGGCAATTGTTTGAAACACGAGGTTCATACCATCTTGAAATTGTCATTTATTTAAAAAGTAATTTGTATATATGTATGTTGTGTGTGGGGGGGTGGAAGCATATTTCCTGTAAGTTCTCTACAGCTTAGACAAGGCAACTGTTTGAAACACGAGGTTCATACCATCTTGAAATTGTCATTTATTTAAAAAGTAATTTGTTCCTAATGCTCATTATAGTGCTTAGCAAATAATTTTGTAACTTTCAACTTATAAACCACCCAGAGGAGCGCATGCACGAATGCGATTATGTATAACTTAAAAGAAGGAATAAATGAATTCTTGTTACTTGTTGCAACGCTAGGAAAATAACTAACTACTTCCAAAGTTAATAACTTTTTTTGTTAGTCCTCTTTGCAGAAAAGATTTTGGGCAGATAATAGAATGGCATAATACTTGAAAAATTACAGTTAAAAGGTTTTCAAATCTCCTTTGAAAAGGAGCTTTTAAAAGAAAAATATGTACTGACAATGTAACTTCATTCCCACTTGTTGAGTTACTTTTGAAACTTAACTTCACTAGGACCTCATTTCCATATGTGTGCCTGTGTGTTAATTTAATACAGAAATTTCCAAGATTTGCTGGCTTTGCACAGGATTTTACCCTTGTTACTACAAAGCAAACATCAAAGAAAACAAGTAATTTGTCAAAGTCTGCAAGGTTTTGAAACCATGCCTCTGTACTCAAAGCTCTGCTTTTTGCACATTTGTGTTTTTGATTTTTTAAAAATTTGTATACCACCACAAGCTATGAATGCACGGAAGGACTAAAGAATATTCTAAATAAATCAATATGTCTACTGTACTTACACTAGCCTTTCAATTCTATAAATAAAATCATAGCTATGTGTTGTGGTAGTTTTCTGCAACTGGGCAGCTGAAACTGGAAGAAAATATTAAGCTTTTAAAACCATGTTGGTTAAACACAGTGGTAACTTTATTTCCTGTGCACCATTTGAACTGTATTGGATTTAACCACAAAAACTGGGCCAGGTTCTTCCTTTAGTCAATGAAAAATTCTCTGCCATTAAGCCAGGGGAAAATCTGGTCCAAGATTTTTTAACCACATGAAGGGTAAAAGGCTTTGACATGCCTTTCTCTCTATGGATTTCATTACATGTTACGAGGCTTTCTCGCATAAGCCATGTTTCCTCAAAGGCTTTTTAATAAGTCTTTGCTATGACTCAGCACCCCATAAAGCTGCTTTTACCAATTCAAGTTCCAGTGGTTTCTATAATCCCTAAATAAAATAACAACCTTTAGATCATTTTCCAGGTGGCTACACCTACATATTTACAAAAAGGAAGACACGTGTGTATTTTAAAGCATTAACCACTTTAAGTATTTTTTAATGTATGAGCAGCAAAGCTATTTAGATATATACAAAATGAAAATAAGTCATACAGATCTAAAGCTGGAAGCAATGATACCCTAGAAAATCTGTATTTAGTCACAAGAGAAGTTGACCATTCCAACCCAGAAGCAATTTATAGGCTGAGGCAATACAGAATGGTAAGCCAGGCTGTGGTTTGCTGAATTCTGCTTTGTTGTTGTTCTGAACTCGTGCCTGCAAATAAGCCACGGTTTCTTAGCCAGGGAATGCCAGCTTGTTGTTATGTTAAAACCCAGAATTGTGGCTTGTTCTAGACTTGTCTTCTCAGTTGCTTGCTGACAAAAGGAACATGAAAGAAGATGGAAACAAGTGGTACGTAGCTTGTTGGTAGGTAGCTTGACTCTTTGCTAAAGCAATGAACCACAGGTATCATAAACTATGGCTTAGCATGACATCTAAAAGGAGCCATAGTCTGAGACCTTAAATACATGTGAATGATTGCATTTCATCTCTGTAAATTAAGATATGATCAAATCTTTAGCTGTGCACACAACACTCTCAGTTCTTTCATGTGAGTGAATGACAAATCTAGGGTGACTTCAGTTAGTTATTGTTTCCTGCAGTATCCAAACTAGGAGAATACAGCTAATGAAGAGCTTTGGAACAAGTCAAGATATTAAGCTATGGTTTAATATCTTGCCTTATCCTGAAATTGTGAAACATAGTTTCCTGCTCTGGATGAAAAGAGAAAGCATAGTTGGCTGAAGACATTCTTGTTGGTTCAGTCTTACTGAGAAAGGAGGAAAGGGGCTACGTGCAAATTCAAAAGGTTAATTCAGACTTTTGTTTGTTAAGCTAAAACATTACTGTTTGCATTTTCCTTTTCTGAGTCTCCCTTTCTTTCTGCCTCCCTCATTTTCATAGATGTTTAAAAGAAACAATTCTAGTTGTCATCTGAAAACCTATGACACTATCTTATGTTCAGAGCCTGGAAGAATTGCTTTTCAGACCACAGATCTCAGAATCTCTCAATCGGTATGGTTCACAGCTAGGATGGGAAGATCCTGGAAGCTGTAGTTTGAAAAAGTAACTTTTCCAAACTCCAGTTATGTTGAATTGCAGTACTATTCTGTCTTGTTCAGTGATGGCTATTCTCACCGGCACTATCTTCATGAGGTTTCAGGTAAGAGGTCTTTCCTGATCCTGTAACTGGCAATGGCAGAGATGGCAACTAAGACCTTCTACATTCAAATGATATGCCCTTCTCAGCCAAGAAGTTTGGCAACCAATGACAACCTAGAAAGCCACCAGCTGCAGCCTCAAGGGCTGATGTAAATTCTGCATCATGCCACGCTTCTCACCTATTTGCTTGGCAGTGGTAAGCATCAATGAGGTGGCCTGATGGGCATGTTCAGCACTGCTCATTGCTAACTGATTATGCCTAGGTAGACTTGGTAGGGAAGTCAGTGCAGGAGATGCATAGGGTACACTTATGAGGTGGTGTTGATAGTGAGTATCATTGGCTCCTAGTGAGGTGGTGTTGATAGTGAGTATCATTGCCTCCTAGTTACTATAAACAATCTTGAAGCTGTCCATGAGATGGCAAGGTCTGCAGAATTTGATGTGAGCTGAGACCCCTGAGGTTGCAACATACGTTGTAGTCAAAGCTACAAGAATTCCTGTAGAAAAGGCATGGAATAAGAACTGACACCAGCAACGGACAATGCTCTGGAAAGTCCATTCTTATGTTCCTATGATGCCTGCTGCAGGGCATTATGGAAAACAAGAATAGGCGGTCTCATGCACTTGCCATTGGCCTAACCCTAACCCAAACCCATCACAGTTCATCTCACCCACCCAAACCAACCACTTTGTCAAAGGTCCAGAAATCAGAACTGGCCCTGATTGGCATGGCTTACGTACAACCTTGGAAATTCTGTGACCTGATTCCCACATGAGTCCCACACAAGGAGCAGGCCTACTTTGGTTCAACCTACTATTTGCATTTAGACAGAATCTAAGTCCACTGATTTACAGATCAGAAGCACTGAGGCTGCAAGCCAGAAAAAGGCCACGGGGCTGAGATTTGTGGTTGTGCTGACTGACCCCGTTTTTATTGATTTACTCCCTTGCACTTGTTAAACTAAGGAACTTTTGGAGATTTACTGCACACCACCCAGAAATGTACAGAAAGATCCTGTGCCTTTTGTGCCTGTTCTGTTATATGGGGTGAGGATTGTGTAGGCTTTTTACATGGATTCCCTTGTGTTCATAAAACCGATCAAATACAAACAAACAGGAAACTATTTTGCAACAGGACCGCATTTACCATCATATCAAGTCTGGTTTTCCATTAGCCTCTTTTTTGGTCTTTCTTTACCAGCTAATTCAACAAGCTCCTGGGTAAACAAAATGCTTAATTGCCCTCATTTCAAGGAGCCTGAAGATTCTGATTTCTGTGTATTCGCGGAGGCTTTCATGGCCGGGATCTAATGGTTGTTGTGGGTTTTTTGGGATCTTTGGCCGTGTTCTGAAGGCTGTTCTTCCTGATGTTTCACCAGTCGGCCACAGAGACTGGCAAAACGTTAGGAAGAACAACCTTCAGAACACGGCCAAAGAGCCCGAAAAACCCACAACAACCATTCTGATTTCTGCTAGGCAATTCAGGTATTAGAGATAGTGGTTTAACTTCAGTAGTAAGTCATAACTAGAAGAGGCCCATTGAATCCGTGGAACTTATATAGTAGTTAACCCATTAGATCCCCACTAATTCAGTGGGCCTACCTACCTGTGACTTGCTACTCGATTTCAGTTGATACATGCCCTGCATGTAGCATGCACGTCTTCCAGTACCATATTGCAAAGACACAGCAAAGCTAGTATGTGCAATCTGTCCCCATCTGTATCAGACACCATGAACTAAGGATTGGGAGATGAGAATGGATGAAGTGGACCTTGGCTGAAGTGCTTCTGATTGTTACCGGCAATTGTTGATTGACAGCGTCATCTTTTTGCTGATTTCAATGTATTTGATGATCTGTCACTTTACCTTGCCAGTTTCAACAGTTTCATTCTGATTGTACTTCAGGCTATTTGAAAAATTAATTGATATAAGATGGTGAATAAAAACGGCAAACTTACAAACAAATGAGATTTACCTCAATACTCCTTCAACACTCTTTTAAAATTATACCTGTCATCAATGGAATCCACTTTCTCTTGGATCTTGTCTGAGTTGATATTGCCATCGCTGACTAATCTCCTTCCAGTCTCCACAACAGCATTGATCTTCTCCTCATTGGCATCCATGGTGGTCATGAAATCTTCCTGTTTTTTGATAGCAGCTTCTGCTCCTTCCAAAGTAGTGGGCATTTCAGTATGTGCCAAAACATACTCCTATAACATGAATAAGAAGAGGAGGAGGAGGAGGAGGAGGAGAAAGAGGGAGAGAGAGAGACAGTTAAAAAAAGTGTGTGTGTGCTGGTGCCAGATGCTTGTTTAAACATAAAACACTCTGATAACTTATTGATCACACAATTCATTTGCCTAACTTATTTCATCTTCTGTCACCACAGCAGACCGATTTCCCTAACCTATTTATGGGTTCAAATGGACTCTGTTAGCACCATAGATCACTTCTAGAAATGTTTACAGTCAAAAGTGATTCTACCCTTAGCATGTCATTAGGAAAAGAAAACATATTAGCTTATCCCTGATGGGCAAAACAGAAAGCTCCTTGGATTATGATGATCAGGTAGCTTTTAACACTGAAATAATCATTCCTTCTAAGGAGGAGTTCTCAAGTTTGGTCTTCCCCCCCAATCCAACCCAACCCAACTTTCTATTCAATTCCAACTTATGCCAAAGTAGCAGTGACCCCAGCTCTTGCATCTTTCCAAACTGGGCCACAGATGCAATCATGATATTTACATATTCATGAGATATATCATAGCATTCACAAGACCACAATACACATTGATGGCCACGTTTGTACATCACATTCTTAGTCGTCCAAACTGTACACGTATGTACAGTACATCACATTCTTAGTCGTCCAAACTGTAGTTTAGAACATTGGGAATGAGTGACATATTGTACATACATGGCATGTCATCTTCCTCATTCTCTCTTTCTCATCTCTCATTTCTCTGCCATTCACTATTTATTAGAGGACTTCCTGATTTTGTCTTGAAGTCCACATTGTCAAACTGTGCTTTGAGCAGACTCTAAACGAGGATTAGAAATCAGAACTGATATTTGGTTTGTGATCCCGGTTTGGAGGGTTCACTTAAACCATAGTTTAACAGTTGAGACTTCACAGTAAGCTGTGGTTTGAGAAAACAACGAGCCTGTCACTCATTTCTGATTCCCTGATGCAAAGTTCAGAGGATTGGGAACATGTTTTCTAAACATGATTAGTATGACAATTTCAGTAGCTTCTCCACATAGCAGCTTGAGAAGAAAGCAGTTCTGTAAAGCAACTCTTGACAGCTAAGTCACAGCACTGATTCTTGGGTGGCTGAATAATACCTAAAAGACCTGGACATTACTTTATTTTTGCACAGTTTAAAAAGTCTGTGTGTGCTGGTGCCAGATACTTGTTTAAAATGCCATATGAAATGTAAGTTTATTTCAGATAACCCAGGAAGAGCAGGGGGTGAAAGTGACTATAAATGCCAAAAACTGTCCTCCAAACTTATGAGACCTAATCACAGAAACAATGAGTTGGAAGGGACCTATAAGACCATCTATTCCAAAACCCTGCTCAATGCAGGAATCCAAATCAAAGCCGATCTAAAAGATGGTTGTCCAATTTTCTTTTGAATGCTCCAGCGTTGGAGTACTCACCACCTCCCAAGGAAACTGGTTCCATTGTCATACTACTCTAACAGTCAAGACATTTTTCATGATATTCAGCCTAAATCTGGCCTCCTGTAGCTTGAGCCCAGCATTACCTAAGATGTGAATTAGCCTTGCATTACTGGTCTTAACAATCAAGAGCATGAGAGAGCATGTACTAGGCCCCACTCCAATATACCAACCTACTGTACATGTAGCCCCTACATGCAACCTATGTATGCTTTACAAGGTAGAAGGGATGTCATCATCCTTGTATTCTTAACACAGCACCTGCGTACCTGGTTGTTAAGGAAGGCTTCTGCTTGCTTGGTGTCTCTGAGGAAGAGCTGGTAGGCATGGGATTGGGAGAGAAGGTTCTGCCTGTTTTCCCACATTTTGTGTAGTTCGTTCCATCCAGTGTCCAAGGCCTGCAGGCGCTGATGCAAGAACATGTACTGAGCATCCGTCTGCCCTTGTGTGACCATCTCCCCCATATCCCTCATCTTCTGGTAGTCCTCCTCGTAATTGTTGATTTCATTCTTAATGTTCTCATGCTGCGTAAGCAGCTTCTCGGCCTCTGTCAGTGTGTTTGGCATGTCTTCCGAGGCAATGGCTGTCTGGGTTCGGGATAGCCAAGACTGGAAGTCATCTAAGTCACGCAGGAACTGCTGCAGCTTGCTTGCCTCTCCGAGGGACTCTTCGCGGTTCTTCAAGGTGGTTTTCATCTCTTCCCAAACGTCATGGATTTCAGCGAGCCTGGAGAGTATGGCCTGAGCTTGGTCAGGATGCTCTGATTCTAACTTCTCAGCCTCTTTCTGAAGGTCGCTCAGCTTGGCCTCAATAGCAACCAAATCTCGTTCCATTCCGGTGAGCTTCCTCTGAAGAGCAATAACACCAGCCAGATCATTGCCAAGCTCTTGAGTAGATTCAATGACTTTAGTCTTCTCCCTGATCCAAGATTTGGTTTCGTTACACTCAAGGTGGTAGTTCTGGATACTGAGAGCTGAGATGAGAGCATCCTTCTTTATGTCCACTAGTTCTCTGAACTGGCTCCACCTAGAACCAAAAGAAGCAGAGAGTTAAAAATGGAGAAACGTTATAAATTCATCGTTACTCCTTCTTCTGAATTTGTATAATATATGACTGATCCGCCTTTTCATATAAAGTTAAAGGTTCCCCTTGATAAATTGTCCAGTTGTGTCCAACTTTAGGGGGCGGTACTCATCCCCGTTTCCAAGCTGTAGAGCCAGCAGTTTGTCCGTAGACAGTTTCCGTGGTCACGTGGCCAGCGCGATTAGACATGGAACACCTTTTCGTATATCCCGCCCTTTATTAATATCTGCAATATTGGCTATACTTGCATTATTCCAATTTGCAGGGTGGAGAACGTTTAGCTCTCCAAATGTTTTGCATGCCAGCACTCAAAAAAGCCTCAGCCAGCACAGCCAATAGTGAGAGATGATGGCAGTTGTAATCCAAAATACCTAATCTGAATGCTATTTATTTTATTTATTTTAAATATTTATACAACTTGAGGACCTATCAGGTAAATTTCCAAAACAAACAAACAAATGGTAGCAGCTACCAAGAATAATAATTTGATCTTATTATGAATGGTGGCTACATGTGAGCAACTGTTAGAATATCTGAGTGAGGAAAATGAGAGAACTCTACTGCTTGCTTTGGTTTTTTTGCATATTCTTCTTCAACTTTAATAGCTTTAATTCAAAGTGATAACTCTAATTGTCATGGAAGCCAACTGCTAATCTTATTTTGCTGGAGCAAATTCATATATCCAGTAAAATTAGTTGAAGGGGGGGGGAGGAAGCATTATGGACTACTAAGGATCTTGAACGACCAGATCCTAATGCAGAAAATAAAGATGCATCTAATGGAAAAGCAGATACCCAGTGTGGTGTAGTAGACAGAGTGATAGACTAGAACTCAAGAGGCCTGGGTTGGAATCTTTGCTCAGCTATGGAAACTCACAGGAAAAGTGGAACTGGTAGAACCACTCCTTAAATATCTCATTTACCTTGGAAGTCCTATTAGGCTTGTTATAAGTCAGCACCAACCTTCCTGCACACAACAACAACAACAACAACAACAACAACAACAACAACAACAACAACAACAACAACAACAACAACAACAACAACAAGGGAACAGGCCAAGCAAGAGTCAGCATTTCTCACCTTGTATTGAGCTTATCTTGCTGTGCCTTGATGTCCTTTTCATTGGGATGACCATTGTGTATCAGCTGCCTAGCAATCTGGTTAACCACAGCAACGCGTGATGCCTGGTTATTCATTTCTGGTTCTAAGCTTTCAAATCTAGAGAGAAAGAGAAAAGACGACGACCACAAAAGTGTCAACAGAGATCCAACAGCCAAAGCACTAAGCTACAAGAGCTAACAAAATGCATCTCGCCACGTGGTCTCTCACCTGTGTTGGATCACTTCCAGGTCTTCCAGCTTTTCTGGGATTTCCATGTTGTTCAGCCACTGTTCTTTCTCATCAATCCACAGTTCACAAGCATCTGCTTCACTCAACATCTTGTACAGAGCCAAAGTGTCCTGCAGGGCTTGCTTACGAAGCCGTGTGAGTTCGGCAACCTCCTTGTACCTTTCTTCTATTCCCAACAATCTGCTCTGAACATCTGCCGATTCCGCGTGTTCCTGCGGCAAGACTCTGGCTTGTTCGTGCAGGGAATCAATGATCGACCTGTAGCTTGCAATTTCTTCAGCAACATCTTTGTGTTTCTTAACCAAGGACTGAGTGGAATATTCATCATGGCCAACATCACTGCTAGAGACAATTTTGAGGATGTCCAACATCCATGTGTCTATATCATCAGCGTCGGCTTGGAATTGGTGAAGGAGAGAGGCTTCTTCCAGTCGCTTCTTGCGGAAAGCAGAGAGCTGTTCCAAGTTAGCCCATTGATTTTGGATGTCCTTAATCCTCTCTCTGATCTTCTCAGACCCAAAGTGATCCTCAGCAATCATATCTTCCCCTTCCTTGATAGCCTGCTGGAAGTGGCTGCTTCGCCCGCTCATCTCATCTTCAAATGCCTTATGCTTGCTGAGAAGCCGGACAACGCTGGTTAGGTCCTTTCCATAATCATCTGATGACAAGATCTGCTCCTTTTCCCTTATCCATCCTTCTTCTTCAGCCATCTCCCAGAAGAACTTCCACAAACGTCGGGATTCTTCCAAGCGAGCCCGACGTTCAGCTGATAACTGACACAGTTCCTTGTAGCAGAACTCCATATGAGCCACACGGTCTCTGATAACTTGTGGGTCACAGGGCTTGTAACCTGTTGATAGGTGGAAAGAAGCAAACAGGAAATTCATTAACAGCAGAGAATACCAAATTGCACCCAGCAGATGAAGTGAAGAAAATACTGATTCCGTAGCATTCACACACAGATTCTTCCAACTACAGTGGTGCCTCGCTAGATGATAATCCATTCCACTGAAATCGCTGTTTAGCGAAATCATTGCCTAGCGAAAAGCATTTCCCCATTGGAATGCATTGAAACCTGTTTAATGCGTTCCAATGGGGAAGAATCGTCGTTGTCTAGCGAAGATCAGCCATAGGAAAGCCACTTTGCGAGCTGCCAATCGGCTGTTTAAATCGCTGTCTTGCGAAGCTTAGGTCCCGAAAACACCTGTTTTGCGAGCGCGGAGGGAGCTATCAAAATCGTCATCTAGCGAAAATCGGTTTGTGAAGCAGGGACCAAACATTGTCCAGAGAAATTCCCCCATAGGAATCACTGTTTTGCAAATTGCTATAGTGATCGCAAAAAGTCAATGTCTAGCGAAAAACTGTCATGCGGGGTAACTGTCTAGCGAGGCACCACTGTAAATATTTTCAACACAATAGCTGCAGCTTTCTGAGAGATCCTGCTGAGGAACATCAGAGCAAGCCTCTGTTCTAAGACCCTCCTCATGGTTCTTCTGCCAACACTTCCACAAAGGTACACAAACGGACTGCAACCCATCCATAACAATTTGTCTCAGAAATCAGTTGTTGAACACAGTGGAAGACAGCCTGCTCTCCAGGCGAGTCTTTTCAACTCTCCTCATGCCTGCTGCTCTCCATTCCAATGTGACGAATGAAAGGTGATGAGCAGCAATGATGTCCAAAGGAACCACATGCAGGCTATATATGTCAACCAAAGCAGGAAGCTCTGAAATAAATATATCATACCATGCATCTCAATTTAGCTTCCCATTCTTCATCCTTGGCATACTGGCTACTCCAGCCCAGGAGGAGCACAGATAAGGTATTAAAATGGGAGAGTTTCGTTTAGCTACTACGTGAAAATGCAGAAGCTGAGTAGATGAGTTGCAGCGGCTGTTTGGCGTATTTGGACAAATATTCTATCGATATCAGGAGAAAAAAGATTAAAAGCTTGGAAAAGTTACGTTATATATTAGTGGATATCTCAAGCTGCATTCAACACCCTGCAACCAGCATGGTCCTTTTTCCAAGCTATGTGCTGGTTCTCCAGCCACTGCTGCTGAGTTCAAATAACTAGATGCAGTTCTTATGCAGTACTTATTCAGGACTTAAGTTATCTGTTCTACCACCTTATTTTTATTAAACTAAGAAAAGGACAGCATAAAAAAAAAGGTTATTGATACATTTAATTTGACCTTTTTGTTTTGTTATTATGTTTTGTGGATTTACTTAAAGTGTTATGTTCTCCAGCCACTGCTGCTGAGTTCAAATAACTAGATGCAGTTCTTATGCAGTACTTATTCAGGACTTAAGTTATCTGTTCTACCACCTTATTTTTATTAAACTAAGAAAAGGACAGCATAAAAAAAAAGGTTATTGATACATTTAATTTGACCTTTTTGTTTTGTTATTATGTTTTGTGGATTTACTTAAAGTGTTATTTGTTGTTCTATTGTGTTGTGATCTGCTCAGAGTGGCCTTGGGTAGCCATATGGGTGGTACAGAAATTGAATGGAATGAATGTATGAATGAATGAATTAATGAAAGAATGAATACTTGTTTTGTGCATACTAGGCCTGGATACACTGGACTCTACTACATACAAAGCTACACTGTGTGCAAAAAAAGATGGGATAGGCATGCCCAGAATTGATCTTACTGTCTCCTTGAGCACCACGCATTGCACACTTGACCCCTCAGTACCTTGGCCTTCACACCAGCTAGTAAATATCTGGGCATAATAGTTCTTGCTCCAAAGGTCATCTACAAAGGGAAAATCTCACTAACCTTCTCCATCTGTGGCAAATTTCTGAGCCGATGCATTGACTCCTCTCACTCTCTCAGCCTGAATAGAAATGTCAGCCTCAACAAGTGCATGCTTCTGCAACAGGTCTTCCACGCCTAGTAGATGTTTGCCATAGTCTTGAGAAAGCAGCAGCACCTGTGGACAGAAAGCTAGCCAGTCAAACCACCCAAATACTACTACTTTCTGATACATTTTTTTTTAAAATTTTGTTTCCATGGCTGATCTTTCATCAAGGACTAAATAAAAACCTACCTAGGTCTAATGTCCTGGAGCTGTCTGTCTTTGCAGATGCGCAGTCAGGTGTAAAATACAAATGTATCCCCTAATACCTTGATTCCATAGGAATGTGACTTTTTTCATTTGATTGAGTGCCCGTGTATTTTGTACGGCAGTAGAAAAAGGACAGGGAGGATAAATTCTACGGAAGATGGTACCATTACCATCAATTGGCTGACCCCATGCTGACGGCAACGCAACCCACAAAAACCTCCACAATGGCAGTGTCGGTGTGCATCAGTATAGGGAGGTTGGCTCCCCTATGGCAAATCGACCTACCACCATGGAATGCTGGCTGTTCTCTTAACTGCTAACCCAGAAGAAGAAGATATAGAGGGAGAGAATGGCAGCAGTAACCATTGCACTTGATAGCTATTATTCTCTCTGGAGGATGGCTGGACCCTGGTCACCAACTTCCATTTTGTGATCTAACACGGTTCATCCCCAAAACTATTCACTGTTTAATTTTAAAGAGTGGTCGCAAAGACCAGATAGGCGGGGTATAAATGAAATTAATTAATTAAATTAATTAATTAAATACTTACTACTATTAGAATGAGCTACCCTCTCTCTCTTTTCCACCCCTCTAACTTATTTTTATTTTTATTTATTAATTGGATTTTATTTGAATAAATAAAAATAAATGAATAACCTGCAGGCATTTGCATGAATTACAAAGTCTAATTGTGCTATCAGAATAAGGCAAAGGAAAAAAAAACATATAATTAGGCATGAACTCACTGAATTTGCACACTCATAGTGCAGCCCATATCCTGGTAAATTAGCAGCGATAACTGAACCATAAAGAGATTAGCCCTTTTCTTGAACCTCTCTCTTGAACCCAACTGGCTGGTTACCTTCATCTCATCCATCCAGTCCATGATGTATAGCATCTCCTGGAATATTTTCTGCAGACCAAGGTTCATCTCCAGCCGTTGCCTGCGGGCCCTCAGCAGTTCCAGGAGATACTCCCACAAGCGGATCACATTATCCTTCCTTGCAGTGATGCGTTTGATGTCATGATAATTCTCGGCTTCAAGCTCCTTGGCCACAGCAACCACAGCCTGGACCCTTTCTTCATAGGCTGCAATGTCTGTCTCAATGGCTTCGTGTTTCTTCGTGGCAGCCTCCACCGCTGGGAGGTCAAACCCAAAGTTGTCCTGTAAACGCAAAAGGTTCCGTTTAGCACAGAGGATACCAGTTGATGATGATCCATGGGTCACAGAAAACCCATTTCCACATGGACAAGGGATCATGATGGGCGACACCTGTCCATTCTCTGGGAAGATTATCTTTTCCAGTTTTAATATAATAGGCACCTGGCCATTTTTAGGAATTTAGGTTTGGGGACCACATTGAGTTGTCTGGTCATCCTGGAATTCCCACTTATAGCTTCATATTGCTGATAATATACTGCTTAAGCTGTAGGGCCTGCATTGTGTGATAGAAAAAAGCTGTCACCCTTTTGACTTGCACCTCAACTGGCTTGGGGTAGAATACATCCAGGAACTAAAGTTAAGAGCTTGGTTGTCGAAATGAGTGGCCTCTTCTCATGTCCCAAATAGAAAGAAATCAGACTGTATGGTGGGTAGACTACACCCCATCATACACAGCTAAACTTCAAACTGACAGCAGAGCTGGTTGTTTGGTGAATTCCCTACAAAGAATTCATACATGTTTTTTCATACCCAGGGGATATAGAAGTGTCGAGTTCTCAAGCCAATGTAAGTGAAGGCTTTCTGAGACCCATCCCTTACCTCTGTGATAATGTCAATATGCAGAATCACCACCAGGACTTAGAAAGAACATATTCGATTTAACACATTCATATTACATTTGTTATTTGCACATTAAACAGGAGGAAGGCATCTAATTTTAAGTAAATGACATTTTTAAAGTAACACTTAAAATGTGACTTCTAAAAGGTTATTCTTTAAATGCATCAGCTGGCTTGTATACCTCCCCATAGTGCTTCAAACACTCTCTGGGCAGTTTACAAGTTGATTATGCAGGCTACACATTGCCCCCCCCCCCCCAGTGAGCTGGGTACTCATTTTACTGACCTCGGAAGGATAGATGGCTGGGTCAACCTTGAGCCGGCTACCTGGGATTGAACCCCAGGTTGTGAGCACAGTTTTGGCTGCAGTACAGCTGTTTAACCACTGCGCCACGAGGCTTTTAATGTTAACACATGAAATTAAAATGTTCTTTCCAAGTTCTGATCATGAACCTGTGCTCTATGTGTTTAATTTGTTAAAGAAAAAAGCCCAAATGATGTAACAAAATTGCTGAGCAAGACTGTATTGGCAGACTGGATTCTCTTCACTTGGACTTAACTAGAACTATCTGTTTCTTCCTAACGGCAGGCTATATAGCAGTATAGTGTAGCTAGAAATAGTATTTTCACTCACAACTGTTGTTGGGAAGAAGTTATTCTATTATTATTTTGTATGTACTTGAACTCTCAAAGATATGTTAGATTCAATTTGCCTTGTATATTTCATAATGAATTGGACTCCAGCCCACGACAGCTGATGTTGCAACAAGTCTGTTAGTCCTTAGGGCTCCTCAGTGCCTTCGTCTGTACAGAACATTTTAGTCTGATCCACGAGAAAAGGCACAGAAAAGTAATGTGCAGCCTTTTCATCCACTATCATCAATGTGTCGGTTCTACTCTGAGGGCACTTGTATAGCTCTTACACCATACACACAACTGCAGCCACTAACATTATGAACACACCACTTACTAGCTCAGCAGTTCTAAACCCATCATCCATTGTCAAAGACCTGCATCTAACCGGAGGAGATCCACTGGGTCAATAGGATTTCTGTGAATGACAATTTGTTGTTCTGCAATTGCTTCAATGAAACTGTTCTACTTGGACTATCAACTTGATTTAGGCCAAACTATTTCTCAGATTTTGTGTGTGTGTGTCCCCCTCCCCCCAACCCTGGCCAAAGACAAGTCAAAATATGGGATATGAGGCCGGGATATGATTGTCGAAGTGAAGGTGTTCTGAAACGGAAGTGCACTTTTCTCTTTTACCTCAGGAAGAAACCTGACTATTCTGGGATGTTTTCTGCCATCTCCAGGTCTCTGAAAGTGGAGTACAACTCTCACCAGCCCAAGCCAGGGAGGATCAAGGTCAGCAGCTATTGAAGCTGTAGTCCAAAGCATATAGAGAGCAGCAGGTTGCCTGCCTTCACGTTATAGGCAGACAGCAGAATTCAGCTTGAGGCTGACATTTGTGGCAACAGCCCTGCATTACATGTTCTATCTAGTTTCCCCAGAAAAAGAAGGGAAATTCCTGGAGGCTAGAACATACTTAACTGTGTTTGCACTATTCTGGACCACAATTCCAACAGCCATGGCCACAGGAGATTGAAAGAGTTGTAGTCTAAAAAAGTAATTTCTCCAGCATATGAGCACATTTCCATTTCTCCTGGATTCTACCCACATGTGAGTGCCAACAAGTTACAAGCTTTCAGAAGCTCCATGCAAAATGGCTTACAGTGCAATCCGATTCAAGTCTACTTGGAAGCAAGCTCTGCTGAGTTCAGGAAGGGGGTGTAAGATCACGCCCTTAGTCAACTAAACAATACAGTGTACTTCTAAAAATGTTTCACCTGAGAAACCAGACGCTGGTTTTCGCTCAGCCACGTCTCCCTCATAGCTGCCTTGCGGTCAAATCTGCGGGCGAGTTGTTCCAGTTTCTCCTGTCGGATGAGCTCATTACGCAATGCCAGTTCTCTTTCATGTTCAGCTTTTTCCAGTCTTTCCCAGGCCTGGGTAAGCAAAGAAATAATAGTGAAATTAATTAAGAACATAATTTACATAAGGAAAAAGCCTGTGAGAAATTCCGAAGTCTGCTTCAGCACTGAATAAATATTGCACAATGTTATAAAAATGAACATGTTTGGGTAGCTAGTGTTAATTAATTAAGGAATGCAAAATGCAGTGCCTGGGCTTGAAAGGGGGGGGGCAAAGCATCCCAGTGCTTCAATTTGCCTTTGGCAGTTTACCCTCCTACAAAATAAACAAAGCCTGACTCTTTTATCTGTTCCGTTTTTATCGTAGTTCCTTTGGAGACTGTTAGTAACCTGCAAGGTGATAAGCACATGCTGAATCATAGGATCTGGTGGCTGACAAAGCATTTTAGGTATAGCTTTTCATTTTTCCAAACAGTATGTTCAGGATGTCACAGCTGCAATGAAATGTCTAAAAAATTGCTAAGAATGGGAAGACAGCAGAGGAGTGGGCAAGCCGGAGCTTCCTATGACCATGATGCAATTTTCTGCACTTATGTGAAATCTCAGATCAGAGACAAACCAGTCCCCACACCTTAAAAACACCATAAATCCCATAATATGAGCAAAATACCAGGGCTCATCTAGCACAGAGGGCAGAAACATGCACGGCCATAATTTTTACCCCCCCAAAGAAGGAGCTGTGTCCGTTAGTTTCGGCATGAAGATGAAAAACAAAACAAAATAAATGAAGAAAGCTTTGTGGCACCTTTAACACTGAAGAGATTTATTTTAGCATTAGTGGACTGTGGTGTTAATGGACTAGATTGTAAAAATAAAAATAAAAATCTGTGGCCAGAATCTTACTGAAGATTTATATATACATATGAGAAATCACATTACTTGCGTGAATTGTGAATCAAAATACAGTGAATCACAATACAGTGAATTGTGAATCACAATACAGTGAATTGTGACTAATTAATGAGATGCCAAGTCTGTCCCTGCTTGGGTGCTCATTTGCATGAGCAGAAACACAGCGAGGAGCGCAACCAGCACTTTGTGAATTAGCAGCAATTTGTCACCACAATTTATTGGATTCCACTTACATACAGGTAAAGTACCAATTGAATTCTCCCTGTAAGCCTTAAATGTCCCACAAGGCGTTTGCTTGCTTTCTCTTTGTAACTTATGTTCTTAAAAATCCCATCACTCTCCAGTCCACTTTGATCAGTTGCATACTATGAATGCAGAAATAGTGCCCAAGTGTCTCAACAGAATGCTAAAAATCAAGCCAGTCCATTTCTCAGATCCTCCATGTAAAAAAACAGCATCTCTCATTAGGTAGATGCTGTCTAAGGTTCTTCCAAATCTTGGCACAGGTCCTGCTATCTGGCACCAAAGACTTTTTAAGATCCCACAGACACATTTCACACACATACACACACAAGGGGGAAAGAAGGAGGGACCAGGTAGGTTCCGATTCAAGTGTCAAGTAACAGCTGCCCTAAAAATTCCAGGCTGGGTGTAAAGGAAATTAGGAAGCTTCTATTGAGACACATTCATTATTGGCAAGGCACCTTGTCTAATTGGATGCCGCTCATCTGGTTCCACCAGTACAGCACCCTGTGCTCTAATGAGATTCTTCACAATCTTTCCCACCCCACCAGCATCTTCCCACTTATCCATCTCGGAAAGATAACTAGTCCCAAGCAGGCAAATTCTTCTGAGCAAAACCACCCAGTTGCACAGAAGCCATTCACTCCAACAAGCTGATCTTCACAGCAGATTGTGCTTTCTATGGCAGGAGACTGGGGTGCAGCTGTTTCAACGAGACTGCAATATTACAAGTGGGTTGATGTCGCTTCAAGCTAATTCTACAAACGGTGATGATGATGTGCTGTTTATTTGGTTCAGAATTATGGCAATCGTTCCCCAAGGCTTTCCAAGTTTGAAGTACTCAGAGGCTGTTTTCCAGATTCTTTCTGGTGGACCCTAGACCATGCAGCTTGTCTGGGTATGGAACTCTGCCAGCCATACACACTCTGGCTGATATCATCTTATTGTTCTCCTGGGAGGTACAGAGGGATTCAAACTCCCAGCCCCTGGCTCCACAATGTGATGCTACAACTCACTGAATGAAAGATGTGCCTAACTGGTATTAAACTGATATAAATGTGTAGTGTGCACTTCCTGTTTTATCTGTAGACATCCGATATGCAAGCAAGAAGACGGATTCTTCCATGATCTGGCTCATGTGTAAAGCCTCCATGGCGATAAGAGAGATGTGAATCCAACTGGTAATCTCAAAAAGAGTAGAGGCACACAAAATCAGTGGAGCTTATACAAGTGTTGACTTCCCATTCAGTAATTGATTGAATAGGCCTACTCTAACTGAGATACTCAACTAGATTTAGACCAGGATCTTTTCTTAAGGCATGGGGCTTTTGGCAGGCCGTTTCTCTCCCCTTGTATACAGTACATATTCTTTATGAACACCAGAATAAGGCTGTGGTTAATAGAGGACAAGCCACAGAAAAACAATAATAGCCAGAGAGAGAGAGAGAGAGAGAGAAGGATTCAGTCTTTGCAGATATACTCTGGTGGAGTGCAAGGGCGTGTTGCCAAGGAATGTTCTACTACAGATGTCAGCAACTGCTAAATCGTGGGCCAAATCTGCCTTCCAAATGGCTTTGCAGTGATCCACTAAGACTTTCCCTTTCTATTCCACATTAAGTGATCAAAGGCTGGAAACGGTTGTCTTTTTTTGGACTGGAATTTTTAGAAAGTGAAGGACATTTTCCATATATCTTCCATACTGGCTGGAATGATCTGGGAATGATAGCCCCAAAAAGCACATTTTCTACAAGGGAGAGACCATGAGGAGCAATGATCCATGGTGGCGTAAGAATCAATGCAGCCTTTGGGGAGGTAATTACTGAGTCGCCAGTTTCAGAAGACAGCTCATGGGGCTTGGCCCAACTCCTATAAATTGTATGTTCCAGCAAGAGACTTATGGAACTGCTGGGTAGTTCAGGGGTTTTGGCATCTGGCTGTGGAACAAGAGGCTGGGAGTTCAATTCCCCACTGGACCTTCTTGACGAGAGCTGGACTTGATCCATACGGTCCCTTCCAGCCCTGTAGTTCTAATATTATGATTATTATTAAATAAAGTTGGCAATCTTCTAAGAGGTCTTCCGTCCATAAATCCAGAATAAAAATGGTTGGCTGGCTGTTGCATGGGCTCATTCACTAACTCTGCTTTGGGGTCCTGAACCAAATGGTTAAGACCTCGTGCGTTGACATTTCACCCTCACTCTCTGGTTCTGCATATTCCTGCCTAGAGAGACACTTTCTCTTATTCAACTCTTTGATCCTCTTGACCCTGTTTCTTTTTCTTTTTTTAATTTAAAATCTATTAACAAGAGGGGCTGGCATGCTGCCCAAGCCCAAACTTGTAGCATCATCTCAAATTCCAAGAATGACCTTGAACATTACATGGGCTGTGGTGCATTCTTAAAAGACAAAAATGGTGAATGGCCACAAGGCCTGGGTGAATTTTGAAGTGGGCCGATCCTCACCAAAAAGTACAGTGGTGAGGATAGGCAGCCTCTCTGCTGCTTTATTGGGGGCGCGCGCGAAGAAATGGGGTTCCTGTACAGCATGTGTATCGGTTTCATCAATTTGCAGTGTTTGTGTCTTTATCTAGGTCTGTTGAATTTTCTTCGTGTGTAGGATGTTTTGCCTGCTGGATGTACTTGCCTATCTGTACTTCTTGGAGGAATACTAATTGGCCACCTTCTTTGAGTTGTGCAATCTGTGGCACTTTGTGGAGGGAAAAAAACACTATGATTCAGCATTCAGAGGCTCAGGAGGCTCCTCTGCTGGACACATGGTTTGGTGGCCAGGTGACTTGCCTGTCCCGTTCGTTTGCCTTTCCAAATGAGTGCCCAAACAGAAAACTAAGTTAAATAGCATACTCCTGCTTTTGGAGCTCTGATCCCACCTCTAATGAGGTCTTCAGGGATATATTACTTTTCATTCCGCCTTATTAGTTTTCCTTCTGAGAAAATAGTGTTTGGTGACTGGCTATAACTGCTGTGGCAGCCATTTTGTGAATAGCTAATGGCCTCCTCTTGTCAGCCATTTTGTGAGGTCTCCACGGGAGTCTCTTCACATTCCCAACAGGCCCAAAATGGAAGGGAACCCTTCCTTCTTCACCTCATTTCTCGAGCGGCCCAACCTCCTGAGCCTCTAAGTGAGGAACGGTCCCTCCTGTCAAGTTTCTTATAACCTTTGTCAACAGCTGTTGGACTCCGCATTCCAGTGCAAAAAATAGACCTTTGCTATGCAACTCTGACTTTTGTTCAGTGGGCAACCAAAAAGGGGGGGAAATGCAACTTCAACCAAGCATTCTTTTTTTCCCTATGCAAAGGTCCCTCCCTCAACTTTATGCGTGGTGGACAGCGGGAAAAAGTGAAAACGAAAGCTGTTGTCTGGAATTCCTCACTGGATTTAGGAGCCAACCTTGCTTGGAACTCAGAAAAGTCACTTTTGGGTCTACAACATCCAGAATGCTACAGCAGTGTCCAAGACTTGTACTGGTTGGGGGATTTTGAATGTTGTAGTTGTGACGATCGCCGACGTCACTCATGACATTCATATTCATGAGATGATTCGCATGAACCTATAAGAGGACTGGAGAGGTGGAGTCAGCAGCTACATGAGGCTTGGCGGGAGAAGGAGGAGTCAGATAGGGCTAGTTAGTCAGAGAGAGAGGGAACAGATACTGAGAGATAGAGAACTGGTTAGGAAAATAGGTAGAGAAGGTGACAATGATATAGCAAGAGAAAAGAAGCATGTACTGAGAGAACTGTTCATGATTTGCTTTTGTATAATGTGTATCTGAGGGACTTCTGTTATTATTCAGTCTGCTTCACTTCAATAAATAAGTTCTGTTTCTGTTCACAAGTCAAGTGTTCAGACAAATGTCATTTATATTGTGGACTGAGGTAATTCACTGGTGGCAGTGAGAAGAAAACGTAATGTGAGCCTTTGTGAGGGAAAGACAATCAGGGGCCACAAGGGCAAACACCACAGTAGTCAGCCCCCATCCCCTAGTTTCCAAGCTCTCCTTCTGCTTGTTACATCAGTTTGCCTTCCAGTCCCATTTTGGTTTGGAGAGGCCCTTTTAGCACTGAACCCAGGCTTTGGACTGCTCCCTCAAACTGCTTTTTTTCACCCTGATTCTTGCTCTTCTCATTGCTCTTCCATCTCTGACCTTATATCCCTAAGATTTATCCATTTGCATAAGTAGCATGAGGTTCATCACTAACTCAGCTATGGCTCTCAGCCTTCAGCATCCTCATCTGGCTGATGAGTACAGTCTCGTTGATGAAACTGGGCATGGAGAAGAGGAGAATATGAATCAAGAATGTATTTACCTTGTTAATATCTGAGATGAGTTTCCCTTCCCGGGGCATGTACACCTTCTGATTGTTGGCCCTCATTTTGCTCTGAATGGTGAAGAGCAGCACTTCCAGGTTTCCTTTCTCTGTGAATCTGAAAAGGAAAATTGGGAAAGGGGGAGTAGAAAAAAAACTTTTAAAAGATGCAAGCTTTCCACTCCAAAATCTGCATGCATTACATGGTCAACTTTTTTTCTCCCCTACATTTTTGCCCATTTAAATATTATATACAAACGACATTCTCCCAGCAAAAAAGAGTGGCTTTGCGTGTTAACAGTCCAAAAGGAGTTAGCCAAATAGACATCTATATTAAATTCCCATCTGATTCCTCTTCTTTTTAAAATTATTTCTTTCGGTCTTCCCTTGCTAACTAATACATTTTGTCTTCACTTGCTAGCTGATAAATTTGAAGCCTCAACATGACCTCACTTTAGCTGATTGCAAAGCCCCAGTTAGCTCTCCATGATAGGCTGGGGCCTTTTGAGTATTCACAAGGAATACACACTGCTACACATTTAAAAATGGACACATTCCAGGTGATTTAATAAAGCTTTTGGCTGCTGATCTGTATTTTGTTGATGTAAGCTCACTCTGTACAGTAGCCATCATAAGGCTACGGTCATGGCCCAGAGCTAAATGATATGCAATGATAGTTAGTGTACATGCGGCTCTTTTAGCAAGAAAGAGATACTTTATAGAATTTCAATCAAAACTTAGAAAACTGGCTATTTGGACTACAAATGGTATCCCAGAGGCCACACTGACTGGGAAATTCTCAGAAATGCACTCCAAGAAGGCTACTTTTCTAAGCTCAGATTTCAATAACCTGAAAATCTCTGCAGACACAATACTTAGATGCCCATTGAGCATTTGACTCACATCTACAAAAGAAGGTATATGCCCCTGACATACTGGAGAATATGTACAGTGGTGCCTCGCTAGACGGTTACCCCGCTTGATGACGAAATCGCTTTACGATGCTCTTTCCCCCCCTTTTCCCTTCGGAGGCTTGCCGAAGGCTGGAGAAAGAGGCGGGAACTTTAAAAAGGGTTTCGGACAAGACTCTGCAAATGCCAATCACCGCACTGCCTGCCGTGTTAGACCACAATAAGTTACAGTGGTGCCTTGCTAGACGGTTGCCCCGCTTTAGGATGAAATCGCTTTACGATGGGTTTTTTGCAATCGATTTACCCATCGCAAAACGGTGGTTCCATTGGGGCTTTTTCGCACCCAACCCCCCCGCGCCTGCTTTAGAGCACTTTGGAGGCTTTTCCTGACAGTAGAGGAAAAGCCTCCAAAGTGCTCTAAATCCAGCGCGGGTGGTTTTGGGACACCCCCGCCAGGGACCTTAACAACAGGCAAATGTTTTGTAGAAAGAGAATAATAATACACAAGGCTCAAGGTCCCAAGAATACACTTCACAAGAATGGTTGCTGGGTTTGTCCCCAAAAAGCTAAAATAAGCCAAAAATGGTTCAGATCATAACACAGTACACTAGTAGAGAACCTGTAGCCCATCTATATGTTATGAGACTACAGCTCCCATCAGTCCAAACACTGGCCATGCTGGGTAGGGCTGATGGCAACTGTAGTCCAACTGGAAGGCTAGATTACCTTCATCTGCATTTCAGATTAATGGGGTGGGTAGAACAGCAAAATCCAAGAGGGACAGAGCTTTTCATCCATTCCTAATGTAACAACAAATTACAAATAATAATAATGACTACCCACAGGTGTAATAGGCAGTTGTCCAATAATGGCTTTTATATGAACTATTTCTATCCTAAGATACATTTTTCTGTTAAAAGTGAATGGTTCATTTCTACAATTGGGAATACAGTGGTGCCCCGCATGATGAAGATAAGCCGTTCCCCTGAAATTGCTGATAAGTTAAATCGTCGTCATGCGAAAAACAATTCCTCATTGGAATGCATTGAAACCCACTTAATGAGTTCCAATGGGGAAACTACTTGGTTGTCTAGCGAAGATTGCACATAGGGAAGCCATTTTCCGAGAGCCGATCAGCTGTAAAAATGGCTGCCCTGCGAAGAATGGGTCCGGAAAACACAGGGCAGCCATTTTAGGAACCAAACAATCAGCTGGAAAAATCCTCATCTTGCAAACAAATGATTCGTGAAGCACGGACCTAATCGTCGTGAAGTGAAAATCCCCCACTGAAATGACTGTTTTGCAAATCGCTATAGCGATCGCAAAAAATTCATCGTCCTGCGGATTCGTCATTTAGCGGGGTTGTTGTCATGCGAGGCACCACTGTAGTCTCTTTTGTGAATGAACACACCTGTTAGCACTCCATGGGCATGTTTATGGCTCACTCACACATTATAAGAAAGACTACCATCATCGTCCCTGCTATATAATAATATGTAGAGTTCAAACCATTTATAGTTTTGTGGAGTTCTTTGTGGTGACAACAATCTGGTAAAGAGAGACCACATTATTAAGGCATGGTAGCAACAAACAAGCAGTATGACACTGCTTAGTAAGCGCTGGGTAGTATCTAACCATGAGTTATCAAAGCACAGCATAATGAAGTTCTCATGTCTATGATTAATGCATAGAAATAGCCTAGAGGTTCCCAAATTCATTTAATGAACTGGGATTAACTGACAAAAAAGGGAACATAGTGGGCAAATCCTACTTGGGTGGTTTTTCCACTGTACGGTAGGTGTTGAATGCCTGTAGCTGTTGCTGTACGCCAATCAGCGAGTTTGCAAATTTGCGGTTGTTCAAAATGATAATGGTTTGCTCAATCCACTCAAGGAGGTCAGAAGCCAGAGACTCGTATTTCTCGATCATCTTCTCTGTTTCAATCGCATTGTCAAGCACCTAGCGAGAAGCAAATTAGAAAGAAAGAGCTGAGTAGCAAGGCAGGGCTCTCTGAGATAACCGCTGGATCTCAAAAATGAAAGAGGACAGTAGGAAAGAGTTTGAGAAATAAAGGATTTTTAAGACAATAAAGCAGTAAAACACTCAGAAGACTATAAAGTGTGCTGACTGGGCATGTGTAACATCTCCATGACCTTAGGCTGACCGTAAGGCACATGTTAGACGCTCTGGGAGGATGATCTTCTCTCAATCATATGATTGCAGCTGATTTACCACAACACACCATGCCGTTCAATAAAAATAATGACTCTTCTGGCTGATGAAAAGGTAATTTGTATGCATTTCCTAATCTTAAAAAAACAACATAGAACTCATGTTCCAAACTACAGTTCCAAGAAATCTCAGAACATTTAAAACTGGAGTTTAGTTAATTACTGATAATACAATTTGGGGCATGTTATTAGGTCAACTTTTCACTGGAGTCTACAGACAACACTTAGGAAAACAACACTTACTACAACATCTTGCAGAGACCTCCCCTTCAGGAATGTAACCCTTTGTTTGTTTCATTTTCATAAGCAAGAATAAAATAATTTCAGAATCATGCTGGACAGAATTATGAGAATTTTGGGAAGTTTTTGCATTCTGGAATTTTGGGGGGGAAATGTGAAAAAATGTATTTTGCACAAAAGAACTCAGAATTTTGGTTTTGCATTCTGGAATTTTGGGGGGGGAAATGTGAAAAAATGTACCGTATTTTTCGCTCCATAAGACGCACCTTTCCATAAGACGCACCAATTTTTTAGGAGAAGAAAACAGGAAAATATAATCTGTTTTCTTCGCTCCATAAGACGCACAGACTTTCCACACCCGTGTTTTGTGGGAAAAAAGTGAGTCTTATGGTGCAAAAAATACAGTATTTTGCACAAAAGAACTCAGAATTTTGTGCAAAAATGCTCTCTTATGTGCAACTTGTAACACTTTCAGGCCAATTAATAGATTTTCCTAATGCCATTGCTAATGAAAAATGTGCTGATCTTTTTGCTTTTGTGAAGGTTTAAAAAATCTTGCATAAGCTGACAATTTCATAAACAAGAGTTACTCAATGTGATCAGACATCCTTTTATTTGTTGAGTATAAGAAAATTTGTAAATATTCATTATGTTCTTGTTTCCCTACAATTTTTTCTTAGATTTACAACTGCCCACCAGTTTGCATTCTGAGAATATTATTAAAAGCCATCAGGTTGTGAAAAGAAAATAAATACCAGGTTCCTCATAAAGCATATTTTTGTTTTAAAAATAACTCTGCCATACACGTGTATACAGTATTTGTCATTGTCGACCCCATTAGACTATACATGAATTAACAATTCCATTTATAAATAAAAATAACTATTTGGAATTAGTCAGATTTTTCATAATCAAATGTGTCAAATAAATACTCCTCATAAAGCATATTTTTGTTTTTAAAATAACTCTGCCATACACGTGTATATTTGTCATTGTCGACCCCATTAGACTATACATGAATTAACAATTCCATTTATAAATAAAAATAACTATTTGGAATTAGTCAGATTTTTCATAATCAAATGTGTCAGTTCGTACATTCTAATGCTTTATTTCAATTTTGCTCCAAACATCTAACCTGTTTCCCTGAAAATAAAACCTAGCCTGAAAATAAGCCCTAGTATGATTTTTCAGGATGCTCATAATATAAGCCCTACCCCCAAAATAAGCCCTAGTTAAGTGAAACCCCACCCTCCACCCTTGTGCAGCAACCAGAATATGACATGACTGTATTTGAATAAATGTAGGTGGTTGTACATGAACAAAATAAAACATCCCCTGAAAATAAGCCCTACTGCAGTTTTTGGAGCAAAAATTAATATAAGACCCTGTCTTGTTTTTAGGGAAACATGGTAGGTGCTAAAAATCAGAACAGAAGGATGACAGGCAAGTTAAAATGAGAGCTATCATGATAATGTATATAACATAACAAAAGAAAAAAAAGGAATCTCCATTTAATTTTGGATATTTAATAGAACAAATACCACTTGAGTAAATTTCTCAAGTAGCAGTTCTTACAAAATTCACAGCGAGAAGCAAAACATGTGATTAAAGTGTTATTAAAGAGTGTATATGATGCAACTGTGAAAGTCAGCAGGAAACACAATTTAAGCAAGCAACATGGTGTATAAAACCTTAGCTTACAAACCTTTCCAATACGCTTTCCTTCAACAGCTAATGCTTTCATCTTAGAAAAGTAGTGGTAATATGTCACTACATAGGTGATAATGGACTTTTCATCCGGATGGTCAACACTGATATCTGAAAAACAGAGGAGGGTGGCATGTGATCTATAAAACAATCCAGTTTATCATACTGAAAATGTACATATGCAAGACCTCAAGAATTTAGCTGAAACTAGATGCTAAATTCAACAAGAATATTTACAGACTTCACTCTTCCCACCCCATAACTCGTATAAATTAATTCATCTTGCGGTGTTGTAACATTCTGATTTATATGGATATCCTTTGCTTCAAGGAGCCCAAGATGGGTTCCTTCAAGGGCTCTCTGTTCACTTTTACAACTTCCCTCTGTGTGTGTGTGTGTGTGGCTATCTTTTCACTTTTACAACATCCCTCTATGTGTGTGTGTGTGTGTGTTGCTTATACCGCCTCATAGTGCCTAAAGCCCTCTGAGCAGTTTACAATTTAATTACGCAGGTTACACTTTGTTCACCTGTACTCAATTTACCAACCTTGGGAGGACGGAAAACTGAGTGAAACTCAAGCCAGCTACCAGGGATTGAACCCAGGTGGTGAGCAGAGTTTTGGCTGCAGTACAGCAGTTTAACCACTGCGCCACAAGGCTCCTTCTGCACCAAGGAAAGTTAGCCTGAAAGTTTATGACTGGTTCTGTGACCTGCAAGGAAATTTCCACCTTGGCCTCCCAGTCCAACCTGGTATTCACCGATCAGAGGCAACGAAATATGTACTTTTGTGGTGTCAGAGGGACACCACAAAACTAGTATTTATGCTGCACATTACTGTAGGTTGTAAGGGGTGAGCTAAACCCAAGATTGCTTTTTTTTTGTAACAACTATGCACTTAATGATACAATGTCCTATTTCTTTGGTCGAATTTTCAGAGTTGGGTATTTTAAGTGATATTCAATTGATTTTTCAAATAAAATTACATGTAGTGCTTTTCACCCACAATGGATGGTTCTTTCTTAAAAGTACATTTTGTGCAGGTCTTACACCACTGGCAATAGAACAAGAATCAAGGATGTCATCCCTGCCCATTCTAAGCTGTTGAGAGGATGGCCTAGAGATTACCTAGGTAACTCAGTGAATGTACCTGTGGAAAAAGTCTCTGACCTCTTCCTACCTATTCTTACAAACTGATGGAAAAGTCCTCCTTATGTGACTATTCACTCCAGCTCCTTCATATCTTGATGGGACCTGGGCTTGTAAACACAGCAAGCAGAAGGGCAGGAGGCTCTGGCACAGAAATAGGGCAGGAACATATAAGAGACCTCTGTATGAAAGCCTGCAACATTTACCTTCTGGATCCAGCAATTTAGTAAGGCCAAGGTGTTGCTCTGCCAGATTAAAAGCATTCTGCAGATTGTAGTGTGCATTTGATTTCTTCAGCTTATCAAAATCAATTAGGTCAGGCCTAAGTAAAGAATAGAGTAAAAGAAAAAAAGAAAGAACACAAATGAATAAAAAGAAAGATCACCTTGGATTTCCTTCAATGCACAAACCTTCCACAGATTATGAATGACTTAACATGAAGTTAGGAATATTCCCAACAGAATAGAGAGAAAGAGTCAATAGAGCTAGTAACAAATGCCTGAACTGGATGCAGCTATACATAGATATGGCACATAGTTTTCAACATGTTGATATAGTGCTTCACAGATTAACATAAGAAAAATATATGTGCCTTGATGAGCATACATTCCATGTTTATCAAGGCTAGCAGAGGGATGGGATGAAGAGAAATGAGATGGATTTGACAAAATGCAGTTGAAAGAATGCAATAATGTGAACATACCTGAAAGTAAACCCAGCAGACTCAGGATTTCCAAGTATGCATGCATGCATGCGTGCATGGGGTTGGGTCGTTCATATTTTCGGGACAGGGCTATGGCATAACACCACAGCTTTCACAGAAGAGATGAGTTTTGAGTTGGGAGTTTGACAAGACAGACACAAGTGGTCCCTGTGGGTGTTTAGGAAGAGAGATCCAAGATGGTTACTAGAATAAAAGACATAATTCTGCATCCATTGGTCCAGCTGCACGTAAAAACCCTCATCAACTTTTTGACGAATGCCCACCTGTGTTTATGGATTAGTGCGTTGAAAGCCATGCCGTCCCTCCAGCTGGTCGTGAAGTTGTGAATGTTGACGTTGGGGTAGCTGATGAAACAAAAAAAGGGCCAAAACGGGAAGGGGGAAAGAAAAGAAAAGAAAACTCAATCAATACAGGATTAAGGTTCACAGATATGACATGCGTTGACCAGGTGCTCAACTTAGAGGAAAAAATTGGGCTCAAGCACCTTTGAAATGGTCTGTAGCAACACAAGCAACGTACTGCCACATCACAAACATAGAACTGCAACTTGGCATCCTCCAGACAAGCTGGACCACAACTGCTGTAATCCCCTTATGGCAGGTGTAGGTCAAGAAATCTAGAGCAGTGGTCCCCAAACTTGGGCCTCCAGATGTTCTTGGTCTTCAACTCCCAGAGAATCCTGGACAGCAGAGGTGCTGGTGAAGGCTTCTGGGAGTTGTGGTCCAAGAACATCTGGAGGCCCAAGGCTGGGGACCACTGATCTAGAGGGTCCCAAGCTATGTGAGGAATGATTTGAGAAAATATAATATAAAAAGCTGTAGAAGATTCAGATATTGAACTGCTAAGGACCTCGTTGACCACTGAGGAGATGGAATTATCCTTAACACAGAAATCCTCCATCGTTCCAACAGTGCAGAGCTCTACGTTAACGAGGGAGAAAGCATGGGGTCACTGTGGGTGGCAGAAAGGGAGGAGGAAATGAGCTGACTGGGAATGGGAAAACCCTTTAGCGGCAGCGCGGGAGGCAAGCAGATGGAGTGACCAAGACTCAAAGTCCCTGGTAAGGTGGCCCGAGTCGCATGACCCACCCGGTGATCAACGCACTCCAAACAAAGAAGCAAAAGAAAGGGAAAAGTTTCTAGAACAGGGTTTGACTACCTCAGGCCCTGTGATTAAAACTAGCCCTTCTGGTGACCCAGCTCAGTCAAACCACTTCCCAGTGTCCATATATGTGCTTTTCCTCCCATTCTACAAGCATGTAATGCATCTTCTAAGGCTGGGTTACTAGAAGTAAAGGGTTTAAGCTAAAATATGCTAGCATTCTGGCTCTCCACAAGAGGACTCACGGTGGCTTATAACATTAAAACAGGCAGTACTAAAAGTTAAAAGGCAATGGTTTAAATTATTATAACACTGAAAAAGAATTAAACAGATATCAAGTTAAAAATTAATGGATGTAAACAATTAAAAACCATTCTAAAAAATTAGTGGATAAAAAACAATTTAAAACTATTCGAAAAGCACATTAAAATATAACAAAAATTTGCAAAAGCCCTGTTTTTAAGAACCCATTTTTAGATGGCTGAGTATTGCAGAAAATGTTTGCCTGAAAAGAAAGGTCTTTGTCTGTTTGCAGAAGGACAGCAAAGATGGGGCCAGGCTGGCTTCCCATGGGAGGGAGTTCCAGAGCTTGGGGGCAGTGACAAAGACCCCTCTTGTGTCTGTACCAAATGTCCTCCCTGATTATTTTAAAGCCCGTGCAGATTCAGAAAGGAAGATTTGGTTTTTCAGATTGCTTGGACCCTGGGTGTACAGGGGGCGCAACCTGGGTGGGCAGGTTCTAATATCATCTCTCCTCCCTGCTGAAGGACATGGTGCCACCATTCTTGGACCATGGTCTGCTATTTCACAAAGATCATCTTTTGGCAGGGAATGGGGTGCACCTCACAGCTGTTGGCAGTAATGTTTTTGCTAAGAGACTCACAAATCTGATCAGGAGAGCTTTAAACTGAGTTCTGGGGGGAGGGGGGGAGACAACAGTTTTCAGGGCAGAGATTCAGCAAGTGCTGGTGAGAAAAGCCCAACTTCTTCACTAGCAAAGTCGGATATTGTTAGAGCAATGAAGTTGATACGAGCCGCCATATACACAAATTATCAAGGGTGAGTTCAGCCTCTCTCAACCTTGTGTCCTTTGGATGTCTTTGAAGCCAACATGCATAAAACTCCAAAACAACACACTTGACTGTGTAGCTAGCCTGGCATGTCTGGAAGACACCAGTTTGAGCAAGGCTGGCTGAGATGACCATTTAGTTCAAGCTCACCCTGCTGTCTTCATCTGGCACCAGAGCAGGAGCGCATCTTTAGCAGACTTCTTCTCTTTGTTGTCTTCAGTTTCAACACTGATATCCTGGATCTGCAATGCCACACATCACTGTGATTAGTAATCCATCCATCAAAGCCTTGGCCAATTTATTTCATAACAAACTGCATAACTCAGAGAGAATAACACTAACAGATGAACAGTCCAGAAAATAACCAGCCCGGGGGCGGGACACAGCAAAGGGTGAAGGACACAAATTGCTGCTCCCAGAAATTCCTCATCACAACTTATGCTGTCTAGGGAATCGATGGGAGTTGCCCAACCCGTTGGTTGGTTGGTTGGTTGGTTTGGTTGGTTGGTTGGCTGGCTGGCAGGCAGGCAGGCAGGCAATTTTATGCATATAACAACTTGATAAACTTCCCTGGAGACAGGACAAGTCCCTTTCCTCTCAAACACAACTGCAAGGAGACTGGGGGTTTCTCCCTCCAATTCCAATTGCACATCATCTGAGCCCCAAACCATGGTTACTGTGAACTATGGCCTCGTGCCTTGTTTCAAACAAATCACAGTTAAGATTCAACTATCATTTACTGAATGTGATTTATTAAAGAACAATGTAAAACTGCTACCTCCACAACAAAAAACCTTGTGGCACTTCATGGGCTGCTGATAAAACTACTATATTTTTTGCTCCATAAGACGCATCAAATTTTTAGGAGAAGAAAACAGGAAAATAAAAATCTGTTTTCTTCTCCTAAAAATTTGGTGAGCCTTATGGAGAGGTCCGTCTTATGGAACACACCCTAGGACCCTTTGGAGGCTCACCCTGCTCCCCCCGGGCCAGAGGGGGCGAAATCGCCAGCTTCCAGGACCTTTTCTGAGCCTTTCAAGCCTCAGAAAAGGTCCTAGAAGCTGGCACTTTCGCCCCCGCTGGCCCCGTGGGGGGTGGGGGGGAGTCTCGCAAGGGTCCTGGAAGGCTCACTCGGACCCTTGCGAGGCTCCCCCCATGGGGCCAGTGGGGGCGAAATCGCCAGCTTTGCTCCATAAGATGTACAGACCCCCACACATTTTTTTGGGGGGGGAAGTGCATCTTATGGAGCAAAAAATATGGTACTTAAGTCTTTAAGATGACACAAGATGCTTTATTATTGCTGCAACAGATTAATATAGCTACCCAAAAAATCCCCCCCTGCAGCCATGCCAGATGTTCAAGTCTGTGAATAAGTTAGATAAATCACAATTAACCATAATTTACTGTGACACACGAATGAAGTCAATACTTCACAAAGACAGGAATAATGCACCCAAAATTGAACACACAAATCCCACTGATTTCAATGGCCACATTCACATGCTGTGCTTAGAAAGAATAAATCCCTACCCGGAAATTATTGTGAATGAGCCAGCAGAGTGATGTAGACTGTTTTTTAATATCCACTGGGCTCCTTTGTCATCTCTTGTCTCCTGTCAGCTTTTTGTTTTTATTTTGTTTTTTTAATGTGAGAAACAGGAACTTGGGTCAGCCAACGTAATAAGCCAATGATTGTCCTTGGCTTATAACTTTGGCTAATCGTTAGAGGAAAGATAAGCCGGAGTTCCTACTTCCTAATAAACAAACCACAAAGAAATTACTACTCTTTGTACAATACTAGTGGAGCCACTGTGAGCTTAATGTGACTTTAAAGTCACATTAAATTTGTTTTGCTTTTGTCTATAAACTCAATGAGAGTCAAGACCTTAGTTACAGGTCCTTGTAGATGCAAGTTTTGAAGTCTTAGTTCCAGATGTTCATACCTCAAGTAATTCTGAACTAAGCATGAAGAATGCTCAACCAACAGAGAGAGAGAGAGAGAGAGAGAGAGATTTTAAGGGGGGAAAATCTTTAAACAAAAATAATATGTTGAAGACATTTTGCGTAAGATGCCTCAGGAAAAGGTTAAGGAGATGTCTGACAATGATCAACATTACAGTGGTGCCTCACAAGACGAATGTAATTTGTTCCACAAGTAGCACTGTCTTGCGAAAAAATCATCTTGCAAAAAGCGGCTTCCCATAGGAATGCATTGCAATGCATTTCTATTGGAACCTCACAAGACGAATGAATTTTTTCATCTTGCGAAGCATCGGTCTCATGGGGAAAAAAACCCATTTTGCGAAGCACAGCCATAGAAGAAGCTGTCTTGCGAAGCACCATAGCGATTGGAAAAACCATTGCGGTTTTTTCGTTCCACGAGGCGTTCGTCCTGCGAGGCACCACTGTACTTAAAAACAAACATGGGCAAAACAAAACGAAGAACTAATCTGTCTTTACCTGGAATCTCAATATAATTGTCCAAATAAGGCCAAGGGTTAGTCTGTGATTCCCATCCACGATATCATGGGATCCCATATTTTCAAGATGCACTCGCTGTTCTTTCAGAAACTGGAGGGCTTTGTCAACATTCTCCAAGCAGTGGATGCGCATTCTTCCCTTTGTTGGCTTGGGCTAGCAATGTTTTTAAAAAAGTGGGGAAAGAAAAAAAGATCACAAGCACGGTCATAAGAGGTTCATCATGCTAAGCAAGCAACGTCTCTGTCTTCAGGCTGCTAGGCTTCATGTCACACTACAGATCCTCATGTAGCAGGCGCAACCTGGTGGACCATTCACTTCAGTAGAAAAGACAGCTTGGTTCAGAAGAAAGGGTTCACGTTAAGCATTCTCGTCTGCTGAAATATATTGGAAAATCCTATAAGAATCCCAGATCTCTTGCTCCACTAGTTATTGGGAAGGGGGGCACATGAAGCTCCAGACCATACATTTCATGCAATTTTTTAAAAAAATTCAGATTTCTATCCTTTTAGACAAAGCCTACTCCGGGCGGGTTCCTTCAAACATTATAAGCTAAAACAGTTAAAAACAATTAAAAACAATTCTAAACAATAGTAATTAGTAATGCTTAGTGGTGCTCAAGATGGGAAAACAGAAAGTTATAATAAAAATAAAATCAAGTATTGACAGGAGGAAAGGCCTGCTGATGGAGCCAAGTTTTTAATTGGCTCTTAAAAACACCCAGCGAGGGAACCAGACGCATCACTGATGGGAGGTTATTCCAGAGCCGAGGTAAGTGAGATTTTAAAATTTTATTTTATTTATTTAATTTATATGCCGCTCACACTACCCAGATGAACAGGGAACTATTCTCCAAGCACACATCTTTTAAACTCTCATTCCATCACTCTTCACTGTTCAACAATGAAACAGACAACCAGCCAACGTATTAATGCAAAAATATAACCATCAATTTTTTTATCTTATCCAAAATATTCTAGAACATTGTCTCATACAGTAACCTCTTGGGCTTCATCATGAAGTTAGACCATAAATACTGCCTTTACTTTCCTGGCCTGGAATTGTGGTAAAATATTTTTGCTGATTTATTTCTTACTATTAAGTTTGGTTGAGTGCACCATGGCAAAGCTAGCAAAAAGAATGGCCAACAAAGTTGACATGCAATTTGGACTCGGATCTTGTTGGCCTACTATCCTAATCAAACTGTGTGTTGTCCAGAGACTTCAAAAATGTCAAAAGGCACATAATTCTATGCCCTTCCTTAGTAAATTCCCTTCTTACTTCTGAACTCGAATTGTTCTGGGGAAAAAAGTCTTTCATTGAATTTCCACCTCTTCTAGCATCCACACAAAAACTCAGACCTCGCCATTGGAGCAGATCAATAAGCTCAAGCACACACATTTGGAAGTTTATGTCAACTGGATGTAAACTTGCATGTGTGGTTGAACTAGACATTTCTCTCAAAAGTTACTGCTTGGTGCTATCCCAGAATTTGTCTAAGTTACTTTTTGGACTATGATGTCTGGGAGTTCTAGATCAAAAAAACAAAACAAAACAAAAAACAACAACCCTCAAACGATTTTTACAAGCTCTACGTCTCTCCCAGTGCTACAGTCCTAAGCATTCTGACATCCACTCCTATACACATTGCCTAGCCAAACGTTTTCTTCTGTTTGTGTTAAAATATGGCATCTATATGATGCTTATTAAATTTAACTGAGACACCCCATTCTCATCTTTCTGTTGCATTCCTGGCAGAGGTGGGAAAGAGCTAAACAAGCAAACAAAGCTTTGCATGTCTGCAGTAATGAGAACTGGTAGGAGTCCAAAAAAACTCTGGCTGCCAACATGTACATTTCTTCCCGAAGGGCCAGTCGGATTTGTAGCCATGACTGATTGGGGAGACCTCAGGAGAAGCGAACTTTAGAGCTGCTTTTATGCCCCCTTTTTAAAATGAGATCAATGTTAGGAAGCAGAAATCTGTTCCAGCTCTCTTCCATAAAGGAACAGGAAAGAAGGAAGTAATTCAGCAAAAACTTCAGCAAAACTTTTAAGACAAAATGTAAATTGAACATAACTGCACTAAGAGCAATTGTGAAGGAGTATTAGAAGTCTTTATTCAGATCATAAAAAGAAATTTTAAGTAATTAGGTAAAGGTAAAGGTTCCCCTTGACATTCAGTCCATCCGTGTCCAACTCTAGGGGGCGGTGCTCATCCCCATCTCCAAGCCGTAGAGCCAGCGTTTGTCTGTAGACAGTTTCTGTGGCCAATCAGCTTGAAAAAGGGGCCAAACGGCTTGTCTACGGACAAACGCTTAACTTTCTGTTAAGTAATTAAGAAATTACTTAACAAAAAAACCTAGCATATATTATAGTTAGACTTTAAAAGGCAATCACTTCCCGTTTCTCAGAAATAACTAAAATAGATATTTTTAGTTACTTTTTTAGAAGTTCTGGTAGAAATCCTCTGGTGTCACTATGCCAATGGCATAACCTGTGCAGGCAAATTGCCCCAATTTAAAAAATCACTGGAGACACATTATTACTTGAAAAGTAACATATATACTCATGTTACTGTACATTAATACTCGAAGCAGAAAAATCTCACAAATGCCTCCTGCATTTATATATTCTGGTTTTACCGGACAGTGAAGAGAGAGAGAAAGCACACACTACAGTTACACAGGCATATAACTGCGATAGTCCAATGGTCAAAAAAGGGTAGTGGGAGTTAATTTCAAAGTTCTTACGATTCCATATAAAGCCCTAAACGGTTTAGGACCTTGATATCTGGCAGAGCGCCTTCTCCCACCCAGTTCGGCCAGAGTCACTCGTTCCATCCAGGCTGAGGGGCCTAACGCCAAGGGAAGTCCAGAAGGAAAGAACGAGGAACCGGGCCTTCTTGGCAGTGGCCCCTCACCTCTGGAACAATTTGACCATGGAGATCTGCCTAGCTCCCTCTCTGGGTGTCTTCAGAAGCAAACTCAAGACCTGGCTCTTTGTGCAGGCTTTCCCTCCTACCGTATCTTAAATTCACATTTTGCCATCTTGGATTTACAGTGCATGTTCATTGGTTTAACTGTTTTAAAAATTGTAATGCCGCCCAGAGTAGACCTTTGGTCTACATGGGCGGGGTAGAAATCCAAACAAACAAACACACAATAAATAAATGTCCAAAAGACTTGGCGGAAGTAAGACTGAGAACATCGTTTTAGTGTCCTCCACACTCTGATGTCCGGAATGGGATGGCATAAAATTTCCTGTTCTGCTTGAGGCAGCAGAATGCATAGGGCAGGTCCTGGTTCTCCAGGTGGCATCAGGAAATCTGGAGGGTTTTTGAATTTCCCTCATTCTTCCCAGCCAAAGCTATGTTTGATATTACAATTACAAATTACTTTCTGTGATATCCCCTTCATGGATTGCTGCCTTGTTGTGGCGAAGGGGCTTGAGTAACTCAGAGAAGCTATGGGCTATGCCGTGCAGGGACACCCAAGACGGACAGGACATAGTGGAGAGTTCCGACTAAACGCAATCCACCTGGAGTAGGAAATGGCAAGCCACTCCAGTATCTTTGCCAAGAACACCCCATGATCAGAAACAAAAGGCTAAAAGATATGACGCTGGAAGATGGGCCCCTCAGGTCGGAAGGCGTCCAACATGCTACTGAGGAAGAGTGGAGGACAAGTACAAGTAGCTCCAGAGCTAATGAAGTGGTTGGGCCAAAGCCGAAAGGACGCTCAGCTGTGGACGTGCCTAGAAGTGAAAGGAAAATCCAATGCTGCAAAGAAAAATACTGCATAGGAACCTGGAATGTAAGATCTATGAACATTGGGAAGCTGGAGGTGGTCAAACAGGAGATGGCAAGAATAAACATCGACATCCTGGGCATCAGTGAACTAAAATGGACAGGAATGGGCGAATTCAGCTCAGATGATTATCATATCTACTATTGTGGACAAGAATCCCGTAGAAGGAATGGAGTAGCCCTCATAGTCAACAAAAGAGTGGGAAAAGCTGTAATGGGATACAATCTCAAAAATGATAGAATGATGTCAATACGAATCCAAGGCAGACCATTCAACATCACAATAATCCAAGTTTATGCACCAACCAGCATTGCTGAGGAGACTGAAATTGAACAATTCTATGAAGATTTACAACACCTTCTAGAACTGACACCAAAGAAAGATGTTCTTCTCATTCTAGGGGACTGGAATGCTAAAGTAGGGAGCCAAGAGATAAAAGGAACAACAGGGAAGTTTGGCCTTGGAGTTCAGAACGAAGCAGGACAAAGGCTAATAGAGTTTTGTCAAGAGAATAAGCTGGTCATCACAAACACTCTTTTCCAACAACACAAGAGGCGACTCTATACATGGAAATCACCAGATGGGCAATATCGAAATCAGATTGATTATATTCTCTGCAGCCAAAGATGGAGAAGCTCTATACAGTCAGCAAAAACAAGACCTGGAGCTGACTGCGGCTCTGATCATCAGCTTCTCATAGCAAAATTCAAGCTTAGACTGAAGAGAGTAGGAAAAACCACTGGGCCACTCAGGTATAATCTAAACCAAATCCCTTATGAATACACAGTGGAAGTAAAGAACAGATTTAAGGAACTAGATTTGGTGGACAGAGTGCCTGAAGAACTTTGGATAGAGGCTCGTAACATTGTCCAAGAGGCAGCAACGAAAACCATCCCAAAGAAAAGGAAATGCAAGAAAGCAAAGTGGCTGTCCAACGAGGCCTTAGAAATAGCAGAGAGGAGAAGGGAAGCAAAATGCAAGGGAGATAGGGAAAGTTACAGAAAATTGAATGCAGACTTCCAAAGAATAGCAAGGAGAGACAAGAGGGCCTTCTTAAATGAACATGACCATGGAGATCTGCCTAGCTCCCTCTCTGGGTGTCTTCAGAAGCAAACTCAAGATCTGGGTCTTTGCGCAGGCCGTATCTTAAATTCACATTTTGCCATCTTGGATTTATGGTGCATGTTCATTGGTTTAACTGTTTTAAAAATTGTAATGCCGCCCAGAGTAGATCTTTGGTCTACCTGGGCAGGGTAGAAATCCAAACAAACAAACAAACAAACAAACAAACAAACAAACAATAAATAAATAAATGTCCAAAAGACTTGTAGGAAGTAAAACTGAGAACAT